AATAAAGATTAATAATAATAACTACCAACATAATTTTCAGTTACAGCAGGATAACTAGTAAGTAAGTAAGTAAGTAATCTTTATTTATATACCGCCTTTCACAGACCAGAGTCACAAAGCGGTTTACAATTGTTATTATTTTTGGGCACTCTCCACACAGAGATGGGTCGCCGAACAGGAGGCGCATGCCAGACCTATTGTACATATTTTTAGTGGTAGGGGAAACCGGAGTACCCGGAGGAAACCTACGCAGACACGGGGAGAACATGCAAACTCCACTCAGAAAGACCAGCCACCGTGCCGGCAACTCAATATAGTGTTTATCCCAACAATCTAGGGCTGGGCGATATGGCTAAAAAAGAAAATCTCCTATTTTTTCACACCAAATCCAATTTTCGATTTTAATCAATTATTTTTTTCTATTTAAAAACAAACTACAACTGGCAAAGACATTGATTTTCCTTTATGCAGTTTAATCTACATTTTCCCATGGAGCATAAGGGTAACAGGAAATTAGCCTTAAAACATGCTTGTAAACGAGATGGCCCTGCCATTGTAAACAGTGAAAATGTAGATTAACAGTTTTCTAATAACTTCACTTACAGTGACGCAAAGTAAGTAAACAATGCACCTGCAAAATAACTTAAAAAGCACAAACAAACGCCATAGCAAATACATCAATCCCATTAAACACATGCATTATTTACATTAAATATCACATTTTTAAAACCAATGATTACTCTAAAAACCATTGTTTTAACAGAGAAAGTCTGTTACAAAAGCCTCCTCCTTGGGTTTTCATGCCTGTTCTTTCAACTGTGCTGTAGTACAACGCTCGGTCCAGCTGGTGGCGCTAATACTAACTTCAGTGACTAACGCGTTGTGCGAGTTAAGTTTCCATTTCTCTTCTTGTTTACATTCTGCTACTGTAGCTAACAGATCGAATGGATCGCGTTGTTTGTATCAGAGCAATGAGAGCAATGTGTGAGACGTGTCTTTCCCCAAAGTGCAGCGGCTCAGTGGGACACGTGTGTGCACTTTGGAGAAACGAGCGTGAGCGCTGAGAAATTAATGAATGAGAATGAAAGAATGAAAAGTGTGGCGTACAAGCAGAGCGACCGGCAGGATATAAGTGCGTGTTGGTGTGTTCTGGCGAGTGTTTTTGCAACAGTGTTTTTGCAACAGTACCAACTGTGACAGGGTCAGGACAGGGGGAGACTGTTTAGCATGAGGGAGCTTTGAAAATGACTGCCCGTGGTTGGCGTGTTAGCACTTTAGCTCTGCATTGAAAAAAAAAAAAAAAAAGAGCTTTTTATTAAAAGGAAATCGCCCTAAACGTCCAATTCGCCCAGCCCTACAACAACCCTACCCCTCTCCTCTCCTGTGTGACCGTGTGCAACTATGATGCCTCTCTCAGACATGATTTTATCCCCTAGCTTGTTAACTCTTTCTCTTTGAGCTAGCGAGTTTGCATTGTCCATTTGTATAGTAGTATCATATACTGGTGAAGTAATGGCAGTAACTTCAACTATACTTGAGCAAATATTGAGGAAGTCTCGTCTGCCTACATAAGTCTCGTCTGCCCACATAAGTCACTCGGCCCCTGAGTACCTTTCTTTCTGCTGCAGCGTTGGTCGCGTCCTTTGTTTTCTTGCTGTAGATGTTGTTGTGATAAGAGCAGATTATGTTCTCGCTGCTTTCTTTCTGCGCTGAGGCGAGATAATCTCCTCCAATGTTTACGTCCCGCCGGAGTCTGCACCACTTAACGAGAGGCCGTCAGGTTCTAGTCCCAAACCGACTGCCCCCTCCCCCCATTTCTCCTTCCTAACCTGTTTAACCTGGACTGTCCTCAGCTCCTGTCTGTATTCTTGTCCAACAGAGCTAAAATGTTCTGTTAAAAAAAAGAAGAGAGACCAGAGGGTGAGAGACCAGAAAGAGAGCCCCTCTCTCACCTCTCCCCCTCTCCCACCTCCCCCTCTCTGTTGTCACGTTCCATGAGTCTCAGACCAAAGCTCAGTCTTTACATAATCCTCTCAATAGAATATTTAATTTAAGCTGTTTTTTTCATTTCCTCAAAAGTAATTTTCTCGACGGCGACAGGCGGCGACCATTAGGAGATGAGGTCTTTTTAACAGTTTTAACACACACACACGCACGCACAGACACTCACTGAGACACACACACACACACACACACACACTGAGAGACACGCGTGCACACAGAGTCACAGACACACAGAGATACGCACACACACAAACCAGTTTAATCCAAGGGATATGCTCAATGGCTGTAAGTGACCAGTCAGATCCAGTTCAAAGCTGTGATGTCACACAGTACTTTGCTTTATATGAAATATTATACATTATTTTTGGCTTTAGAAAATAATCAATACTTACTTTTGTCTTCATACTTGTTTCACCACATTTTTACTGAAGGGTGAAAAATGTGTTCCGCCTGTAACTCCCTATGCTCTCTTGGTCCCGGTTCTGTAAATGTCTATTGTGAGATCAGTAAAGTTTATCTTATCTTATATTTCTATGAACAAAATGAGTCCAGCTGCTGTGATTGAAACAAAACTGGATGAAAAGCAATAAGCAATCATTTTAATCAGGGTTCAATGTTTATGGTAAGATAAATTAGGGATGTCCCGATCACTATGTTTTACTTCCGATCCCGATCCGATTATTGAACTTCAAATCTGATCCGATTTTGAGTCCCGATCCAATGCCATTGATGTATTGTAATTTAAAATACTACATTTTTAGCAAGTGATATTTTACAAGACTGATTACATTTCTGTATGGCTAGTAGTTGCTGTAATAAAAAATCAAAGAAAAATGAATCAACATAATTTGCCTGAAATAATAAAAGGTAAGAAATAAAACATTGTCTTGGTTGGTAAAGTAACAAAGCTATAACAAAACTGTTAAATATTCAAATATAGATTAACGATGCTAATTGCCCGCAACCGGTGAGCTGTAATACAGCACGCTTTAAATCACATGTTGAGGGAACAATCCCTTTGGTAGATTTACACAACGCTGTTTGCTCAGTTCCAGGTTCAGTCCTCAAATGCCAAGTCAGATTTGTCGTGTTGAATGTAGCTCTGCTGCTCCCACCTTGTCCAATCAACTTGTTGCATGTTGCTTTTGTGCTGTCCTCGTTTTGTAATTAAAAATACTGCCACACTTTTGACATGTTTTAACTAGTAGCCACATGAACACTGCTCTGAATATTTACCGTAACTGAGCTTTAAATTATTGCGTGTGCAGTTACCGAAAACAACTGCGACAGCTATAAAAACCGCTATAGCAACAGCTAAAGCTCGGGCGAGTGGATCGTGCAGTTTAGCTCATCTCCGATCAATCAAAAACCATGAAATCTCAAGATCGGATCGGGACATCCCTAAAATAAATGTTGTAGTTTTGAAAAAATGACCATTATAATGTATAAGACATGCCATATTTGCACAGACTCTCAGTGGGGGCTGCACTCGTATTGAGTTGGATGTCCACTAGGGGGCCCACAAAATAACTTTTTGCAGGCTGCTAATGGTCCGGGGGCGCATGTTTTAAAATTGTAGAACTGCTCTGAGTGTGATGTCATAGTGATGTCATAGTGGTAGAATGACAGACTACTACAGGATTAAGACAGGAGCTTTTAGACAGAAGGGGTGGTTCTACCTTTTTGGGACAATGACCAGACCAGACCTAGACCAGAGCTGGACCAGACCTGGACCAGACCTGGACCATAACCAGACCCAGACCATGGCTAGATCAAGACCAGCAAACCTAAAAGAGTGGGTGTGGGAGGGGCCTGGTGTTTGTGTCCACAGGGAGGGGCCTAATCCTCTGTCCTGTTTGCAGATCAGGACATAGACACAGGATTAGTGCTTCACCTCCACTGCCCCCGACTCACTGCTATCACGCACACGCATACTCACACTCACAAGCACAGTCACACACAGATATTGACTTGTGAATATAACGTCTCTTTGTCTGATATAGTTTACAGTGATTAGGGCTAGAATTTGTAGTACATATCATTGAAGATGATAGATACGCTTTGGTTCATAACATCTGCTCAAAAAGTGATAGAGTGTATGGATGATGGAAGGCTGGTTTAGTCAGCGGGAGCTTTAAATTTAAGTAAATGTTTTTGACTGTAAGAACCACAAAAAAGATTGGTCTGCGTGGCACAAACTGTAGGAAATAGTCTGGAAAACTTGATACATAATATATCATTGATACATTTGAAAATTAACTGCAGCCAGTGACGCTGACGTCTGGATGAGTGAGCCATGATAACTGCTCGTACAGCATGCAGGGGTTGGTTCTAAAGGGACAGCAGAGAATGAACCTGCACAGGCTGTTACTGTATACGTGATAGTCTCTCTCCTCGGAACCAGCGCTGTCGTCCTCTCTGCAGTTGGCTACTCTGAACAGACTCCTTTTTGTGGCTTCAATAATTGAGAGTTCTGCTCATGTAACGTCCTCGTGCTGTTTTAGAGCTGCACTGTGTGTGATGTCACATGTGAGTGAGCTGCAGTGTTCAGAGTGTACACACCAGGCCAGATGTCGGAGATTAGGAACGACAACGCTCGTTGCTGGTGTTTTTGTGAAGCTTTTGGTCAAAATTAGTTGTATCTATTCAAATGAAAATGAGGTTAGAAACTTAAAAGTCTCCATCCCCCAGTTCTTAGAAGCGTGAGTTGCCCTTTCACATCTATGACAGCCTGGAAGTGTTTTTGTGGTAGTTGTGGATGAGGTTCTTCATCCTCTTCGGTACCTCTCTTTGGTCTCTTTCTCTCTGGTCTCTCTCTAGTCTTTCCCTGGTCCCTCTCTCTGGTCTCTCTCCGCGGGGCACATACTGGACCAAGCACATCAGAATGGTTTGAGAATTCACCAAAGAGAGAGCTGTTTTATAACATTCTCTATTCCCATATAATTTGTTGTCTGAACCTGGTCCTGATCTTCTCTTCTTATCTTTGTCTTCTGTAGGTTCTCGTTGTGCGTCAATGGAGGATGTTCCGGAACTTCCGGAACGCGCTGTGGACCAATCGTATGACACTTAAGTAGAGTGTGCCTCCACGGCTTCGCTCTCTCCTCATGAACGTGCTGGATTTCCCCATTTCCACATAGAGAGAATACATAAACCTCCAGTCCTGATTCCTTTGGATTAAGCGCCTCTCCCTTCCTCCCCCCCCTCCGGTTTCCCCCGCGGCCTCACCATGGATACCTCCTCTCCCGCGGCCTCCCTGCTCCTCAGTTTGACTCTTATGGCAGTGCTCTTGCAACTCTGCCGCCCGCAACCCGCCCCGCTACGGCGCTTTGTTCCCCCTGAGCCTGGCCTCACCAGCCTGGCCATCCACAACCGGACTGGTGACGTGTATGTGGGTGCGGTCAACTGGATTTATAAACTGTCGAGTAACTTGACGCAGCTGCGCAGCCACATGACGGGGCCCGTGCTGGACAGTGACAAGTGCTACCCCCCGCCGAGCGTGCAGTCGTGTCCGCACGAACAGGCCGCCGCGCCCAACGTCAACAAGCTGCTGCTCATCGACTACTCGCAGAACCGGCTGATCGCCTGCGGGAGCACGTCGCAGGGCATCTGCCAGTTCTTGCGGCTGGATGATCTGTTTAAGCTCGGGGAACCGCACCATCGCAAAGAGCACTACTTGTCCAGCGTGTCCGAGTCGGGAACCATGTCCGGAGTCATCATCCCGTCTGTGAACAGTGTAACCAGCAAGCTATTCATCGGGACTCCCATCGACGGGAAGTCAGAATACTTCCCCACACTGTCCAGCCGCAAGCTGATGGAGAATGAGGAGAACGCAGACATGTTCAGCTTTGTGTACCAGGACGAGTTTGTGTCGTCGCAGCTCAAGATCCCCTCAGACACACTCTCTAAGTTCCCCGCCTTCGACATCTACTACATCTACAGCTTCAGCAGTGAGCAGTTTGTGTACTACCTGACGCTGCAGCTGGACACGCAGCTGACCTCTCCAGACGCCAGCGGGGAGCAGTTCTTCACCTCCAAAATTGTGCGTCTCTGCGTGGACGACCCCAAGTTCTACTCGTACGTGGAGTTTCCCATTGGCTGCACCAAAGACGGCGTGGAGTACCGGCTGGTGCAGGACGCGTACCTGTCCAAGCCGGGCCGCCAGCTGGCCTCCTCACTGGGGATATCTGAGGACGACGACGTTTTATTTACGGTCTTCTCGCAGGGACAGAAGAACAGGGCCAAACCTCCCAAAGAGTCGGCGCTCTGTCTGTTCACACTCAAAACCATCAAGGAGAAGATCAAGGAGCGCATCCAGTCGTGCTATAAAGGGGAAGGCCGGCTGTCGCTACCCTGGCTGCTCAACAAAGAGCTGGCCTGCATCAACTCGGTGAGTAAAGCTGAGGAACCTAACTTTTGTCTCAGAAATGACACATCTGGTTTGTCCAACAGAAAGAGTACAATGTTCTCAGTTCTCAGTAGTGTTTCCACCTTAACATCTTGAAATCTTTTGTGGTAATTGTGGATGAGGTTCTTTATCCTCTGGTCTCTTTCTCTGATCTCTCTCTGGTCTCTCTCTCTTGTCTCTCTCTTCATCTGATCAAAAAACATGTTATATATGTGAGAAAGAGCCCTGTGAGTCACTATTTGACTCTTTGGGCTGAGAACTTAATGAGGGTCCTCTCTTTTTCACTTATCTGGTCACGTCATTGGCTTCGGAGCGCTCTGATTGGCTGAGGAGTGACAGCAGTGAAGCCTGATGTTGTGTGGGTCAATGAGCTCGCCCACCATTGCTCGAGAGACCGGGATGAGTGACAGCACAGTTAGCAACCAGAACATATGCTGCGTTCATGTTGTAGAATAGTGTTTCAGCAAGAGTCAATACAACTCTATGGGAAAGACCGGAGAGAGACCCAAGAGAAAAACCAGAGAGAGAGAGAGACCCGAGTCCAGAGAGAGATAGAGACCCGACTCCAGAGAGAGAGAGAGACCGGACTCCAGAGAGAGAGAGACCCGACTCCAGAGAGAGAGAGACCCGACTCCAGAGAGAGAGACCCGACTCCAGAGAGAGAGACCCGACTCCAGAGAGAGAGACCCGACTCCAGAGAGAGAGACCCGACTCCAGAGAGAGAGAGAGACCCGACTCCAGAGAGAGAGAGAGACCCGACTCCAGAGAGAGAGAGACCCGACTCCAGAGAGAGAGACCCGACTCCAGAGAGAGAGAGAGACCCGAGTCCAGAGAGAGAGAGACCCGACTCCAGAGAGAGAGAGACCCGACTCCAGGGAGAGAGAGACCCGACTCCAGAGAGAGAGAGAGACCCGAGTCCAGAGAGAGAGAGACCCGACTCCAGAGAGACCCGAGAGAGACCCGAGTCCAGAGAGAGAGAGACCCGACTCCAGAAAGAGAGAGACCCCGAGTCCAGAGAGAGAGAGACCCGAGAGAGACCCGAGTCCAGAGAGAGAGAGACCCGAGTCCAGAGAGAGAGAGACCCGAGTCCAGAGAGAGAGAGACCCGAGTCCAGAGATAGAGAGACCCGAGTCCAGAGAGAGAGAGAGACCCGAGTCCAGAGAGAGAGAGAGACCCGAGTCCAGAGAGAGAGAGAGAGACCCGAGTCCAGAGAGAGAGAGAGACCCGAGTCCAGAGAGAGAGAGAGACCCGAGTCCAGAGAGAGAGAGACCCGAGTCCAGAGAGAGAGAGACCCGAGTCCAGAGAGAGAGAGACCCGAGTCCAGAGAGAGAGAGACCCGAGTCCAGAGAGAGAGAGACCCGAGTCCAGAGAGAGAGAGACCCGAGTCCAGAGAGAGAGAGACCCGAGTCCAGAGAGTGAGAGACCCGACTCCAGAGAGTGAGAGACCCGACTCCAGAGAGAGAGAGACCCGAGAGAGTCCAGAGAGAGAGAGACCCGAGTCCAGAGAGAGAGATACCTGATTCCAGAGAGAGAGGGACCCGAGTCCAGAGAGAGAGAGACCCGAGTCCAGAGAGAGAGAGAGACCCGAGTCCAGAGAGAGAGAGACCCGAGTCCAGAGAGAGAGAGACCCGAGTCCAGAGAGAGAGAGACCCGAGTCCAGAGAGAGAGAGACCCGAGTCCAGAGAGAGAGAGACCCGAGTCCAGAGAGAGAGAGACCCGAGTCCAGAGAGAGAGAGACCCGAGTCCAGAGAGAGAGAGACCCGAGTCCAGAGAGAGAGAGACCCGAGTCCAGAGAGAGAGAGAGACCCGAGTCCAGAGAGAGAGGGCCCCGAGTCCAGAGAGAGAGGGCCCCGTGTCCAGAGAGAGAGAGACCCGAGTCCAGAGAGAGGGCCCCGTGTCCAGAGAGGGCCCCGTGTCCAGAGAGAGAGAGACCCCCGTGTCCAGAGAGAGAGGGACCCGAGTCCAGAGAGAAAGAGACCCGAGTCCAGAGAGAGACCAGAGAGGTGACCTCGGCATGTTTCACACGGCCTCCTGTCCGGCTCTGCCGATCACACAGACCGTCCATCATTTTACAATCAATGAGTTTTATTATGTCATAGTTGGTGCTTTCTAAGACCACATTCCTGCTGTCGAGAGGAGGAGGGAGGCGGGGTGGAGTCAGAGAAAGGAGGGGTTGAGGGATGGGTGTTGGAGGAGCGCTTACGACTGAGTGCTCTGATCGCAACAGGAGCAGAACCAGGCTATTATTCAGAGAGAGGACACTTCATAAGAGACGTGTGCAGCAGGAGAGACTCAAACACATGATAATGAACAGGTTTGATATCTCTCCGATCTCACTTCAGCGCCCGTGAGTGCAGGTGGTTTGATAAGCGTATAAAGTGTGTGATGAGTGTTTACAGCCGTAAAACATAGAGCTGCCAAGGAAACCGCATAGTCACAGAGGGAGACCACAAAGAGAGACCTCAGAGGGAGACCGCAGAGAGACCGCAGAGAGACCGCAGAGAGACCGCAGAGAGACCGCAGAGAGACCGCAGAGAGACCGCAGAGAGCCCAGGGACTGTGTATTTGCGGCACAAATGCTCAGAACTCATTTGTAGAAATGACCTGCGCTCTGTTTATGACATCACAGGTGAGGCTGATTCAGCACAAAGCGTTCTGTTAGGAGAGGAGACCAGTTTGTCTTATCTCCTTCCACATTATGGTTCACACCGGTCTCCTCTCTCTCTGCTCCCACTCCTCCTCCTCCTCTCTACTCTCTCCACCTCTCTCTCCGTTTCCTCCTCTCTCCTCTCCTTTCTTCTCCTTTTTCTCTCTCTTGAATTGTTTCGTCTGCAGTTTCTCTCTGTCGTGTGGCCCACAGATGTGCTGACACACTTCAGGAGGAGTTCTGGAATTTGAGCCAAATCCTCAGACTTTTCCGGTTCCTCCCATTGAGACCGAGAGAGAGAGAGAACAGAGAGAGACCCTCTTTCAGATCATGGAAAGGGTTGTGTGTGTGTGTGTGTGTGTGTGTTCTGTCTGTGCATCTCTGTGCTCCTCTGCCACTGGTGTTGTCTGGTTGTGATAGTTTCCAGGTCAGTGTGTTGCCCAGAGGCACAAAGGCTCAGTTTAACCCTATGAGAGGAGCTGCTGTCAGACTGCTCCACATTAACCTGTTTCACTGTTATTAGTCTATAACTGTTCAACCTGTGGCCCAGGGGCCAAACTGGGACCAGAAAACCATCATCTTAGTTATCAGTGTTGTTTAATATAAAGTCTATACATTTAATATTTGTAAAAACAGCCAAATTCTGTCTCTGTTTGGCAGACACCATTTATGAAACAACTGAGTGAACCCACAAATGCGTTTTTGATTTATTGATTGAAGTTGTTATACTCCAATAATTTGTTTGTGTTGTTTCTCGATGGTTTTTCTATAACACAACATGCACGATACTTAATGTTTATATGTTTGAACTTTGTTCCTTTATTAAGCTAAAAAGAAAGTTAAAAAAAAAAGTATATATTGTGAAGCATAGAGCTTAAAGTGATAGTCTGTAACTCTAAATGAATTACAAATTTTTTAGGAAATGTGTTAAATTGACCTCCTGGCCTTAAATGTTGATATAAAATAAGTCATTTAATGAATTCTAATGTGAGATTTCATAACACTTTGAAGCAACTTTTGTTAAGGTTAAACTCATCATTCTATCAATGTGCAGAAGCCAGTACTTTTCCCTTGTTTTGTCTATCTGAAGGCCAAGCTACATGGCACCGTGGAAGCTGCTGATTGGAGGTCTCCATGCCTCCGCTCTGTATAATACACTTGCCTTCTATTGTTTCTGTGCTCGTGTGCTTTGTTCGTGCTGTCTCTACCATCGACAATAAAACATGTCTTCTGTCTGAATGTAAGACGCGATCCCAGACTAGGCCATCTTCTTCACTAATATTACGGGTAGGTCCCGCCTTCCCTTCTCTATAGTTCAGAATCCACGGTGCCGTCGAGGTTAACCAATCGAGTCATCATGTCAATCATCAGCGCTGATGCTCGCAGCTGCGCGCATGCTCAGTTGTTTGTTTTTACGGAGCCTCCGAATCAAGCCTCTATTAGGCTCTGGAACTACATGAAAACTGAACAAAGAATTCTTTTGTAGTATCTGGAGTTTTGCAGTGTAAGTAGGATAGGTGTTGTTCCAGTTCACATTACAATAATTTAAGTGTGGTTCAAATAGGGATCTGTACAGTGTTAGCATTGCCTCAAAAGGAAGTTGATGTCTTAATTTGTAAAATAAACCTACATATTTGGATAATTATTTCTCCAGTTCTTCAATATGTTTTGTACATTTTAGGGATTCATCTATATATATTCCTAAGAATTTGGTTGAATCAACTCTTTGGACAGCCTTTCCGTCCATTTTGATGTTTACGTTTCCATCTTTATATTTATGTTTGATTGGGTGGAATATTATAAAAAATGTTTTACTGACATTTAAGGCCAGTTTATTTAATTTGAACCATAAAGCTACTTTTCCTAATTGGTAATTTAGTTGTTTTTCTAATTCTTTCATGTTTTTATGAGATGTAAAGAGGTTTGTATCATCAGCGAAGAGTACTTTGTGCTAGTCGTTAGTGCAGAATACAAAGTAAGTTATATACATTATAAATAGAAGTGGTCCCATTATAGATCCTTGAGCGACGCCAGTTTCTAAGATTTTAGTGTCAGAGTTCAGCCCGTCTACATGAACATACTGCTGTCTTCCACAGATATAACTTCTGAACCACTGAAGAGCGGTTCCCCTGATACCGTAGTGCATTAACTTGCTGAGCAGAATCTCATGGTCGATGGTGTCGAAAGCCTTCAACAGGTCAAGAAAGACACCTATACCATACTCTCCTTTTTCAAACGCATTGTTGATTTTTTTGATTAAGTCTAATATCGCCATACAGGTGGTGCTGTTTTTTCTAAAGCCATATTGCGAGGGTACTAATATTTTGTTTTTTTCTAAATAATTGCTGAGTCTGGAATACACAACTCTTTCAAATACTTTTGAGATAGTAGTATAGATATTGGTCTATAGTTTTGAGTATCATTTTTATCCCCAGACTTATATATGGGTATTATTTTTGCAATTTTAGACGTTTTTGGGACTGCACCTTTTACTAGGGAAAGATTAATAATGGCTTGGCGATCTCAGTTGCTATAGCTTTATTCTCTTTACTTTTGTTAAAATATTTTTATATTTTTTATACATTAGTTATTTTGTGTGCTCCTATTTTTTGCATACTGATCATACAATTTTTTTGTTTCCCTTTATCGACTTTAAAATCCCCTTTGTTATCCAAGGCTTAGGTTGTATACTATTCTATTTAATATATTTTTCAGGGATAGTTACGTTGATGGAATTAGTAACTTCAGATATAAACAGATTATTTGCATTATCAGGATCAGTGGTGTCAAACACTGAATCCCAGTTTTTCGTTTGGAGATGTTGCGTCAAAGCGGCAAGGGTTTGATTGTTTAGGACTATTTGGACCAATTGTCATGGTAACGGTCCGAGATGGGAAAATATCAGACCGGTAATCAGCCAATCAGAGCGCGCGTACGGTCCAAGTCATATAATAAATATGTATAATGTGTTCTCTGATTAACATTTAAAAGTGTCCTGGAAACGTAGGTGTAGACCAATCAGAGCGGAAGGGGGAGGGAGCCTGCGTCGTTTTTTTCAAATCAAGTACCTCTGTCTCTCTTTCTGACAAACTCCAGACAATCACTTTAATAGGAGTCGGCTGACCAAGTGTGACTTCACCGTAGTATAATGGCCTGGTCTTCGTCTTGGTCATGGGTCTGGTCTTGGGTCTTGGGTCTTGGGTCTTGGGTCTTGGGTCCTGGTCCTGGTCCTGGTCCTGATCTTGATCTAGTCTTTTTTGGATATTGGTCAAAGATCTTGTAATAGTATGAAAAGTCAGCTGTAAGTCACTTTATCTCTCTCTGGGCTTCCTGAACCTCCCCTCTCTAACACATTTCCATCTCTCCTCTGCAGCCGCTCCAGATCGACGATAACTTCTGCGGACAGGATTTTAACCAGCCACTAGGGGGCACCAGCACCATCGAGGGCCTGCCGCTGTATGTGGACCGGGAGGAGGGCCTGAGTGCGGTGGCAGCGTACGATTACCGTGGCAACAGCGTGGTGTTCCTGGGAACGAGGGCCGGGAAACTCTACAAGGTAATCAACCAGCCAGGACTGGGCTACGGCAGGGACTGTGGGGGTTTAGGCAGAACCAGAGAGTGTTCTGACCAAGTCTGACATCACTATAGTGATTATGGAACATTCACTTTTCTGCCTGAAAAAGCTGAACTAAAGATGTGGCAGAGGTCAGCAACACGTGCATCTGAAAGCTAGTGATTGAACCAAACTGTTTCAGAGCCAGGAACTAGAAACTACATAGCCCAGCTTTAATCTCAGTGTATATGGTCCAAACTGCAAACAGAACGGGCTCTGCTGTCACCACTGGATACTGTATTTTAAACCAGCTTCATGAGAATTTTGCAACAGTTTGATAGCTTTGACTTCTGGTATACCCTGACGCTGATAGCAAATTGTTGTTCTATGGCAGTGTCTCCCAAAGTGGGGTCCGCGGCCCCCTGGTGGGCCGCGAGGGTACTGCAGGGGGGCCGCGGGAGGTCATAAAAAAAATAAAAAAATAATATAATTATTTAATGTTAAATGTATAATTTTTTGTTTGTAATATTAAAATATTTGTGTTCATTATTTGACTTGAATAATCCACTGTAATCATTTTTGTATTACAATGTTTGTAGCAGAGGCTATTTCCCCAAAATAAAATAACCAGAAGAGCCTATTCTTAATGTTGTCTTCTTGGTTATTATTTTGGGGGGCCACGCAGACCCATCAGATTTTTAAGGGGGCCTCGGTGTTACTGAGTTTGGGAATGGCTGTTCTATGGTAACATTTTGTTCCCAACACACATAAAATCCTCTAGATCCTGACCCACTTTAAGAGGAGGTTCTTTCCCCTGGGTCTACTTCCACTTCACTGCCACCATCTTGACCTGGGGCTAGTCCAGTTAGCGCCGCTGTTAGCTTGAAATGTAGTTTTGAGTGCTGCTGTCTCTTACACGGCCTTGGTCTGTTAGATCTTTGGTGGTTGGCTCTGGACATTGTTGCTAATTAAGAAGAAATGTGCTAACTTTCTTAAGAATGCTTGTAATTCTATAGTTTTTGAAGGTTTACACCCAGGCAGAACTTTCATTTCGGAGATCTGATTGGTCACTCTCTGGTCTCACTCTTCGGTCTTTCCCTTTGGTCTCTCTCTGGTCTCTCTCACTGGTCTGTCTCTGATCTCTCTCTCTCAGGTCCCATTCAGAGATCTATTTGGTCTCTCTCACTGGTCTGTCTTTGCTCTCTCTCTCTCTCTCTCTCTCTCTCTCTCTCTCTCTCTCTCTGGTCTCTGTCCCAGGTCCCTCTCTGGTCTCTCTCTGGTTTCTCCCTCTAATCCCTTGCTTGTATTTCTCTGGTCTCTCTCTCTCTGGTGTCTCTCTCTGGTCGCTCTACAGCCTCTCTCTATTCTCTCTCTCTCTCTGGTAATTATCCAGGTGTAAATGTTGCGGTGTTGTGTTTTAATTCCTCTCCTCCTTCGACCTGGAGTTGAGTCCAAATCCCTCGTCTTCGTTCTGTTTCCACAGCAACGGTCACTGGGTAACCGCCGCCGCAAATAAGATGTCGTTGGTTTGAGGAAGAGTGTTCAGAGAGTTGTGTGACTGTGGAGGAGGCTCTGTCTGCTCCTGTTTAAAGATGGGGTCCAAAGCTTTTGTCAAACAGAAAGATTCTTGTTAAAGTAAAATGACCAAAACATTCTGTCTTCATCTTAAGAAAAACAGGTTGTCTTACTGTATGAGTAAGAAAGAGCTGTGTGCATCGCTTTTTGACCCTGTCTGAGTCAGGGTGGTCCTCTCTTTTCAACTTTTATGTCTGAAAAAGCTGATCTTTAGATGTGACAAAGGCCAAAAAACATGTGAAGCCAGGACCAGAACCAAGGCCAAAACCAATAAAAAATAGTGATTGAAGCAAACTGTTTTCTGAGCCAGGAACTAGAGACAGAGGATATTAAAGTTATGTAGACCAGCTTTAATCTCAGTTTATACTCTCCAAACTACACACAGACAGTGTGTAGTTTTGAGCTTGATGCTACGGATACTGGGAGTTTCAAAACCAGCTTATGCGACAGTACAAGAGCCGTACGATAAGAGCGATCTACTTCACTCCGGCCTCTCTCTGGTCTTTCTTTCTAGTCTTTCTCTGGTCTATCTATGCATCTGGTCTTTCTTTCTGGTCTCTCTCTCAGGTCTCCCTCCTCTATGGTGTCTCTTTCTGGTCTCTCTCTTGTCTCCATGGTCTCTCTTTAGTCTCCCTCTGATAGTAGCATAGGGATAGGGCAGCTAAATTTTGGCAAAGAAATTATGTGTATTATTTCTCAATTCTCTTTCGACATGACATAATGATCTCTCAGAGTTGTGTGTCTAAACCGGTTCTTCACTGGTGCTCTTCACTGGTGCTCCTCCCTGGTGACTGTCTTCTGGACTTCTGCGTCTCTCTTTTGGCTCTGGCAAGTGGGACATGTGGCCATCTTGGATCCGGTTTCCGGCTCCCCGTGCGGTTTACAATGGAGCGAGGAGCGACTGCCAAGAGCCGGGTTTGTGTCTGCGTGAGCGAGACTTCATTGGCCCAGAACTCACGAGGGATTAGCCATCGTTAAGGCATCGTTACGGCACAAATGAGGCCCCCAGAGACAAATGCAATATACACACTGTCATTAACACAGCCACAAATACCACAGCGATGCGGCTACACGCTTTAGACCATGATGGAACCACTGACCCTCTGACCCATGGACGGTCTGCCTATAAGATATAAAACGATAGGTTCAACTGGACACGACTGAAGCCAATAGAAGAGCTGTTTTGCTGCTATATAAAGCAGTTTTCTTCCCTTAATAATATCGTCTTTGGTAATTGCCTGGACTTTGGGGACCTCTTCTGTCTGGTCTTTGGGGAAGTCCTCTGTCTGGGACACGTGTGACTGACTGCAGTAATTACAGACAGGATTTAATTTAAGGTCAACTCAAACGTCCCCAGAGCAAAGTTCTTTTGGGAAATGAACCCACCAACTAACGATCAGGTCACTCTGGTTGTTTTTGACTCCTGATACTAACAAGACTCTGGCCCCCGGGCCACAACAGGGCCCCAAAGAATGTTATTAAGCCGCGTTCAGACCGGATCACGCGTTGCGTCGACTTTCAATGCAAAGTCAATGGTGACGCGCGTTTGAGCGTGGAACTGCATGTGCGTCTCGGGATACACGCACGGATTGCGCGTGTATGCCTGCGCAGGAGCGGAAAATTGATGCACGCAGGAGATAAATATTGCTGAGCGTTTCCTCGTGCAGCAACCAATCAGAGAGCCGCAAAGTGGTCACGGGGACATTAGTGGTCTGAGCGAGCAGACTGAACATACCGTAAACAGCCAAAACAGGAGCTACACCAGAACTAAACCAGGGTTGACAATGGGGGACTCTGTCCTTGTGAACATATGCGTTGTCATGCTCCCGTGACTTTATGCAACTGCTTCGAGCGTGTTCGCCGATGCGGAAGTACCGTTTAATAATAAAATAAACTTATGGCGCACCTCCATGAACACATACTACTGTTATATAAAGTCTCTGAGGGGTCTCAGGGCACACAGACGCTGCAGAGCTGCATTATTGGAGAAGAACTTTACACAAAAAGCAGCTAGCTTAACTCGGTTTGCATCAAAGTCCGCCCGCTACTTCCGCCACTTCCAGCGGGGGCCACCGCAACCCAGGATTTCTGGTTTGAAGACCTCTGCGTCTGAAAATTAGAGAATGTGCGTCACGTCCAGCGTTGGCGGTCTGAAAGTGCCTTTACACTGGATTACATTACAACAAAAATTGACATCATTTTTCTATTTGGACATAAACCTCACAGACGTTAAAAAAATATATCATTATTCATTTATTAATTATTTGATTATTATTATTTTTTTAAACATATATATTTATTCCCACGTTATTTAATCAGCAAGTAATTTGTACTGCCATGTTAAAAATGATAAAGGCCTTACAGGAAGTCATTCTTGTGACTTACTCAAAATTACGAGTTTTAAAATTGTAATGTTGTATAGTATGTTTTGAAACACGGGTCAGATCTGTTCCGGGTAAGAAGCAGCCAGGACAACACTGTCGTTTGTCGTATTTGTTTTGTTACAGCAGTGAAAGTATAAATGATCAGCGCAAATCTGTCCCACAACTTTCTCTCAGACCGTGGCCTCTGTGTGAACTCTGGGACTGTTTTGTCTTTGACTCTCCCCTTCCTCCCTCTCCTCCCTCTCCTCCCCTTCCTCCCCCTGCTCCCCAAGTGACAAATGTAGAGAAATGTGCCCTTTATTAATGGCCCGCGTTAAACCAGGATAGTAGACCTGCTTTAGTTCTGCTTTAGTTCTGCTTTAGACCTGCTTTAGACCTGCTTTAGTCCTGGTTTAGACCTGGTTTCACTCCTGGTGTTTTAGTCCAGATCCAGTCCTGGTCCTGCTTTCGTCCTGGTTTGTCATGTGCATCCTAATAATATTCTTGGACACAAAGACTCTGTTGTTTTCATAATGAGGGGAAAAACCAGAGAAAAAAGTCCCTCTAGTCCCAGTCCAGACCCTAGTCCCAGTCCAGACCCCAGTCCAGACCCTAGTCCCAGTCCAGACCCGAGTCCCAGTCCAGACCCTAGTCCCAGTCCAGACCCTAGTCCCAGTCCAGACCCGAGTCCCAGTCCAGACCCGAGTCCCAGTCCAGACCCGAGTCCCAGTCCAGACCCGAGTCCCAGTCCAGACCCGAGTCCCAGTCCAGACCCGAGTCCCAGTCCAGACCCGAGTCCCAGTCCAGACCCGAGTCCCAGTCCAGACCCGAGTCCCAGTCCAGACCCGAGTCCCAGTCCAGACCCGAGTCCCAGTCCAGACCCGAGTCCCAGTCCAGACCCGAGTCCCAGTCCAGACCCGAGTGCCAGTCCAGACGCAAATCTGGCGCCAGGCCTGTCTGAGACCTGGTCCTGTTTTTGGAGGGCGGTGTTTATTAAGAGTTTTTTTTTGAGCCAAACATGGATTTAAGAAACACATTGTCTCATTTTGTTGCTGTTGCATTCATTTGGCTTCTCTCTGCTCTGGCAGCCTTCACCCTCCCCAGACGCCTCCTCTTCTCTGTGTGATTCTAACTCTGAACACAAGGATCTATTTCTATCTGTGCGACGTAGGGACTTGATAGAGACCAGAGAGGGAGAGACCAGAGAGCCTGAGACCAGAGAGGCTGAGACCAGAGAGGCTGAGACCAGAGAGGCTGAGACCAGAGAGGCTGAGACCAGAGAGGCTGAGACCAGAGAGGCTGAGACCAGAGAGGCTGAGACCAGAGAGGCTGAGACCAGAGAGGCTGAGACCAGAGAGGCTGAGACCAGAGAGGCTGAGACCAGAGAGGCTGAGACAGACCAGAGAGGCTGAGACAGACCAGAGAGGCTGAGACAGACCAGAGAGGCTGAGACAGACCAGAGAGGCTGAGACCATAGAGAGGAAGAGACAGACCAGAGAGGCTGAGACAGACCAGAGAGGCTGAGACAGACCAGAGAGGCTGAGACAGACCAGAGAGGCTGAGACAGACCAGAGAGGCTGAGACAGACCAGAGAGGCTGAGACAGACCAGAGAGGCTGAGACAGACCAGAGAGGCTGAGACCATAGAGAGGAAGAGACAGACCAGAGAGAGGCTGAGACCATAGAGAGGCTGAGACCATAGAGAGGAAGAGACCATAGAGAGGAAGAGACCATAGTGAGAAAGAGACCAGAGTGAGGAAGAGACCAGAGTGAGGAAGAGACCAGAGTGAGGAAGAGACCAGAGTGAGGAAGAGACCAGAGTGAGGAAGAGACCAGAGTGAGGAAGAGACCAGAGTGAGGAAGAGACCAGAGTGAGGAAGAGACCAGAGTGAGGAAGAGACCAGAGTGAGGAAGAGACCAGAGTGAGGAAGAGACCAGAGTGAGGAAGAGACCAGAGTGAGGAAGAGACCAGAGTGAGGAAGAGACCAGAGTGAGGAAGAGACCAGAGTGAGGAAGAGACCAGAGTGAGGAAGAGACCAGAGTGAGGAAGAGACCAGAGAGGGGGGAGAGACCAGTGAACAAAAAATGAAGTAAACACAGGAGATTGATGAGAGAGGAACCGGCTCAAACACAGAGACCGCAGCAAACACGCTCCAGAGACCATAGCTCAAACAAAAACTGGTTCAGCTTTTAAGAGAGTGTAAATATCCTACATTATTATTAGTTCCTAAAGGGTACATCCAATTTAGCTCGTCATTAAAGATGGGGTACCTAACTTTCAGACCACAAGTGTTTTTTTCTATCACTTTAGATACACATACTTTATTAACCCATAAGGCCTGACACACCTGGTAAAACAGTAAAACCTATTGCCGTCTTTAGAACCACCCTCCAAAACTTGAAGTTCTCCTGAAATTCAACGTGAAACACAATTCCAAAAGAACTTGAGAGCTGACACCTGTTGTTTTCCGTAAGATTGGAGAGTATTGATATAAACCTTCAGTAGATTAATAAAAAAAAATAATAAAAAATAATGTGAGAATAACACGTATTTCTCAATACAATAAGTCAAAAAGAATTTAACAATAAAGTGGCATTTACTGCGTGTGAAAAACAAATAAAAATGAGCTGTTGTCAAAGCGGCCGCAGCTGCCCCGAGGTCAGAACGGAGGATGTGAATCCCGTTCGAGTACATAACGCAAACAACAGTCACACATTTCACAGAAATTACTTTTTCAGCTGGAAAAAGTTGGAATTCGCGGATCCACAGAAAGTTCTCATCACAGAAATATCTTGATGCATTTCATTGGTCAAGAGAATCAAACAATGAAGAGAATTGGTCAAAAGAGATGAACAGACGTGTCCGCTTTCCTGGCCTTAAAGGTAGAAATGCGGGAATGCGTACCCAGCCTCTGAGGTAATCAGAAAGGAAATCAAAGTTTGGTCTTGGTCCTGGTCCTGGTCCTGGTCCTGGTCTTGGTCTTGATCTTGATCTTGATCTTGGCCTTGGTCTTTTTGGTCTTGGTCTTGGTCTTGGTTTTGGTCTTGGTCTTGGTCATGGTCCTGATGTTGGTCTCTGTCTCTGTTCTGGTCCTGGTCTTGGTCCTGGTCTTAGACTTGGATTGGTCTTGGTTGAGGTCCTGGTTGAGATCCTGATCTTGTCTTTGGACTTTGACTTGTCTCGGTATAATTTTCACATGATGTATTTCTTGTCACATTTTTAGATCAGATTTTTCAGACAGGAAAGTGAAAAAGAGAGGACCCCTCTCAATCAGCTCCCAGCCCAAAAAGTCAAATAGTGACTCACAGGGCTCTTTCTTGTTCTCTGACCAGAATAATTCAGCATGTTGTGATCTGGTTTGAACATTCCGTCAGACAAACTACATGTTATTTATGAAGCGAGGAAAGTGAGAAGTTTGAAAACAGATCATTTCGACAGAACGGGCAGGCTTGTCAGCTTTAATGTGGACATGACACCTCGCCCAATCACGTCAGCCCCTGGGGATGAAGCACCGCCCACAAACGCTGCCAAGTTCTTATGAGGAGAGAGAGAAACCTGAGGTGAGGTACAGCAGCTGTTTAAAGGGACACTGTCCATGTCCACTTCTGCTACTGCAGTCCCTCCCAACGGAAAGTCACATCTGGTCCTGGTTCTAGTCCTCTTTACTTGGTCCTGATCTGTATCTGGATCGGGTTCTTGTCCTGGTCTTTATCTGGTCCCGGTCTGTATCTCTTGGTCCTGGTAACAAGACTGTCTTTCTATTAAACTTGGTCTCTCTCTGTCTTGGTCTCTCGGTCTCTTGATCTCGGTCTCGACCTAGTTTAGTGATAAAGCTGTAAATAGAATAGTTAAATAATTTTTGACACAACATTAGTGAAAATATAGCTTAAAGTCTTTTCAACCAAGGAGCTAGTTTAGAACTATCCACAGATGGACAATGCTAACCACTAGCTCAGTGAAGCCCAATAGGGCTTCATTGTGAAATTTGATTCCAACTCACTCTGGCTCCTATTGACTTACATGTAGAAGTAAACTCTAGCTCAGTAACCGTTTGTGTCACACTCACAATCAAAGGAACATCTCAAGTATTTGTGGTCAAATATCATAGACTGCAAGTATTTCAGTTCCGCACATCAGTTGAATATTTTAAAATCTGGTCCAGAGAGAGAGACCAGAGACAGATCTGGTCTCTCTCTGGTCTCTCTCCCCGGTCACTCTCTGGTTCCTTTTTGGTCTCGCTTTGATCCCTCTTTGGTCTCTCTCTCCTTGGTCACTCTGATCTCTCTCAGATCTCTCTCTGGTCTCTCTTCCTGATTATAATGTCGTCTGTGGTTCTCCCTCAGCTCCTGGTGAACTCGGTCAGCTCGTCTCGTCCAGCTCTTATCTACGAGAAAGTGACAGTCAGCGAAGGAGGAAGCGCTCTGCTGCGCCACATGCTGTTCAGCCCCGACAAACAGAGCCTCTACACACTGACCGACAAGCAGGTGAGTGATGCTTACCTGCTAACGACGCTAACATGCTAACATGCTTACATGCTAACACGCTAACACAAGCAGCACTCTCTCTCCTATCTCTGGTCTTTTTCTCTCACTGGTCTTTCTCTGGTGTCTCTGTGGTCTCTCTCTCTCTCTGGTCTCGCTGTCAATCTTACCATTCTACTAACACAAAACATTTGGTACCTGGAGGAGCAAATTCTCACTGTGTATAATACATTTTTTGCAAATCATGTTTAAAGGGCTTTTTGACTTTTCTCTGGTTTAAACATGATTACAGTGCTATTTGGCCTTCATACACACGCCCAGAGTAGTTTTTTCATTGATTCCGTCAAGCTTTGGTTAGAGGGCAATGTTTCTTTCTTTCTCGAGAGGCACAGAAACGAGCTGTTTCAAATTGTGACGTGGCACAATGCGTGACGTCAAAAGCCCGCCTCCATGAGGTGATTGACAGCGAGGAGAAACGGACCCAGCGAATCAGCGCCGTCTATGGTCAGCCCGCAGCCTCTCTCAGAGTCCAGCGTGTGGTCCATAGACAGTAAATAAGCGTCTGTGCTTTTTTGAGTTAGCTTCATGTCAACTTAAAGAAAATGTGTTGTTGGTGTAAATATGGGACGAGAGTATTTGGCCCGAATGGGAATGGGGATCGACTTTGTTCACGGATATCTGCCTCGTATCCGCGAGTCTGAAATCCGCGACGCCCGGTGGGCTCACAGGCAGACATCAGCTCTATATACGAAATGGCTATATTTTGACAAGTTTTGAGTGTTGTATGGTGTATCACCCAGATTATTATTAATTATCTCACATGTAAATAGGATGGACTGTGAAAAATTACGAAAAGCAAAATATGGCACCTCTAAAGATAAGATAAGATATACTTTATTGATCTCACACAGGAGAAATTTACATGTCACATCTGGCATGAATAGAAACACTCAAGATTGTGCAAAAAGAAAGAAATATGCAAACATGTTAAATGCAGGATATATTATGTACAATAAAAAGTGGCAATCAAGAAACAGTGTCAATAGTAGTGCAGGTTTTTTCAGTCTTAATGCAGTGACTTAAAGTGACTTGTTGTACAGTCAACAGCAAATATACTCTCTGACAGCCCCCAATGCGAGCCCTCTCCTGCACACATGTCTCTCTCTGGTCCTGTAGCTGGTGTGCTCATTAGCACCAGGACCGCTCTGGGGGCTCGAGGGGAGGGGGGGATCTGTGTCCACTTTGATCCCAGGATGAGAGCGCTGTGTGGGGGGAGGGAGCACCAGCGGACCCCTGAGGACCAGCTGCTCGTCACGCTCTCGTTACAGACGCGGAAAGAGAATATTTAAGCATTTGATTTCACACACAATGGATTATACCCGAGAGAGAGACCAGAGAGAGAGACCGGAGAGAGAGAGAGACCGGAAAGAGAGAGACCGGAGAGAGAGACCGGAGAGAGAGACCGGAGAGAGAGACCGGAGAGAGAGACCGGAGAGAGAGACCGGAGAGAGAGACCGGAGAGAGAGACCGGAGAGAGAGACCGGAGAGAGAGACCGGAGAGAGAGACCAGAGAGAGAGACCAGAGAGAGAGACCAGAGAGAGAGACCAGAGAGAGAGAGACCAGAGAGAGAGAGACCGGAGAGGGGGAGACCGGAGAGGGGGAGACCGGAGAGGGGGAGACCGGAGAGGGGGAGACCGGAAATGGCTTTCTCATTTGAAAAAAAAACTACACTTTAGAGCTGTTCAAATGCATTTATTAAACAGGGACTGGAGGTTTTCAGACAGCAGCGGATGGGGAGGCTGAGAAAAACGGTGTCTCTCTGCATTCCCTCTCCATGGTCTCTCTCTCTCTCTGGTCTTGCTCGCTGGTCTCTTTCTGGTCTGAAAGGTGAACCACATTACAGCGAGGGACCGCTATGATTCTAAATCCAGGCACATAAGTAGTAGTACCTTCCCCTAGTCCCAGCCAGGACCCCCCTCAAACCTCAGGGACTAGTCTGTGCGAAGGATTACAGCCGCTCTCCTGTTCAGTCTGTTGTGAGTTGGAACTGGGTCAGTGGGTCAAACGCCACAGTCCCACCACACTTCAAAGTTTCACCTGCAGACTCTCATTCATCACAAAGACCAAAGCTGAGGCGGGTTAGTTATGGTTGAGGGAATTGACTGCAGGAGAAATGACAAAGTATTAGGGAGTCTAATAGAGAAGCATCTCTCTCTGGTCTCACTCTGGCCTCTCTGCTCCCTCCAACTGTTGTCGAGGGTCTTAAAACATAGGTTTCGTAGTTTTTTGTTAGTGATTTGAGATGGAAAACTGCTCTGCCTGTGATGTAATGGTGTGAGGATGTAGCATATTTACCACGTTAGATTGAAGGGATGCGGAGCCATGTTGTCCTCATAACGATTCTTCTCGGATCAAAGTTTGTGATTTATGAGCCCTGAGCTCCAGACGCATTCATCACTGTCGCTGTGGTGACAGGAACAGAGGCCCCGCCCTCTGCGCCGCGCCACAGGAGGAAAAATAACAATTGTTCTTGAGAGAGACAGACCAGAGAGAGAGACCAGAGAGAGAGACCAGAGAGAGAGGCACCGGAGCAGCAGAGATGTAAGCAATGGCCTATTATAACTAAAGCAAGCTGGAGGCCCAGACAAGTGTTTCCCAAGCTGTAGTGCGAGGCCTTCACATGCTCCTGCTCTGGGTCTAGGGTAGTGAACAGAGATCATGTAACACACTTCTTTCTCTTTAGTCTGAGGAGTTTGATTGATTGTTTAAGCTGCTGTTGATCCACTGTCCATACACTCCAGCCTCAGGCAAACACACGCACAGACATCCACACACAAACACCAGCAGACACAAGCAAAAACACGCACATACAGAGGCACACACAAACACACACACACAGACAGATATACATACACATTCACATGTGTGTGTTGCAGGTGTTACGTGTTCCAGTGGAGAGCTGTGATCAGTACTCCTCCTGCTCCTCGTGTCTTGGCTCCAGAGATCCTCACTGTGGCTGGTGTGTGCTGCACAACAGGTGAGAAACTGAGAGGGGGGAATCGAGCAGAGAGAAGACAGCGGGGGGTCTCTCGTCTGTAATTCTCTCGTCTCTCGTCTGTAATTCTTTTATCTTTTAGGTGCACTCGTACAGATCGTTGCGCTCGCTCCTCGGAGCCACAGAGATTTGCTACCAATCAGAAACAGTGTGTGGAGCTCAGCGTTCAGCCGGACACTGTGTCGGTCACCATGTCCCAGGTCCAGGTGAGTGTGACATCAGAACAATGCCTCAATGTGGAAGAGTTAGCTGGAGACAATTTCCTTTGATGGCATTTGTTTAGCGCCCATATCAGGGGCAGACATGTTGCTAAGACGGTTGCTAAGGCAAGCTGGAGTTTCCTGGTCTCTCACTGGTCTCTCTCTGGTCTCTCTGGTCTCGCTCTGGTCTCGCTCTGATCTCTCTCTGATCTATCTCTCTCAAGTCTCTCTCTGGTTTCTCTCTACACTCTGCTCAGGATTCTGCAGACTGCACTGAACCAAGACATGAACATATCTCTTGTTGTTCACTGCTGCTTTTCTGATGCTTTTGTGGTGAGATAATAACTATTTGTGTGTTTGTGGCGCCCCCTGCAGCTGGTCCTGGAGGCGCGGAATGTCCCGGATCTCTCTGCTGGAGTCAATTGCTCTTTCGAGGACTATGTGGAGACCGAGGGCGAGATCCAGGACGGGAAGATCTACTGCTTGTCACCAAACAACCGGGATGTGGTGCCGATTACAAGAAACAAGGGTGAGACCAGAGAGACGAGACAATTCAGTTACATTCACTTCAATTTATTCTTGTATAGCCCTAAATCACAACATTTGTTATCTCTGAGGAGATAACTACGTTGAAATCTCCAACACAGATCAGAGAATTAAACACAAAGAATAGAGAACAAACGTCCATGAATGTTGATAAATGTCCATAAGGAAAAACTCTAAAACTAAGTGGGAGAAAAGTGAGAAACCTCAGGGAGACCCACATTGAGAGAGGGATCCGCTCCACACCGACAGGCTATAGTTCCAGGACCTAAGGCCCTTCCCAATTCTGAGGGCACTTGAGTTGTGAGTGCCCTCAACAGAAAAGTGCCCTCCAATAGGGGAGTGCCCTTGTTTGTGTTCTCCCTAAGAAACGGGACACGCCTATGTTTGCAAAATGATGCAGGCAAGGTGTTACACGTCACACGCAACGTTGACGTTTCTGATTTCACTACAGGTAAGATAGACTTTATGAAACAAAGTATTGTATTGTATCTCATACAAAGAAGATTTGCTACAATAAGGTACAGGACTGCTCCATATCACGCACACAGAGACAGACGGGTACAGCCGCAGATCACTAGGCACCCTGTCAAATTGATGCTCTGAACTACATCATGGATCTATATTAATAACATGCATCCATTTCTAAGAAGCCTCAGTGACGCTACATGCTGTGGCCGTATCGCAAACAAACATCACCATATTCGACATCAACACACACTTTAAAAAACCTTTAAATTACTCGCACACGCTTCGAAGGCGCAGCTTTGCCTGACACCTACCTATCGGATTGCGAGACGAGACCAGGGAGACCACATAATGTTCTATGCCTGTTCTATTTGGAGTTGTGTTGACTCAAAACTCCAGGTCTCTGGTCCGTTCCTCCTCTTTCAGGTTTCACATATTCTCCTGAGTAAATGTGGATTTTCTCTCCTGAAAGTGTTCCTTAGCAACTCGCTCCCGTCCTCACACCTCTGCACAGCGGGGGAGCGGTAAAAATAGTCTGAGACGTCGACACACTAACGACAGACGCTAACAAGACGCTAACGAGACGAACAAGTCCACAGGGAAACTAGCGGAAATGTGGAGGAGTTATACTGAAGCCATTCCTGTCAGAGAGGCACAATGGCCTCAGCTTCTGTCCATGTTCTCGAAGTTTTCTCTTTCGTTTAGTTTGTTTACTCCCAGTTGTTTTAGAGCAAGGGTCTGACCTCAGCGCATATAGGAGGAGTGGAGGGACAAAGTGTAACATCACCATAGCGTTAATGGGGAAGAGGCCTATTTGTATGGGCATTTGTTGTGTCGCGCAGTGACAGGGGCAGACGTCTTATTATAGCTCATATCAATATCATATTTTCTATACATGTCTTAAGCCCAAAATGGTGAGTGTGACACAAACGGTTACTGAGCTAAAGGAGTTTACTTTTACATGTAAATCAATAGAGTTGGAGAAAACTTCATCCATGAGCACCACCCTATTGGGCTTCATTGAACTTGTGGGTTAGCTGTGTCTGTACAGTGAAAGTTGTCCGACCAAGTAGATCCCCAAAGGATTTTGACATTAAACATATACTAAATACTCCAAGTTAAACTGTGAATACAGAAGTTATAGTTTTCCACTCTAACCCTAACCCACTAAATAGGCGTCAAACAGCACTTATATCGAAATTTCCCCACTGTGGGACGAATAAAGGAATTCTTATCTTATCTTACCGACCACAGGTGTCAAACACGAGGCCCGAGGGCCAAATGTGGCCCCCCAGATAATTTCAGTCGCCCCTGAAATGATTCTCAATTACTATTGACCCAGCTTTGGTTCAGTCCAAACCCACTGAACTAGTTTTGTTCAGAAAAATCTACCAGAAAATAATAACCTTAACCTTCTGTCTAAATACCTTCACCACATGCAGAAAAATATCCAGAGATGCATAAGATGAGCTTCAAACAGTTTTTGACTGTCGGCCCCCGGGAGCCGTTATGTTTTAAATCCGGCCCTCAGCCAAGATGAGTTTGACAGCCCTGCTCAAAAGAACATGCCAAATCTCTGTCCCTGTCTCTGTGTGTGTCTGATTAAATTGTGTGTTTTTATTGTGTTTCCAGGAGACAGACGAGTCGTGAAGCTCTTCCTCAAATCCAAAGAAACTGGGAAGAAGTTTGCCAGCGTGGACTTCATATTCTACAACTGCAGCGTGCACCAGTCGTGAGTCCATCCTCTTGATACTACTGTAGTCTTGCTGTAGACCTGCTGTAGTCTTGTTGTAGACCTGCTTTAGGCCTGCTGTAGACCTGGTCAGTTTATCAACAGCAGTAATTCCAGGTTAATATTTCAATAACTATAATAATGAGCCGTATTAGACGAACTGAAGTTTGAGGAAAGCCCCTCAAGAAGAACAATCTTCCTCAAACTCGTCTTCAATGTAATTGGTTCTGTGTAAACACAAGCTTGGGTCAAATCTACAAACATGGATCTGTCTGCGGAGGCTAATCTGTCTAAGCTAACAGTGCTGACCTCCTGTAGCGCCATGCTAACAGGCCACTGCTAACCCCCCTCACACACACACACAGACAAGCACGGACCCCCCAGAGCTCCGCGGGCTTACCCGTCTGCCTCAGCCTTAGCCCGGGGCAGCAGATGGTGCGGGGGTCTCTGGGGGTGAGCTGAGAGCGCTAATATGCTAACACTGGCTAATGCTCATTTACCGCCACAAGACAAACACTGCAGGATTCTAGTTCGAACAAGACGATATATTTGTTCTATAGACTATAGAAGTTTCATTAATATTCCATCACAGACACCGAGTGTTCAGCTAATTATCCACATATTCCCTATTCCTATTTGCCCCAAGAGAAAGAGTAATGGAAAACATGTAACATTTTGCATATTTCTTAACTCTGAATGCAAATAGTAAGATTATACACTGGTCCCTGGTTTATCACAAGGTCACATTCTCAATATAACATGCAAAAAAGGGAAATCCTTGAAGTAGCAGCTCTGTTTTAAGGCTGTGAACCCCTTTTATTAGGGATTCTCAATATATAGGTATAGATATCGATATCGGCCGATGTTCATCATTTTTTAACGTATCGGACCGATGAGCAAAAAGGACGAAAGAAATGCGTAAGCATTCGCAGTCGCTGACTTTCATAGATACAATGCAGTATTTTTGTGTTGTAAACGGTTGTAGTAACCGAGGCAACTGGGAGAAAGAACTGTTAAATAATTTTTTCAAACCAACGTGTATAAAAGAACTAAAATCAGGCTGTACAATCTAAGCTGTTAGCTTACTGCTGTGGAGCTTCCTCCGAGCTTAAGTCCGAACTTTTTATAATATACAGCTGAACAAATCATTGAGTCACTATAACAGAAAAAATAGGAAGAAATTCAGTATGTACAAACTTTTATCATCTCAGGAAATCGGCAAATATTGGTCATCGGCCACAAAAGAAACATTTATATCGGATATCGGTATCGGCCAAAATGTTAATATTGGTGGATCCCTACACTTAATACACTGTTCAATCCACCTGAACTCACAACTGCTGAGTTTCTCTGATCTCTCTCTCTCTCCAATCAATATACATTAAGACAACATGAAATTTCCTTTAGAAATATCTTGATAGTTATTAGCATTAACCCCATAGCATTAGCATTAAAATTATCTTTAAAATCAGCAGTCAGCCAATCAAAAGTATACATATATCTGCATCGGTCTGACACAGAAACCCCGGATCGGTCCCTGCTGCAGAAGGAACTTCTGTAACTTTCAGACTTAACAGTTTTGAAGCAGTGTAGTTGCAGTCTAATGTTCGCTAGTTGTGGACATCGAAGTTGGGATTTGACTGTGATTAATCGGTAGAACGTAGTCTCTAAGAGCCGCTCAGCCGTGTCACTTAATCCTCCGACAAAACCTGACACCGCAACCTGTGACCCCAGAGTCCGATGCCTCTTTAGGACCCACTCCCCCTCCCCACATTAGCCTGTTAGCTTGCCTGGTCTCCCCTATAGACTATATGTCTATGCTAACATAATAGACTGTATATAGATGGACAATGCCAAAAGGAAAGTGCTCATGGTGAAGTTTAGCTCCAACTCATTATTTTGGGCTTAAATCTGTGGTTTAGTGTTCACTGTGATCCTGGTGTTTATATTGTGATTTTCTCTTTGTAAATACAGATATTAGCCATATAGGAGGATCTTGGAGTGACGTCGTTGTTTATAGTTTTTCCGCGCCGGTCACGTGACCAGGTGGCAAAACAGCAAAGAAAGCTACCTGGATGCTGGAGAGTTAGCCATTTTTAGTGGTGAAAAACGCGTGAAATGGATTTTCACCACGGACCTTTCTTGCGTGAAGGGGCTCCGGGTTTTCTATGAAGTAAGAATAAGTCCCAGTCCCAGCAGATCGGTGCCAAGACAGAGGCGAGTCTGACCTGTCATCCCAGGTCTCATATGGACTTTGAATTTGTTCAGTATACTTATTTTTAGCTTGTCTTTATATCTCCTCTGATCTTCTTGCGTTAAAGTGCTTATATAAAGTGCTATTCGCCCACTGAGTCTTTTAAAAGTACTCGTCGCATCCATGCTTTAGTAAGTGCCGCTCTGTCTTTGCACACGTGGATGTAAACAAAGATCCTCCTATAAGGATTGACCAATTAGATGCCTTCATGCGTGGGGAAACTCCAACTTGTCTTAGCAACACGTCTGCACTTGTTACAGCATGAAGCTTACCCCGTCAAAACAAATGCCCAAATAAGGGAAGGCTTATGCTAGCTTATATTCAAATCGGCTTCTTCCACAAGGTTAACACTATGGTGATGTCACACTCAGTCAGTCCCCTCCTAATATACAGCCTCCCCACATTGGCCTGTTAGCTGGACTGGTCTCCCTTCATTAGCCTGTTAGCCTGCCTGGTTAACTGCATGGGAAATGTTAAGTGGTGTCCCTCGGGGCCTGCTGGGGATCGGAGTGAGTGCAGGGGTCATGTTCAGGTCTGACCCCTCCGTTGACCTTTGGTATTAACATCATTTGATGCTTGTGTCCCATGTCCTTATTCATGAGGAAATGGAATATTGTAGCATTTGTTCAAGCAGACTTTTGCTTCAAAACAAGAAAAATAGAAATATATTAGAAGTGGCAGCGGCAACAGCAGCAGCGGCACCAGCAGTAGTAACATTAGTAGTAGGAGTAATAGTAGCAGCAGCAGTAGTAGTAGATTAAGAGATCCTTTATTTGTCCCACAGTGGGGACATTTCAGTGTTGCATCACAAGTTAAAGAGCAGCACACAGCACAATAATAATAGTAACTGCAGTATTGGCAGTAGTAGTAGTAACATTAGTAGTAGTAGTAGCAGCATTAGTAGTAATTGTATCAGCAGCAGAAGTACAAGAAGCAGCAGTAGAAGGAGCAGAAACAGCAGCAGTAGTAGTAAGAGTAGTATTCCCTCTTATGTGCTCCAGTCATTCCTGTCTCTAATTGAAACACTCATTAATTCTCTCATTATGATAATGTATGTATTTTGTGACGAGGCTGGAGCTCCGCAGCGATCAGCAAAGTCAACACACGCCGGGGGATGAGGGGGCTTCCTCTGCGGCTGCTCTGTGTGCTTATGTACATGGAAATGCTCTGCAACCTCTCACCGCATTCAACTGTTGAACCTCTTGTCTCAGTCTTATCTCTTTAGAGATAATGAATCTGTAATTCACAAAGTTTCACATCTTCTTTGTCAGCACATATAAAACTATATGGTCTCGCTCTGGTCTCTCTTTGGTCTCGCTCTCTGGTCACTTTATAGTCCCTCTCTCTGGTCTCTTTCTCCTCTCTCCCCTCCTCTCTCCCCTCTCCCATCTTCACTCCTGTCTCTCCTCTCTTTGCGCCTCTTTTTTCTCTCCTCTTCTCTCTCTCCTCTTCTCTCCTTTAATATTTTAAACTTCAAACCGTCTATAATTAGGTGAAATCTTTTTACAAACGACACTAGCATCAGAATGGGTCTTAGTGTGTTTTCTCCAGTGGCACGCGCTCGCCGCCTGCTCCATCTAATCCTCACATTCACATGTTAATGAGGCTACGCTAGCCCCATGCTAATGAGGCTACGCTAACCCCAGAGCTGAGGCATTGTGGGCCGTGACTGCTGTGACAGCGGCGACACGGCTGAATAACTCGCCCTCAACGAATATTTCATCAAACTTGACTTGAACACAGGCCGAATTGGTCCCATTTACCAGGTTAAAACATGGACTTAAAGGGGAGGTATGATGACCAAAACACGGTGTTTAAAGGAGAGGCATAATGACCAAAACAGACTTAGACATATTCTGCAAATTATATATTTTTTCATGTTTCCCTGTTTCTTCTTGATGGTTACAGTCCTTCCTCCACTGTTTTAACACATGACATGGTTCTGATCTCAGACGTCTGCAGCTCCACTCTCTCCTCTTTTCACTCTCTCCTCTCCTTGTCTCCTCTCTTCTCCTCTTTCTCCTCTCCTCTCTCCTTCTCTCTCTTCTCTCTCACATTTGTCTTCTGGACATGGGACCATTAGGATCAGTTAGAGCAGCTCGTTTGTTATATCTGTGTTGTAGTAATGTCTCCCCCCTCCCCAGACGCCTCCCCCTGTGTTATAAGATCATGTCACATTTGTCAGAGTTAAACCAAACGAAAGGACGTTCTTCCATTAGGAACCATCAGAAGAGAGATGGAGGAAATGAGAGGGGGGAGAGGAGTGAGAAGAGGAGAGGAATGGGCACCTACAGTATTCTAAGTCTGGATTTGTATTTCTGGTAAATTTCTGCAAAAGCAGAGTTTGAATAAACCTAGACCCAGATGTTGCTGTGTTTGTACGGTGCTCAGGAACTTGTGTCTCAGAGGTCTTTTGTTTTTTTGATGTAGTTTTAAGAATACAAACAATGGCATTATCCTTTCCTCCTCTCACCCACTCTCTTCACCTCTCTCCCCTCCCCTCTTCTCATGTTCGCTGCATGCCTTGATGTGTATATATGTGTATGTGTATTCATCAAACTGTCCTCCACTCCCCTTCTCTCTCTTCTCTCCCCTCACTGACTTCTCATCTCTCTCCCGCTCATCATTCCCTTCCTCTCTCCTCCTCTCTTCCCCCTCTCCTCCCTTCTCTCACCTTCTCGTCTCATCTCTTGCAGATGCCTATCGTGTGTAAACGGCTCGTTCCCATGTCACTGGTGTAAATACCGCCACATGTGCACACAGAACGCACTGGACTGTTCCTTCCAGGAGGGACGCGTCAAAATGTCTCAGGTAAAACTGTGTCTGTCTGAGTGTGTCTGAGAGTGTGTGTGTTTGTGTGTGTTTGTTTGTGTTTGCTTCTTTTGCCTCTGATTTGTGTATTTTGTTTTTTTAAATTGCGAAGATTGAGAATGTGTGCGTTGGACCTGGATCTGGTCTTTTCTGAGGTTGTCTTTCTTCCTTCCTCTCTCTCTCTCTCTCTGCCTCACCCCTGGGCCCTGTTCTCTCTGTGTGTGGTTGTATTTGGATCTGGTCTAGTTCTGGGTCTGGGTCCCTTCCTTCTCTCACTCCCTCACCTCTGGGCCCTGTTCTCACTGTGGTAGCCGCTGTTCTCCTCCGCTCCAGAAGGTTGTGCTAATCCTGCATCAGCTCCGTGAGGCGTGAAGAGCACAGCTGATGTCACACTAAAGCTCAGCTCCTTGAAACACGGCTGAAGAATGGAATTGTCAGACCAAAAAGGCTGATTTGATGCATGTTCTGGCAACCCTCTCCCAGTCTGCATTTGTTCAGACTTAGAGATTAAGAGAAGTAGAGTGCTGTAATTCAGCAATCAGTGTTTAAAGTTTTCAATTCTATGTGTTTGTGTATCGTCCAAAATCACAACAGTCGTCGTGGAGTTTGTATGTTCTCCCCGTGTCTGCAGGTTTTCCCCGTGTGCTCCGGTTTCCCTTACCACTAAAAAATATGTATAATAGGTCTGGCATGCGCCTTCTGTTCGGCAACACCGCTCCCATCTCTATGTGGAGTGATAAGACAAATGCACACAACAATTGTAAAGCGCTTTACACTCTCCAGAAATGTGAATAAATGAGTAGAAAGGTCCTGGATCATCACTGCTCAGCAACCCACTCACAGGGAGAACACAGTGGATGGCTGTAGATCCAGGACTGAGGCAGTAGATCCAGGACTGAGGCAGTAGATCCAGGACTGAGGCAGTAGATCCAGGACTGAGGCAGTAGATCCAGGACTGAGGCAGTAGATCCAGGACTGAGGCAGTAGATCCAGACTGAGGCAGTAGATCCAGACTGAGGCAGTAGATCCAGGACTGAGGCAGTAGATCCAGGACTGAGGCAGTAGATCCAGGGCTGAGGCAGTAGATCCAGGACTGAGGCAGTAGATCCAGGACTGAGGCAGTAGATCCAGGACTGAGGCAGTAGATCCAGGACTGAGGCAGTAGATCCAGACTGAGGCAGTAGATCCAGGACTGAGGCAGTAGATCCAGGACTGAGGCAGTAGATCCAGGACTGAGGCAGTAGATCCAGGACTGAGGCAGTAGATCCAGGACTGAGGCAGTAGATCCAGGACTGAGGCAGTAGATCCAGGACTGAGGCAGTAGGTCCAGGACTGAGGCAATAGATCCAGGACTGAGGCAGTAGATCCAGGACTGAGGCAGTAGATCCAGGACTGAGGCAGTAGATCCAGGACTGAGGCAGTAGATCCAGGACTGAGGCAGTAGATCCAGACTGAGTCAGTAGAGCAGGACTGAGGCTGTAGGTCCAAGACTGAGGAGGCTTCGAGGCAGCACACACTTGTACAAACTTCCACAGACCAGACTCGTACACAGCACTCGAGTCACACATAGCCATAGAAATAAACTCGTCTTGCCTAGACTAACTTAAAGGAAAAAAACAAAAACAAATCCTGTTTCGTTCGTTGTCTGTTTTCCGTATCCTTTTCTCCAGGTGTTTTTCAAAAAAATTTCCTCAATCCTGGATCCTCTGTTTCTATGGCAACAACATCTTCTCTCGGTGAAAAGCTGGTGATAGTTTTATTTTATTATTTAGTTTCTCGTTCCTCTGAAAACCGAGCAGAAGCTATTTTTACCTCGGCTGGCACAAAATCAACATAACCACAAATAAGCCCCGTTTCCACCAGCCCGACTTGGCCCTTCTCTACCTGATTCTATTCCCGTAACACTTAAGTATCTGGTACCGTATCCTAGCTATCTACCCACAACAAACCAGTACTGGGAATTTTCCTGGTAACCATGGCTTCCAGCAGCACTCCAACTTGGCCTGGATAGAACCAGGGCCGAGTAGAGTAGAGGAGAGTAGAGTAGAGTAGAGGAGAGTAGAGTAGAGTAGAGTAGAGTAGACCACAGACTGGACCACAGACTGGACCACAGACTGGACCACAGACTGGACCACAGACTGGACCACAGACTGGACCACAGACTAGACCACAGACTGGACCACAGACTGGACCACAGACCGGACCACAGACCGGACCACAGACTGGACTTCTCTAAAAATCGTTTTAATTTGTTTTAATGTAAATCTGTTTGAGGATTTGTCAAACGCTCAGATTAGCTCAGCGCTGCTCCTGTTGTTTTATTCATACATGTTTTCATTTCTCATTCTCAGTGGGAAGCAGAGGGAGGGGGGCGGGGGGATGTGGAGGGAAAGAGGAGCGGGGTGCGTTTGACCCAGAAATGAGCCGTGGTGCGTCTCCAGAGGCTGTCAATCACAACCTCCGCAAAACGCCACAAAAACACAATCATTGAAACAAAGAGAAAGTAGTCTGTGTTTAGACCTTGTTTGGTCCTGCTTTAGTCATGCTTTAGTCCTGGTTTAGTCCTGCTTTAGATCTGCTTAGTCCTGCTTTAGTTCTAGTTTAGATCTGCATTAGACCTAGTGTGTGTTACAGCAGAGCCCGGACTCCTGATCGGACTCCTGACCTCCTGACCGGACTACACACTGGAACACACACTGGACCACACACTGGACCACACACTGGAACACACACTGGACCACACACTGGACCACACACTGGACCACACACTGGACCACACACTGGACCACACACTGGACCACACACTGGACCACAGACTAGACAAGTTATTGTCTCCATCTTAAAAGCATTGATCTGCTTTGTTAAAAAAAAAACTTTGACTGAGAACAAAGAGAATTCTGATGAGATGCTTTAAAATTCACACACAGAAACGTACACACTTAAAGAGACACACACACTCACAGAGACACACACTCTCTGTTTAATCCGCTCTTTTGGCCCAAGTCCTTGGTCTTGTGTGCCGCTCGTCCCCTGGGTATTAGGTGCAGGTCTCACATACAGCTCATTATTGAACCCAAGCTGGTTTCCTGCTGTCCTCCACTGTTATTCTCCACTGTTAACATAGATCTTGATCTTGGTCTCTGGTCTCAACCTGGTTCCACCCTGGTCTCACCCTGGTCTCACCCTGGTCTCACCCTGGTCTCACCCTGGTCTCACCCTGGTCTCACCCTGGTCTCACCCTGGTCTCACCTTGGTCTCTTTCCCCCATAGGACTGCCCCCAGATCCTGCCCTCCTCTCAGATCTTCGTCCCGGTCGGAGTCACCAAACCTATCACTCTGTCGGCAAAGAACCTCCCTCAGCCTCAGTCGGGTCAGAGGAACTACGAGTGTGTGTTCAACATCCAAGGCGAGATCCAGAGTGTCCCAGCCCTGAGGTTCAACAGCTCCTCCATCCAGTGTCAGAAGACCGCTGTGAGTTCTAGTGCTGTTACTGCTGCTGTTACTGCTGCTGTTACTGCTGCTGTTACTGCTGCTGTTACTGCTGCTGTTACTGCTGCTGTTAATGCTGCTGTTACTGCTGCTGTTACTGCTGCAGCTACTAGAGAGGCCAGAGAGGAGAGACCAGAGACCTTTCTGTTCTAACTGGTTCTTGTCCTTCTTTCCTGGTTGCAGTACTCGTATGAGGGCAGTGACATCAGCGACCTGCCCGTGGACCTCTCAGTGGTCTGGAACGGGAACTTCATCATCGACAACCCCCACAACATCCAAGGTGAGAGAGCGTGTGCATCTGCAAACAGGTCGTGAATGTAATTATAACCACGCCTGTAGCTGGCACCGATTGGAGCCGAGAGCGCGACGAACAGGATTTAGACTCTGACTCGGCTTCGTGCTCGTGTTTGTGAGAGCAGAGACTGTCCTAATGTCACTGCAACAAATGAGCTGTCTGTGTTTATTTACAGCTGTTTCCAAATGATAATGAGGTCAGACACTCCTGACTCTGATCAGAACTCTCCATCCTTCACTTCTCAATTGTTTGTGTTTTAACATCACTGAAAACTTGGAGTCTGGTGTGATAGTTGTGGATGTGGCTTTTATCCTCTCTGGTCTCTCGTTCTAGTCTCCCTCAGGTCTCCTTCTAGTTCCCATCTCTGGCGTCTTTCTCTTTGGTATCTCTTTGGTCTCCCTCTGGTTTCTTACTCTGGTCTCTCTCTCTGGTCTCTTTCTGGTCTCTCTCTCTGGTCTCTCTCCCTGGTCTCTCTCTCTGGTCTCTCTCTCTGGTCTCTCTCTCTGGTCTCTTTCTGGTCTCTCTCTCTGGTCTCTCTCTGGTCTCTCTCTCTAGTATATCTTTGGTCTCTCTCTGGACACTCTCTCTGGTCTCTCCCTGGTTTCACCCCGTCTCTCTCTCTGGTCTCTCTCTCTGCTCTCTCTCTCTCTGGTTTCTTTCTAGTCTCTCTCTCACTCTGTTCCCTCTCTCTGGTCTCTGGTGTCTCTCTCTCTGGTATCTCTCTGGTCTCTCTCACTGGTCTCTCTCTGGTCTCTCTCTCTGGTATCTCTCTGGTCTCTCTCTCTCTGATATCTCTCTGGTCTCACCCTGTCGCTCTCTTGTGTTGGCAGCTCACCTGTATAAGTGCTTTGCTCAGCGGGAGAGCTGTGGTTTGTGCCTGAAGGCTGAGCCGCGGTTCGACTGCGGCTGGTGCGTCCAGGACAAGAAGTGTTCACTGCGGCAGGAGTGCGGCGCTGGCGAGGCCACGTGGATGCACGCCACAACGGGGAACTCCCGCTGCGCACATCCCAAGATCACCAAGGTACACCCTCACAAACTGTAGCCTAAGACACCCAAGGGTCTCTCGCTATTCTCTTTCTCTAGTCTCTCTCTCTAGTCTCTCTCTATTCTCTCTTGTCTTGACTCTCTCTGGTGTCTCTTTCTAGTCTCTCTCTTTATTCTCTCTCTCTCTAGTCTCTCTCTATTCTCTCGTCTTGACTCTCTCTGGTGTCTCTTTCTAGTCTCTCTCTTTATTCTCTCTCTCTCTGGTCTCTCTCTCTCGTCTCTCTCTGGGTCTCTCTGCTTTCTCTCTGTGGTGTCTCTCTGAAAGTACTTACATCCAGACCAGGCCAAAGCTCTCTGGATTCAAATGAAATAGTCAATTTTGCACATATTCCATTTCCGGTCCCTGTCACGGTTTTACATTGCGCTCGGTTCACTTATCTCCCACAAACACAAAGTGAGTGTAGGAGAGGATGGGGGAGGAGAGGGGGTAGCTATCGCAGTGATGGAGCCAAGCCAGAGAGCACAGTACTGTGGGGGGTAAGTCGGCCCTGAGGCTGGAGACGTGTGGGAGTCTTAAATCAAACAGGGAAATTACACTGAAGCAAGTGGTGAGAGGTGTGTGCGTGTGTGTGCATGTGTGTGTGTGTGTGTGTGTGTGTGCATGTGTGTGTGTGTGTGTGTGTGTGTAAGTGTGTGTGTGTGTGTGTGTGTGCATGTGTGTGTGTGTGTGTGTGTGTAAGTGTGTGTGTGTGTGCATGATGTGACAGAGGCCAAAAATATATGAACAGTGATAGAAGCAAACTGTTTAAAGCCAGCACTAACCAACTAGTAACAACATCATATAACTCTGGACTCTCTTTCTGGATCTCTCTCTGGTCCCTCTCTCTGGTTCCTCTGGTCCCTCTCTCTAGTCCCTCTCTGGTTTCTCTCTCTCTGGTCTCTCTCTTTGGTCCCTCTCTCTGGTCTCTCTCTGGTCTCTCTCTGTTCTTTTTTATGTTCTCTTTCAACCCGTCTCTCTCCAAAGCTCTGATCCCGTTTCACGCCTCATTGTCCGACGCCTTTGTGTGCAATGCTAGCTGCGCTGCGGCACCATTAGCGTTAGCCGATTAGCCGCTAATTTGATTTCAGTCCGGGACACGGAGCCCTCTGATCCTCCTGTCATTCGGGTTGACGCTTTTAACCCAAACGGGAAAAATTGGACAACACTCTTGTGTGCTCTGGGAGAGAGGGCTCCGTCAGAAGAGCATTAAGACATTCTGCCATCAATATAAGTTGCTTTATTGCATAATAATAATTTTAATTATTATTATTATTAGATGGGGGGATTCAATTCAATTTAATTGTGTATTGCTCAAAAGAACAGCAGCAGTCGCCTCTGAGGACTTTACAGATAAGAGAATCAAACACAGAAAATGCAATAATAACAAACACAAAGGAGCCATTGGTCCATATGCAATGGAATGACCACTGTCCAGAAATGTAAATGAAAGTGCAGAATGATCATCACTCTCCTTAGACCCACCTGCATCGGGAAGGAACCACTCAGAAACCCAGGACTGAGGCTGTAGATTGTGGACTGAGGCTGTAGATTGTGGACTGAGGCTGTAGACCCAGGATTGAGGTTTGATCTGGCCTGGTCCTCCATAAATAACCCTCTCTCTTCCTACAGCTGTCTCCAGAGACTGGACCTCGTCAGGGGGGTACCATGCTGACCATCACGGGGGAGAACCTGGGTCTCCAGTTCAAAGACATCCAGAGTGGAGTGCGCATCGGCAAGGTGGTGTGTCACCCACAGGAGGAGCAGTACGTCATCGCAGAGCAGTGAGTAACTTTGCCTTTCTCAACGTGTTTTTGGATGTGCAAGTAGCATAGAGCATATATAAATGGACTGAGTGAGTGTGACGTCACCATAGTGTTAGCTTGAATGCGGAAGAGGCTGACTGAACTTGAGCTAGCTAGGACCTATTTCCTGATATGTGCCTACCTTGCACGTCGTTGATTTAAGACCAAAAGTGTGACACAAATGGTTACTGAGCTAGAGGAGTTTACTTTTACATGTAAGTCAATTGGAGCCAGAGTTGGAGAAAAACTTCTCCATGATAAGATAAGACATCATTGATCTCACACTGGAGACATTTTCAAGAGAACTTCCCTATTGGGCTTCATTGAGCTAGCGGGTTAACATTGTCCATTTGATACAGTCTATGATGTATGTTTTTTGTATTGTGTGTCTCTAAAGCTTGTGTGTGTCTTTTCAGGATTGTGTGTCAGCTGAATGATGCCACAGGATACAGGGTGCAGGAGGCCCAGGTGGAGGTGTGTGTGCGCGACTGTAACCATCCGGACTACAAGGCTGTGTCCAACAAGGCCTTCACCTTTGTGGTACGAGCAACACACAACACACAATTGAGAGACTGCTACACAACTGAGAGACTGCTACACAACTATGAGACAGCTACACAACTGAAAGCTTTAGAGACTACTACACAAGTCTCTGTCTGGTGTCTCTCTCTCTGGTCACTCTTTCTGGGACACATGGACGACATCATAACTGGTCTTCTCTCCCTCCCCAGTCCCCGTACTTCACCCGGGTCCAGCCCACCTCAGGGCCCCTCTCAGGGGGAACACGGATCACCATCGAGGGCAGTCACCTGAACGCCGGGAGTGCAGTTTATGTGAAGATTGGACTGCACCCATGTCGCTTCGAGAGGTAAGATTCAGATTCAGAAAACTTTATTGATCCCAAAGGGCAGTTCATTTGCAGCATAAACTCAAAGCAGAACACACATACTCTTCACAAAAACACAGTGAGTCTCACAGTTCACACAGCAGCAGGTTACACAATATAAGTAACAAAAACAACACTGAACAACACAATTCCCAAAAGTTAACCCCCTCTACCAGAGTTCAACAGTTTTATAGCAGAGGGCACAAAATAATTGGAAAAACGGTTTGTTTTCTGTGCTGGAGCATAAAACGACGCCCTGAAGGCATCAATACAAAGTCAGCGATCAGAGGATATTTGGGCTGAGCCAGAATACATTTTGCTTTATTCAGCACCTCTTCCAGTGATTTTGGAGCAAGTTCTCACTATTCTCTGTAACTTATCCCTGTCCTTCAGGGTCAGGCTTTGGAACCAACAGATAAAAGAAAAGCTAAGAAGGCTTTCAATAAAAGAACAATAAAAATGATTAAGAATTAGCCTGTTTACATTAAAAGAGTTCAATTTCCTCAACAGGTACATTCTCTGCTGCGACCGTTTAATGATAGACTCAGTGTTTATGTCAAACTTCAGTTTGTTGTCTATCGTTGTTCCAAGATACTTGTAATTGTCCACGATTTCCACATTCCCTCCGTGAATGACACTGGTGTCATTGGATGTAACGCGTCTGAAATCAATTAAATCAATGTCCTTGGTCTTGGCAACATTTGAATCCAAGCTATGGTTTTCACACTAGGAGACAAATTGTGCTAGTGCAGGACCATGGCCCGTCTCTGAGCCGGCAAGCAGTGACACCAACACTTTACGTCTGAAAATTTAAGCAGAAGTCTGTTCTCCTCTGATGATCGACAACTGTTTGTGTAGAGGATAAAAAGAAGAGGCGAAAGGACACATCCTTGGGGCGAACCCGTGCTGGAGATTGAAGGAGCAGACATTTTCCCATTCACTAAAATATGCTGAACACGATCAGTAAGAAAGTTTAATATCAGTAAAAGAAGTTAGTCCGGGAGATAGAAATCAGCAGCTAATTTCTGTCCCAGAATATGAGGCTGGATTTTGTTAAAAGCCGATGACAAGTCAGCAAATAAAAGTCTAACATGGGCCCCGGCCTTCTCCAGGTGTTTATAAATGACATACAATAGGAACAGTTTTGCATCATCAACTCCTTTTTGGGTTGATACGCAAATTGCAGTGGATCCAGTTGTCCTTCTGTTAAGGAGAGGATGTGAGTCTTTAAAATGTGCTCAAGGCTTTTCATAACCAGTGAGGTTAAAGCAACTGGTCTGAAATCTCAAATCTTTTGAGTTCTTAGATTTGAGAAGACGTATCACTATTGACGTTTTCCACAGCGTTGGAATCTGGCAAAGATCAAAGCATTTTTGGAATAAAAAACAAAACACACCGCTGAGCTGAGTGGCACAATGGTGCAAAGTGCTACCACCCATAAAAACGGCAAACACTCTCTGCTCGAGGTAGCTACGCGGGTCGCACACTTTGAAGCTTCCCCGGAAGTAAAGATCTGAGACCTGACACTGACAATTCACCCCAAATACAAGAAAGAGCAGGCTCCTTTTGTGGCACCGGTACCTGACACAACTGACCCAGGTGGTGCACTCTTGCAGGAGCTGGCTGGGGCCGGCTGACAGTGGCGCGGTGTATGGAGCCCTAGCAGGGTTGACAAGACCCAACTGCCAAGTACTCTGTCGTCTGGTCTGTCTTTGTAACAGCGGAGCCAGACCAGGAGACACTTGTCAAATCATCTTCTTTATCTTCTACAGGGCCTACACATGCCCATATGTCCCCCCCTCCTCCCTTACAGATGGAGTGGTTGGGACATCGTCTGCATCATCCCTGCAAGCCGTGGTCTCCGCCCTCTCACACATTCTAACCCCTCTCTCCCCCCCTCTCCCCTTCACAGACGCAGTGCTCGTGACATTGAATGCATCACCCCAGCAGGTCTTGCCCCTGGTCTTGCTCCTGTTATGGTCGACATAAACTCTGCAGAACTGAGGAACCCTGAGGTCCGGTTCAACTACACTGAGGACCCAACGATCCTGAGGCTGGAGCCGGAGTGGAGCATCGCCAGGTACGCACACACGCACACGCACACACACACACACGCACGCACGCACGCACGCACACACTGAGATGACTCTTACACAACTGTTTGTTTACAGTGGGGGAACCAAGGTAACTGTCACGGGGACGAACTTGGCCACGATCAAAGAACCGAAGATGAGAGCGAAGTATGGAGCGGCCTCCACTGAAAATGTGAGTCTGTGAGGGGGGAGAGAGAGAGAAGAGAGAGAGGGAGGGTGGAAGATCGGGAGATTTGAGCTTTCTTGTTGTGTGTGTTTGTAACTAGGGGTGGGAACCTCAGGGTACCTCATGATACGATACGATACGCGATACAAAGCGCACGTTAACAATTATATCACAATATGACGACGATAAGTTATTAATACATTTTCAACTCTGAATTCAAATACAGCACAAGGTAGCAAGGTCAGCTGATAGATGGAGATGTGTTTCTTTGGCAATATCTTGGTCGTAGAACAATATGTTCAAGTCAAAGCAGATTATTACAAGATAAAACGAGATGATGTTATTTAAATCGATACTTGGCAAAAGCATATCGATAATCGATCACGTGAGAAAGTATAACGATACATCACCATATCGATATATCGACACACTCCTATTTGTAACCTCAAGTGTACTCTTCTGCTCTAGTCTCGACTAGGGTTGCCGAGATTAACCGTTTTTTACAATAATCGCGATTATAAAAGCCGCGAGTTAACTGTAAAGGCGCGTTCAGACCAAAAGCTTCAAAAAGCTTTTGACGCGCTTCAACTGACGCCGGGTTATTTTAGTGATTTTGGTGCTTGAAGCTTTTGACGCTCCTGACGCGCCTGACGCCGGTGGGAGGAGCTTCTCTGTTGCCGGTAGTCAGACAACGGTGGATTTTCCAGAGAGCAGCGAGCAAAATAACGTTGTCGTGGGGTTTCTACAAAACATGTTCTGGGTTCACCACAAACTTGAGAGGCTGCAGTGTTTGCAGAGTTTCGTCATTTACTCCAGAAGTTGCGTTCGGAGGAGTTTCGCTTTCAGCGGTACTTCCGCATGTCACTCGCCCAGTCTGAGTTCCCAAACCCCGGAGCTCGCCTCTCCCCGCCTCTGCTTCCCTCTGCCCGCCTGGAGCTGCCTCGCTCTCGCTCTGAGCCAGACTCATCGTCAGCTTGTTCTTATATTAAATAAATTACGTTTACTACACAGCATGTGTGCAATGATTTTGTTACTTATTAAGAACGTTACTACTCATACAAATAATATTACTAATAACACAAATGACAATAAAACAGCAGCAGCAGTAGTTACATTACTTCTCTTCATGACAGATACAGCCCTGCTGCTGCTGCTCCTCGTCTCCTGATTGGTTGAAGCCCGCGTCAAAGCTTCAAAAGCTCAGCTTTGCTCAGCTTCGGCGTCAAGGGATTGTTTTGATACGCGAGCGTTACACGCGTCAAAAGCTTCATTTATTATTACTCGCGACTTTTGAAGCTTTGACGCGCGCCAAGTGACACCGGGCCCCTCGGCGTCACCTGATGCGCTTCACCATTCACTTTCAATGCAAACCTGACGCTTTTGAAGGCGAAGTGGAGTCCGGTCTGAACGCACCTTAACCTCCTAAGACCCGAGCACTTTTTTGCAATGCATTTTTTATTTATCTTGGCTAAGTGGGCATATTGGGGCCAGATAAGAATATATACTAAGCATCATCTCTTGACATGATGTACATTTTGAGAAAAATGCTGTCCACATATGTGGACGCTCGGTCTGAATTTCCATAAAAAAGGCAATTAAGTAACGACTGTGTAATAAAGTGCAAAACGCTTTATTTCGACACAAACATTTGATAAATGAACAATATTGAACAAGGAACATGTTCAAACATATCTCAGTGCAAAAACAGCAAAAAGAGTACTCGGATGATCCTGGGAGCTATTTGTCTGGGGATTCATGCCCCTGGTAGGGTCTCCCATGGCAGACAGGTCTCAGGTGACGAATCAGACGAAGCGCAGTACAAAGCCAACATAAATAGCATGATATTAAGAACCGTGACGTCGCCCGGCATGGCACAGGGGTTGCAGAGGCAAAAACCCGGGACTGGGAGGAGTTTGGAGAGTCCATGGAGTATGACTATCAGTCGGCCTTAATAAATTGAAGATATTCTGGCAAACCGTCCGGCGTCTCAGGAGGGGGAAGCAGTTCTTTGCCAACACCGTGGACGGTGTAGAGCGAAGAGCTGCTGACCTCCACTGGGGATCTTGTCGGGCGGTGGAAGTAATACTTCAAGGTACTCCTCAATCCCCCCGTCACGTCCTCCAGAACGGAGGCAGAGGTTGAGGATGTTGGGGCAGATACCTCCATCTCCCTGGCAGAGGTCACCAAGGTGGTTGGCAGCCTCCTTGGTGGCAAGGCTCTGGGAGTGGATGAGATCCGCCAAGACTATCTAAAGTCTATTGTAGGACTGTCTTGGCTGACATGTCTCTGCAACATCGCGAGGCGATCGTGGGCAGACCGGGATGGTGGTCCCTCTCTACAAGAAGGGGGACCAGAAGGGTGTGTTCCAATTATTGTGGGATCACACTCCTCAGCCTTCCCGGTATGGTCCACTCCAAGGTACTGGAGAGGAGGCTACGGCCGATGGTCGAATCTCGGATTCAGGAGGAGCAGTGTGGTTTTCATCCCGGCCACGGAACACTGGACCAGCTCTATACTCTCCATCGGTTCATTGAGTGTTCATGGGAGTTCGCCCCCAACCGGTCCACATGTGTTTGTGGATTTGGAGAAGGTGTTCAACCGTGTTCTCCGGGATGTCCTTTGGGGGGTTCTCCAGGAGTACGGGGTATTCTGCCTTAGGGCCTTACGGGCCCTGTATGACCGGAGCCAGAGCTGCGTTCGCATCAGCAGTAAGTCAGACCATGTTGACCTCGGCCAGGGCTGCCCTTTGTCACCGGTTCTGTTTACTGTGTTTATGGACAGAATTTCTAGATGCAGGAGGGGGTCCGGTTTGGGGACCACAGGATTTCATCTCCGCTTTTTGCAGACAATGTTGTCCTGTTGGCTCCGAGGTGCCTTGCCCTCTTCAGGTGGGTGGAGAGGTCCTTCCTCAAGGAGTTCAAGTATCTCGGGGTCTTGTTCACGAGTGAGGGAAGGATGGAGCGTGAGATTGACAGGCGGATCGGTGCAGTGATGCGGTCGCGGTGAAGCTGAGCCGAAAGGCCTTGGGCTCCCCCCTGACAAACTGGAGTGTGTGTGGATAGGGAAGTCTGGGCATCTCTGCGAGCCGGCAACGGATGAAGCGGAAGAAAATAGATGGATGGATGGATTTAACTCATAGGAAATAGACTAAATCAAAGAGCAAGTAAGCACTAATTTTGGAATTATATAGTATGCTGGAAGCACACTGGCTTGATTCAACAGGTGGTCCTTTTAGTTGATGGTGACATAGAAAAACTTGACAATAATAGCAAAAAATTCCATCGAACACAGGTGCATTCCACATGCGATTAGAACAATTTTCAACAAAACTAAGTCCTTCTGTCCACATATGTGGACATCATGTTTAGCAGTCCAGACAATTGTTTTTAAATTGTAATTATTGTAAAATTTACATGCCATGACAAACTTACATCACTTATAAAACTATCTGAACAAGAATAATCTTTGAAATCGGATTGGAATTTTTACTTGGTGGATTTTTTGGTTGGGAACTTGCATGTGAACTTTTCTGTGCACGGTCAGCCATTTTGTTTTGTGTTAGCTTGTGCTGTAATTCCTCCAACACTGCTAGAGGGCAGTGTAGGTATTGCTGTATGTGTACCCCAGGCCCCAATAAATCAGGATGAAGTATTGGACGGCAGGTCTTAGGAGGTTAAGGATTTTAGATTGCACAGTCTACCGCTGGTACGGAAAACTCTCCCGCGAAGTTCAGTACCATAGCCTGTAATGCAGTACTCTGCACACAGAGCAACCAGACTCTCGGCTCAGTCTCAGCTCCCGTCTCAGGCCTAATCTCGTTCTTCTCTCTCCGCAGAGTTGCACTGTGCTCTCCCCCACCCTCATGCAGTGTCTGGTGCCCTCTGTGGCTGATGCGGGGAAGTCCTTCTCGGAGTCCGGCACGGCTCCCGACGAAATCGGCTTTGTCATGGACCATGTGCGCCCCCTGCTGGTCGTCAACCAGAGCTTCAGCTACTTCCCAGATCCCGTGTTTGAGCCGCTGAGTCCCACAGGGGTGTTAGAGCTTAAGCCCAGCTCTCCTCTCATCCTCAAGGTACTGATGCAATCAATACTGCTGTTACTACAATCATTTATTCATATTCATATAAATCATAGACATCCTCCTCTTCATCCCTACCCATCTTCATCACCTCCTTTTCTCTTCAAAGCTGCAGATCACAGTCTAAATTATAATAGAATTTCACGGATAGAAGTGTGCTCTGTTCTGTTCCCGTCAGACGCAGAGTAAGCAGCTTTGGACCCCTTCTATGTCTGTCTCTCTGTATGTGGTGGATATTTGAAAGAAAGATTCCCTTTTTAGCCCAGTTCTCTCTTTTCTGTCTCTCTTCTCCCTTCTCTCCTCTCCCCTCTCTCCTCCCCTCTCCTTTCTTCTTTTTTGACCTACCCACTGTTGATTTTATGGTTAGTACATGTTCTAGATAAATAAATGTGTCTGAATCTGACCATTGTTTTGTTTATCAGGGACAACACCTGATCCCTGCTGCTGTGGGGAACTCCAGACTGAACTACAGCGTCCTGATCGGAGAGACCCCCTGTGTCCTCACTCTGTCCGAGACCCAGCTGCTGTGCGAGTGGCCTGACCTCACAGGGGAGCACAAAGTCACCGTAAGTCACCCCAACCTCATCCCTCACCCGAGGAGAGAGGAGGGAATCGTCCTGATCCTCCTGATTGGCCACCCTGGACGTCTCTCTCTCCTTGCTAGAATTTTTCTGCCGCCCTTTCCTCTCCTCCCTCCTCTCCTCTATCCTCTCTCTTCTCCTCTCTCTTCTCCTCTCCTCTCTCCCCTCCTCTACTTGGTGTCTGTGTTTACTGCTCTGCCCTGTGATTGGTCACGCCCCACTTTCATTTAAACTCAAATCATTGTCAGTGCAGTATGTGAGCAAAGAGGCTTATTTCACATGTTTTATTTACGTCCTGTGTGATCAAAGACGCTCTGTGACCTACATCTGCCACCGGCTCCTCACTCACAGAGAAGACTCACACAGGAGACTATGAGGAGACCATTATTCAGAGACAAAGGAGGAGACATGGGAGGAGACCAACATTTAGAGATATTTGAGAGACTCAGGAGACATATCACACACATGAGACGTGGACCAGAAAATACACATCTCCATTCCTCTTCTCTCTCCTGATATTATATGGAGGTTCTGTCTTCTCCCTTGCTCTCTCAGATCTCCCCACACTCACCTCCTCTCTACTCCTCTCTCCTGTAGATCCGTGTGGGTGGTTTTGTCTTCTCCCCCGGCTCTCTCCAGATTTACTCGGACTCCCTCCTCACTCTTCCCGCCATCATTGGCATTGGGGGAGGAGGAGGTCTGCTCCTCCTCGTCATCATCATCGTCCTCATCGCCTACAAACGCAAGTCCAGGGATGCAGACCGGACTCTGAAGAGACTACAGCTGCAGATGGACAACCTGGAGTCCAGGGTGGCCCTGGAGTGCAAGGAAGGTGAGGAAGGTCCAGGACTGATGCAGAGACCGAAGGCAGAGACCGAAGGCAGAGACCGAAGGCAGAGACCGAAGGCAGAGACCGAAGGCAGAGACCGAAGGCAGAGACCGAAGGCAGAGACCGAAGGCAGAGACCGAAGGCAGAGACCGAAGGCAGAGACCGAAGGCAGAGACCGAAGGCAGAGACCGAAGGCAGAGACCGAAGGCAGAGACCGAAGGCAGAGACCGAAGGCAGAGACCGAAGGCAGAGACCGAAGGCAGAGACCGAAGGCAGAGACCGAAGGCAGAGACCGAAGGCAGAGACCGAAGGCAGAGACCGAAGGCAGAGACCGAAGGCAGAGACCGAAGGCAGAGACCGAAGGCAGAGACCGATGTGGTCGTAGCTGAGGCTGGGACAGGGGTGATGTGGTCGTAGCTGAGGCTGGGACAGGGGTGTTGTGTTTTCTTCTGTGTTGGACCTCTCGCATGTTCTGTTGCAGCATTTGCAGAGCTTCAGACCGACATCCATGAGCTTACCCAGGAGCTGGATGGAGCGGGCATCCCCTTCCTGGACTATCGCACGTACGCCATGAGGGTCCTGTTCCCTGGGATTGAAGACCATCCAGTTCTCAAGGAGATGGAGGTAATGGTCAGTACACACACAGAGAGAGACACACACGCGCAAGCATAGAGAGACATACACACTATCAGGTCAGTTCTGATCAGGTCCTCTGTTACCATTTCTGTCTGGCACCCCCTTCAGGTCCCGGCGAACGTAGAGAAGTCCCTGACGCTTTTCGGACAGCTGCTCACCAAGAAGCACTTCCTGCTGACCTTCATCCGCACGCTTGAGGCCCAGAGGTCCTTCTCCATGAGGGACCGGGGGAACGTGGCCTCCCTCATCATGACTGCTCTGCAGGGGGAGATGGAGTACGCCACAGGGGTCCTCAAGCAGCTGCTGTCCGATCTCATCGACAAGAACCTAGAAAGCAAGAACCACCCCAAACTCCTGCTGAGGAGGTGAGACACACACACACACACACACATCAAGTAATTTCTACCAGTTATGCTTTTTTTAACTTCTAAAGTGGTTGTTGTTTTGGTTAAAACCTGGATCTGTGTTGTGTTTCAGGACAGAGTCTGTGGCTGAGAAGATGCTGACCAACTGGTTCACCTTCCTCCTCTACAAGTTCCTCAAGGTAAAATCCATTAACAAAGCTGTGCGTTTACAAACTATTGATCGAGCCTGCTTTTTTCTTCTGTCCTCGCCCTCCTCCTCTCTGTTCTCCTCTTTTTTCTTCTCTTCTCCCCTCCTCTCTTCCTTTCCTCTCCTCTGTCCTCTCTCCCCTCACCCCTCTCCCCCACATTCCTTTCCTCTCTCCTCCACTTTCCTCCATACGCCCTCTCCTCTCCTTCTCCCTTCTCTTCTCCACTAAACCATATGTGTGTCTCCCTTCTGCAGGAGTGTGCTGGGGAGCCCCTCTTCATGCTTTTCTGTGCCATGAAGCAGCAGATGGAGAAAGGACCCATCGACTCCATCACCGGAGAGGCTCGCTACTCTCTGAGCGAGGACAAGCTGATCCGGCAGCAGATCGACTACAAGACTCTGGTGAGGACAGGAGAGTGGAGTACAGGAGAGTGGAGTACAGGAGAGTGGAGTACAGGAGAGTGGAGTACAGGAGAGTGGAGTACAGGAGAGTGGAGTACAGGAGAGTGGAGTACAGGAGAGAGACAGGAGGACTCCTCTCTGCGTTGGTCCATGGTTCAGTTCATTAAAGAGCAAAATTTACTGTTTTTTACATTTTACATTTTTTTAGTACTTTACCCTGGAACGAACTGTGCCCGTGCTGTTCCCTCTTTCACCACTGGGTGTCCTTGTTGTCTCCACCCACAGACGCTGCACTGCGTGAACCCAGAAAGCGAGAATGCCCCAGAGGTTCTTGTCAAGAGCCTGAACTGCGACACAGTTACGCAGGTGAAGGAGAAGATTCTGGACGCAGTCTACAAGGGCACGCCATACTCCCAGAGACCCAAGGCCTCGGATATGGACCTGGGTAAGACCCAAGACCACCCCCTGAATACCTGGCCCCTCTCTGGACACCGTCTGAGCCTTTACAGACAAGAGACGGTTGTTTACATTTGTTTGTTTGTTTGTTCAGAGTGGAGACAGGGCAGGATGGCACGCATCATTCTCCAAGATGAAGACGTCACCACAAAGATTGACAATGACTGGAAGAGACTGAACACACTAGCTCACTACCAGGTATAATACCAGTACTGCTACTACTGCTGCTACTGCCATTGCTACTGTTGCTACTACTAGTCTACTACAGACATAGTCCTGCAGTCACATTCAGAACATTTGTTTGAGAGGTTCTTTCAGAAAAAATGTTCAGGTCTAGGGTATGACCTCTCTTGTGTTCTCAGGTGACTGACAGCTCTGTGATCGCGCTGGTGCCCAAACAGAACTCTGCCTACAACATCTCCAACTCGTCCACCTTCACCAAGAGCTTGAGCCGATACGGTAAGAACCAAGCTTAAACTGAACCTATACTAAGTCCTTACTGATGTATTTCTCTATGGTCTCTCTCTCTGATCTCTCTCATTGGTCTCTCTCTGACAGTCTTGTGGTTTTTTAATCTATTCCTTGCTAATGAAATGTGTTTACAAAGCAAATGATCAAATTTGATTCTAATGAACGGGAGACACTGATGACAAATGCAGCGTTTTGAGGGTGAAGGCAGCGACAGTAACGAGCGTTTGTGGGTCACACTCTGGTCTGAATATTCATGAGGCAATAACGAGCTAACATTCATGTGAGAAGCTGCTAACGAGATGTGCTTTTCCCCGGCTCCATCACCGTTTGAGATCAATATTAAGACTGTTATAAATGTTTAATAAAGATTGTAAAGACGAGAGTACATATGTGTTTAAATACATAACAGAGGTATAAACCAGACTGTATACAGACGGAAAATGCTTACCCACTGGCTCAATGAAGCCCGATAGGGAAGTGCTTATGCTGAAAATTTGCTCCAACTTGCTCTGGTTCCTATTGAGGTACATATAAAAATAAACTCCTCTAGCTCAGTATCCGTTTGTGTCACATTCACTATTTGGGCTTAAAAACCCATGGTTTATTCGTTTCTGTAATCCTGGTGTTTAGATAGATAGATAAATAGATACTTTATTGATCCCCGTAGGAGAAATTCAGGTGTCCAGCAGCAGAAGACTTGTCCAGGAAGTTTATATTGTGATACTGTCTTTGTAAATCCAGATATTTGTCATATAATGATTGAACTTTATTTACGAGGAAACTCCAGTTTGCCTTAGAAACCTTCTTAGCAACACGCCTGCACGTCTTGTCAATTTAAAGACCTTATGACGGGTTTGATTTATTTAGAAATACAGTTTTAATACCATTTTATATTAGAAGAGAACTACTAAAGGTTTCAAAATCAGTTGTTGTTTTTTTTTTTGTCTGATCCCCCCAAATCGAAATAACCCCATAGCAACGCCCTTAGAAACAAAAAAACTTCACAGCCCTTGGTGACGTCAGAACGGGTACGTTTCAACGCTGTAAGTTGTTCACAATTTGGTATTCGTTCTTTTTTCGCGGATATAAGTACTAGAATGTTACATTTTGTTGTCACTGAGATAGTCCAGTGGTTGTGTCGATGGACTGCCAACCCAGATACTCGGGTTCAAATCCCACCTTGGACACTTTTTCACACTCAAAACGGCAATTTATGTGTAGTGAGCAATTGTCACCTGTAGAGTGCAGTATTGTGTTGGGCACCAGTGGAGAGAAGAGAGAAAAGACAGTCCTGTGGCATAGATCCATGGTTTTCAATGCATGGGCGTAACCCGCTATGACGTCACACACAGGTTAGAGCATAGACAGCTTAAATTCATGAAAAACACGTTCTTTTTATAAAATATAGGATTTTTTTTGCCGGAATCTCTTTCAAATTGACATTGTCATGCAATTTTGATATCCACTATTTTTTTTTTTTTAAACCCGTCATAAGGTCTTTAATTCACTTCCATTAATTGTTGTAAAGCACTAATACCCAAACGGGTATTACAACAGTAGTTATCTCAGAGGACTTTACAAAGTTGTCGATATGGCAACACTGATCAGACGATAAAAAACACAGAGCCATTGGTCCATAAGGGCTGAATGTCCTGGATCACTGCCACTGTCCTTGCTGACCCTCCTGCGTCAGCAAGTAACAACAACAAAAGAACATTGGGGAAAAAGGTGAGCATTGCTGAAGGGACTGAGGCTTTGTGGTGCTGGACTGAGGACTGTGGCTTCCAGGCAGGGAAGGGGTACAGACCATGAGTCATTGCCGGGGGAGACAGTCCACTGATGTAAATGGAGGATGAAGAGGTCCATGAAGAGGACTATGAGACAGCGGTCTCAAACGGCTTAAGTTTTATTGATGACAGATAAATTAGGACAAGGAGAGGATAGTGCTCAAGTTTTTTAACTTTAAACTTGCTTTTAATACTTAGGGCACACTGAATTGTGTCTTGGTTGTTTTCATTTTGTGTTTTAAATTGTTTTAATCTCTCTGTGAAGCACTTTGGTCCTCCTGGTGTTGTTGTAAAGTGCTATACAAATAAACTTTGATTGATTGATTGAAGTTACCACACTTCTCACAGCAAAGTCTCTATATGCAGCCATTTTCTTGTCTTGTCTGAGAGCGTTTTACTCAGTTGAACATATGAATACTTCCACAGAGAGCATGTTACGTACTGCCAGCAGCCCAGACAGCCTGCGTTCTCGAACCCCCATGATCACGCCAGACCTGGAGAGTGGAACCAAACTGTGGCACCTGGTGAAGAACCACGACCACTCGGACCAACGTGAGGGCGACCGGGGCAGTAAGATGGTGTCGGAGATCTACCTCACAAGACTGCTGGCCACCAAGGTAATAAGTAACCCAAAACTACCTCAAAGACAGCTGAAGACCAAGGTTTAGAAGTCTCTTAGATGTACATCATAAGACTTTTGGGTGCCACAGTTATAAGTCTCTTGGATAGATCTCAGAATAGACTACAGGCCACCAAGATTAGATAGGTCCCAGAACTTTGCCTCAACATAAATCACCTGAAAACAACATAGTAAAGAGTTTGTTAAGTACGTTGGGATGATTTTTTTTGGTGTATCTGACATTCAGGGTCGGTTTTTGTTGCGAGCTGTGATTTTACAGCTTCTCCAACTTCTCACTAATCAACAAACAAATAAGTCAGAGTCAGTGTCTTGTGAGTTCATAATTGATAATGTTTCCTGTGTTGGGCCCTCCACCCAGCCAAATTCTTCCAAGCAGAGATGTGGACTGTTGATAGACTTCTCAGACCTCTTTTTTCTCTGAGATACAGTGCCTTGCGAAAGTATTCGGCCCCCTTGAACCTTTCAACATTTCGCCACATTTCAGTCTTCAAACATAAAGATATAAAATTTTAATTTTTTTTCATGAATCAACAACAAGTGGGACACAATCGTGAAGTGGAACGAAATTTATTGGATAATTTAAACTTTTCTAACAAATAAAAAACTGAAAAGTGGGGCGTGCAATATTATTCGGCCCCTTTACTTTCAGTGCAGCAAACTCAGTCCAGAAGTTCAGTGAGGATCTTTGAATGATCCAATGTTGTCCTAAATGACTGATGATGATAAATAGAATGCGCCTGTGTGTAATCAAGTCTCCGTATAAATGCACCTGCTCTTTGATAGTCTCAGGGTTCTGTTGAAAGCGCAGAGAGAACCATGAAGACAAAGGAACACACCAGGCAGATCCGAGATACTGTTGTGGAGAAGTTTAAAGCCGGATTTGGATACAAAAAGATTCCCCAAGCTTTAAACATCTCAAGGAGCACTGTGCAAGCAATTATATTGAAATGGAAGGAGAATCAGACCACTGCAAATCTACCAAGACCCGGCCGTCCCTCCAAACTTTCATCTCAAACAAGGAGAAGACTGATCAGAGATGCAGCCAAGAGGCCCATGATCGCTCTGGATGAACTGCAGATAACTACAGCTGAGGTGGGAGAGTCTGTCCATAGGACAACAATCAGTTGTGCACTGCACAAATCTGGCCTTTATGGAAGAGTGGCTATTTCTCAAAGATATCCAATAAAAGTTTCTTAAAGTTTGCCACAAGCCACCTGTGAGACACACCAAACATGTGGAAGAAGGTGCTCTGGTCAGATGAAACCAAAATAAAACTTTTTGGCCACAATGCAAAACGATATGTTTGGCGTAAAAGCAACACAGCTCATCACCCTGAACACACCATCCCCACCTCAGCTGTAGTTATCTGCAGTTCATCCAGAGCGATCATGGGCCTCTTGGCTGCATCTCTGATCAATCTTCTCCTTGTTTGAGATGAAGGTTTGGAGGGACGGCCGAGTCTTGGTAGATTTGCAGTGGTCTGATACTCCTTCCATTTCAATATAATTGCTTGCACAGTGCTCCTTGAGATGTTTAAAGCTTGGGAAATATTTTTGTATCAAAATCCAGCTTTAAACTTCTCCACAACAGTATCTCGGACCTGCCTGGTGTGTTCCTTTGTCTTCATGGTTCTCTCTGCGCTTTAAACAGAACCCTGAGACTATCAAAGAGCAGGTGCATTTATACGGAGACTTGATTACACACAGGTGCATTCTATTTATCATCATCAGTCATTTAGGACAACATTGGATCATTCAAAGATCCTCACTGAACTCCTGGAGTGAGTTTGCTGCACTGAAAGTAAAGGGGCCAAATAATATTGCACGCCCCACTTTTCAGTTTTTTATTTGTTAAAAAAGTTTAAATTATCCAATAAATTTCATTCCACTTCACGATTGTGTCCCACTTGTTGTTGATTCATGACAAAAAATTAAAATGTTATATCTTTATGTTTGAAGCCTGAAATGTGGCAAAATGTTGAAAGGTTCAAGGGGGCTGAATACTTTCACAAGGCACTGTAAGTTCAGACTTATCTCTAACCTCTCGTTCCTCTCCTTTTGGTTTCACTTCACGACAAAATTATTCTTATCAAATTGTGCACATCTGCTAAACACGGGTTGTAATTGGATACAGGGATGTGTCCGATTTCTGCAACCAGCAGATTGTGAGATGATTTGAATGATCAGTTCACTTTGCCACCATCTGAAACATTTTCTGGTTTGCAACATTGTAAAACCAACCTGCTCTTAAAATCCCTCAACTCTGAGGCTGTGTAACTCTGTAGCCTGTAGCTGAAGTGACTTGTCCGTAGGGGTTAACTAAAGGTGTCTGAAGCTGAACTCAGATGAGAATGGGAGACCCCATCTCTAACCTCTCTAATCTCCTCTCGATCCAGGGCACTCTGCAGAAGTTTGTGGACGACCTGTTCGAGACCATCTTCAGCACGGCTCATCGTGGCTCTGCTCTGCCTCTGGCCATAAAGTACATGTTTGACTTCCTGGATGAACAGGCCGACAAACACTGCATCTCGGATCCCGATGTGAGGCACACGTGGAAGAGCAACTGGTGAGAGTCTGAGGAACGCAACCTAATGCCCTTTGTCAAATATTCCAGGAGTCTTGAAAGATGAGGATGGCAAGTCCACCTTCCTCAGACCAATATGTTCAAAGGGTTTCTCTTTAGTGATGCAGAGTTGGCCCTGGTTGATTTCACATACATAGGCTGTTTTTAGATTGGACTGGAGACTTTAGACTTAATGTACTTTTGTTGGAAGTGTTGCCAACAACCAAAAAGTACATCCTCAAAATGACTCGGGTCACACTCATCTCTGAAAGCTCCAACAGTTTACCCAAGCTTAAAAATATGACCTGATACAAAATCATCTGAGTTCAAGTTCAGGGCCCAGAGACTTTGAGAGGCTATGAAAATTCTTTCCCCTGTTTCTGTAATGATCGATCCAAATATATGGTACAACTTGTTCCAGGTGGACATTTTTCTTGTTTATGGATGTGTGTGTGGAAAGAAAATAAAATAAATGAAAAAATAATGAGTTAGATGTACATTTGTAAGGAACCATCAACTTGTTATTTATAGACAAGAAGAAAGAGTGAAGTGGGAATGGGTCGGTTGGGGCTCATAACTTTCCCATCTTTAAACTGTGTCTCCCATCCTCAGTGTGCCTCTGTGTAACCTGCCTCTTTGTAAGCAAAGGTAGGATGAGAATGGGAGATCCCATCCTACCTTTGTTTAACCTTCTCGGCCTCCCATCCTCAGCTTGCCTCTCCGTTTCTGGGTGAACGTGATCAAGAATCCCCAGTTTGTGTTCGACATCCACAAGAGCAGCATCACGGACGCCTGCCTGTCGGTCGTGGCTCAGACCTTCATGGACTCGTGCTCCACCTCAGAGCACAAACTCGGGAAGGACTCTCCCTCCAACAAGCTGCTGTACGCCAAGGACATCCCCAACTACAAGAACTGGGTCGAGAGGTGAGACAACTACTGCTGCTGCTGCTGCTAATACTAATGTGACTATTACGGCTGCTGCTGCCGCTGATAATAGTCAGATAATCGTAGAGCAGATGTTGATGAATGAAGACAAACTAGAGTGTGTCTTCTGCTGTGACTGTTTTAGTAGACTAATCTTTGATCCTTCAACTTTTTTGTCGACACCTGATCTGGAGTGTGTCCTCTGTTGTGGCCTGTAGTATTCTTACCTCATATTTTTGTTCTCTACGTTGAGTTTGTTAGCCTACTACTATTGCTGCAACTACTGCATCAGTATTGTGTACTTGTGCAGGTACTACGCGGACATCTCGCGGATGTCTCAGATTTCTGATCAGGACATGAGTGCGTATCTCGCCGAACAGTCGAGACTTCACCTGAAACAATTCAACAGCATGTCCGCTCTGAATGAGATCTACTCCTACATCAGCAAGTACAAGGACGAGGTAACTGTCATATATACTTGAGTACATAAGATCTACTCTAACACAAGCAAGTACAAGGACGAGGTTACTATAATACACTCGAGTACACGAGATCTATAGTTTGTCCATGTGCAACATTGTTTCTCATCACAAGTCTGATCTATGACTCCATAAAACACCTGAGATTCTTTCATGTTTTAGTGACTCATGTTTATTTATATAGCACTTTACAATGTTTTGGAGACAGATTTGAGTCCATTCTCTCCACACGGTTCTAAATAAATGTCTTGACATTTGACCACTAACCCTCAGATCCTGTCGGCGCTGGAGCGAGACGAGTCGGCGAGGAGACAGAGGTTGCGCAGTAAACTGGAACAGGTCATCGACACCATGGCCCTGGCCAGCTGAGGCTCTGTCCTCCACAGGACACAGACTTCTACTCAGACTTTACAAACTCCAGAACACAACTGTCCTGGGAGCGCAGACTGGAACACCCCACAGACCTCTGGGGGAACTCTGGGACTAGACCCGGAGCCAGAACAGCGGTGCGATCTCGAACGTATCTGGGTGTGAAGCCACAGACCGAAGACTTGTCGGATCTGCACGTCTTTGTCCCAAAACTTTTTTGTAGATTTGAAAGTGGAGCAAGGCCCCGTCTAGCTGAGGGCGCTGTCCTCTTTCTCACTCACGTCACTTTACTAAAGGACTGAGCTGCCAAATGGAACTGACCCGGATTCACAGGAGCTGAGGTAATGGGCCTGGTCTGAGTGACAAGGAATTTTCTGGCTTCAAAAAGATTTTTGACACGTTACAAGAAAGACGTGTCTTGGATCGGACTGAGAAGTGATGATCAAAGTAACTACAGTAGTCTCTGGTTCATGGCAGAGTTATGTTCTCTTTGGTCTCTCTCTGGTCTTTCTCTGGTCTCTCTCTGGCCTCTCTGGGCTCTTTCTGGGCTCTCTCACCGGCCTCTCTCTGGTCTCACTCCCAGCCTCTCTTTTTGACTACAGTGGTCCCTGGTTTATCCCAGAGGTTATGTTCTCTCTGGTCTCAGGTTTTGTCTAGTCCTTCTTTGAGTGCTACGGGAAGACTTTGGTCGTCCTGTGAACTAATCACTGCGTTGCACACAAAACACAAAGTTGTGACTATACATAAAGGTAACTGTCATACAAGAGGCCACTGTACCTCAGTCGGTGTCAGAGATTTCTCACACTTGTCACATACAACAGACCCGATTAATCCTGGTAAACCGGTGAATCCTGGTTCAGTTTAGTGCATTTTTTAAAGTGTTTGAATCAAGAGGATTTAAAAATGAAATGGACTGATGTGAAAGCACTCTCTGAATGTTGTCTGGTGCTTTTTGTTGTGATGGAACAAGACTTGACTGAACTGGACTCGTATGTTTTGTACAAAGTGATAATAATGATAATAATGGTACGAGGCAGGAACTTGTCTGAGGTGCAATCGTTTCTTCAGGGACACCAAAAATCCACATGCCACAAATGTCGGCACATTTCCTCAGCCACGGGAATTCTCAACTTGCTTTTTACTCAAAGGAACAGACTCACAGCTGCTGGTCTTTCGTAACATATATGTCCTACACAGGTGTAAGTTCACATACTCAATCGTGAGATGCCAAAGTTACGGTTTAAACTCTTTTCACAATTGTGTACGCTTTGATTCTGCCAAATGAAGCTTTCGTAAAAAATACAAGTTGAGAATTGTCGGGGGAAAGTCTCAGTGGATTTTTTATTTTTTTTTACACAAACGGAAAAATGAAGGCGACGACAGAGGAAACATTTCTGACTGAACCAGCTCCAAATCTACAAAAACATTTCCACTTTTTGAAATGTAGAGAATGAGTGAAAGCGGTTGTCAGTCTACAGAGGTGCGACAGACTGATTGTTAGAATGTTAGTGATCAGAACGATAACTAGTTTTTAAATATAAATCCAGAGTGAATGAATTATAAAAACACTTTTGGCCAAAGTTTCTAAAGTGGAAGTATGTGCAATTGTGAGTTTCCCAAAAAAGCTGGTTCAGTGACAGGTTCCCCAACCGCGGTGTCACCTCCTCGTCTCATGAAGAATCCATGTCCTTTTTGTTTTGCAGAAAACCAAACTGTGGTCCGTGTGACGTTGCTTTATTTTATTTTTTGTAAAATGTAAAGTTTTTTTTCACAGATGAATTTTTGTGTGTAAATTGTGTAAAAAAGAAAAAAAAAACAGACAATTCGATGACGATGTTTTGTGAATGTGAATCTGCTGCTTTTCACGTTTTTCATGTGGATTTAGGGCTTTTGGACGAGATGCAGCGGAGACAGTGGAGACGCAGGGCTTTCCCACACTGAGCCTATCCAGTCTCTCTCTCTCTGGTCTACTCTCTGTTCTCTCTCTCTGGTCTCTCTCTCTGGTCTCTCTCTCTGGTCTCTCTGACGCCTCCGCTGCCTCCTTTCCTCCTTCACGAATGCTGTTCCGTTGTTTACGACTGTAGAGCACAAACACCCGCCTTTTTATGCACTATTTTCATCCCACTGCAGCTGCACCATGAGCCAAAAACTACAATCATGTTTTTTACAACTCGTCTCGGGCCAAAAACCTGACAGCTGTTCAGAAAGAGACCCAACGGCAGCCATCTTGGATTCAAATATTTTTTATTTCCTATTCTTTTGGAGAAAAATGGACAAACCCATCAAACACAAACTGTTCTCAGATCTGCAAACGTCGTCAGGGTTTTGGCCTCTTGCTGTTTACTGTCGGCCATCTTTTCTTCTTCCTCAAACTCCAGAGTTTTTCATACAGCGTTTTTTCAGGATCATGTGTAAATATTCTTCCGTTTCATATTTTGCAGATTTACTACTTGTAAATAGAATCGCATCGACCAGAGATTACACTGTTTTTGCTAACATAAAAATAAAAGTGTTGGATTTTTTAAACGTCTCGACTTCAGTCCACATTTTTGGATGACGCTAACAAAGAATGTATACAGATAGACAATGCCAACCCACTAGCTCAGTTAAGGTCAACAGGGAAGTGCTTATGGTGAAGTTTGGCTCCAACTTGTTTTTGCTCATTGATTCACATGTAAAAATAAACTCCTCTGGCTCAGTAACTATTTGTGTCCAACCCACCATTTTGGTCTTAAATCTGTGGTTTATCACCCTCTGTGATCCTGGGGTTTATACTGGATTTTGTCTTTGTAAATCCAGATCCGAGCCATACATGGGTTGACCAATCAGATGCCTTCATTTAGGCCGGGAAAACTCCAACTAAGCAGCCGTCAGAACCAGTCGGCAGAAGTGAGAGGGAGAGGATGTTGGTCACTGAGCTGAGACAAAGACATTTAAATGAGTCAAAGGAAAAAAAACAACTCCAAATCCCGCTGGTTCATACAATAGATCCATGGGTTTATGCCACACGTTCAGTAGTAGCAGTTGTAGTAGTAGTAATTGCAGTAGCAGCCGCTTGATTGATTTTAAACTCGTTCTAATTTTAGACACACTCACTGTCTCTTCTGTAATCACGGAGAGCCCATCTCCTCGTTATCAGCGACCTCTTCATTAGCGAGTGGCGGCTGAACGCAGAGCTCCACAGCGAGATTATGCAAATGAGATGCACCTCAATCATAACGAGCGCCGTAATTATCCCAACTCTAGAGACAGTTATTTCAGTCCCGAACAAAACGATAACTTTGCATGTTCTCTCTCTCTCTCGCACACACACACACACACACACAGTTTGCAAGTTCACATTCACGTGGAGCTGTTTAAAGGTCAGGATGTGTTCACACCAGCAGAAAAATACAGATATAAAAGTAATTTACTGGAGGACGTGGATAGCTGCTGTGATTCTGCAACAGCGCCTCCTGCTGTTCACTACTGCTGCATGATGCTATTACAGCTGTAACTATGGTAAGTGTCAGAAGTCAAATTTTGTCTCTCTCGGTTCTGGTATCTCTCTGGTATCTCGTCCTCTCTCTGCTCTGCTTACACATCAATACAAAGAGCCTGCCCCGAGGTCAAAGTGGTTTATTCAATGAAAACATGATTCTGACAAAAAAAAAAACAGCAGCAGCAGAGATCTGAAAAACAGCGAAACACTTACACCTGGCTTAGACCTGCTCAGAGCATGTAAATAAAAATTCTGCTTTTGTTCAACACTTCTTTAAACCAGCACAGAGACATACATAAGACCTGGGTAGACCTGAAGACATTAAGTTACTTCCTCTTTGACAAAACAACACCAAGAGTGAGATCTTTGTGTCCAGTGCAGAGGTTTCAGCCAATCACTCAGTCTTCACCCAGAAACACTTCAAACACCCCATCCTTCACTTTTAATTTCTGAAAATCACATTAAATCAGATGACAATCTTTTTGACAGTTTTGAGCCTAAAATCACACATGTTTGGTCGTTTTTGATTGGTCACAAAGACAGTGTCCGCTCCGAGGAGCCGATTGTCTGATTTCACAAAGAATCCCAAAGAATCATTGGTCCTGTTCATGAGTTTCCAAAGTGTTGGTGCTTCCATTGGTCTCCTCAGTGTTTACAATAGAAGTGCTCATCTCTCACAAGTGAAATGATAAATAAATAAACAACGTGGTCCTATTCAGCTTCAGAAATACATTTGGTCACAACTACCAGTAACTCTGGTGCAGCCGCATCACTGACGGATTTACACTGTTCAAACTGGTCTCTCTCTGGTCAGTCTGTGGTGGTCAGTCTGTCTGGTCTCTATGGTTCAGACCCAGTTTTGACTTGGCTTCGACCCAATTTAGACCCAGTTCCAATCAATCCCTGTTCCATTATTGATAGATATCTCGTCGATCAGAAAGTCCAAAAGTGAACACAAACTGCTGTTTTGAGATCTGTTAAATTCAGTTGAGTGTCATGTTGGTGTAGTTCCATATCTGTGTCACCATTAGACTTCCAGAATACATTTATGAAATTCCTTTGCCTTTCCCAATCTGCTCCCATAGTGTTTTGGTCCAGTTTTCATTCATCCAATTTATTTCCACTGTGGAACTAGTAAAAGGCATGCCCTTCTTCCAGAATCTACATGGTTAAATTAGTCTTAAAGTCTGTTCAAAACTGTCAAACAATTAAATAGAGTTGATGTTCAGAAAAGTCCCAACTTCAACACAACTCCACTCCAAACACTGATATAGTCCGATTGTTCTGGCTTTCATGCATTCACTGGCTTCAGGTGGACTTCTAGAATCAATATGGTTCAAAAATTGGCCGAGGTCCATTATGCGTTCCCCACTTTTTCCAACAACAGGTGAGTCCTTGTTCTTGTCCATGACGGTCAAAGCAGCAGTCCACGTCTCTTTGCTCCCAGGGTCTGTCTTCATCTCTTTTTTCATTTGAACTTTTAAGAAATGTCCCAGCTTCCCTGTAAATCCACCCTGGACCTTGGACCCTGGACCGGTCCGATCAGCACGGTTCTCAGGCGTTGATCGGCCTCCAGCGCTCGTCCACGCTGCCGCTGCTGCCGTAGGGTCCGGACGCCACGTCGTCCAGGTTGGCCCCCATCTGTGGCTGCGCCCGGCCCAGCGAGGAGCCATCAATCTGGGTGGAGGAGTAGTACAGGCCCTGGTCCAGGTCACGTCTGTGGAAGTGCGAGGCCACAGTGGGAGGCAGCTGGACGTCGCTGTCCTCCGGCTCGTCCACCTGAGACTTGTACGAGAACAGGATCTTCGGCTCCGAGCTGCACAAGAAGCAAACAGGTTTAAGATGATCATGTAGAGGTATTAAGGCACTATTTGAGCTTAGAGCTGATTGGCTGAGTGAGGATGGTCCTCGGTTTAACAGTAATGAATGATGTGAAAACTGTGTGCATGCTACAGGCTTCTACAACTGATGCGCATCTGAACAGCCCCACGGTCCCCTACGCACCCCGCCTCTAACAGCCGTGACAACTGTAAAGTGAAAGAAAAATGATACACTATTATTATTATCGTAAAAATAGAAAAGTTGTGCCTGTTCAAGTATTTATGCAGATTTCCTTCATTAAATATAATCAATTAATTTAAAAAAACCTAATGACTGCTGAATGTTTACGCCTTGCCCTAGTGATTAAATAGGTCTCCTGTGTGTAATCTCAGTATAAATACAGATGTTCTGTGAAGATCTGGGAAGATTGTGAGAATAGATGGGAAGATTCAGGGACATTTTGGAGCAAAACCTGAACGTGTCAGCAGGAGACAGACTCATCTTCACTGTGTTAACATTTCTGGACAGTGGTCATCCCACTCCCTGTGGACCAATGGCTCCTATGTGATTGTTATTATTGCTCTTAGAACTGTGACCTCTCTTCCTGGATAAATATTGTACAGGACATCTGGTCTGTGCAGCAGTTTCACATAAATAATTGGATGAAATAAACGGTGATTGACGCTTGTTTGTAAGAGTCGAATGAGATGAACCTGATGTTGCACTCACCCAAAGAACCCTTTGAGGAACGTGACGTAGATGAGAGGAGCAAACGCCGAGAAGTAGAGGAAGGTGGTGACGTCCACACAGCTGCAGACAGACCACACATCACCCTCTACTCCCATGGGATAATTATAATTATATATACACATGAAAGCCTAATAAAAAGGAAAATCATAATTGTAAAACTGTTGAAATTAAATAATATAATATATATTAAAACCATTCATCAATCCATCCATTTATGTGCCCTTAATCTATGGTCATCAATAAAACATGCAAATAATTATAATTATTAATAATATATTTTTCCTTCATGTTAAAAACAAACAATATAAATAATACAAATATTTAAAAAATACATATTAACAATACAAATATGAATAATATAATAAATATATAACAAATAACAATAATATTATTAATAAGAGTATGGGTCCTGACCACAGCCCCTGGATGACGCCCGCACACAGCAGCGCACTGCCCGCGCCCTGCACCAGGTTCAGCACAGACAGGATCCCTGCGTACACGTAGAAACTGCGCTTTGCTGAAACACAGATCCACATGTTGAGACGCCGTCGTCTATGTGTGCATTAAAACATTGTGTACAGCGTGGCACTTACACGGCAGCGAGATCCGCTCTCTCACCGGAGTTTTGGGCAGAATCACAATCAAAGAGTAAACCTGGGACACAACAGTGAGAAAGGTCAGCGTTTTGTTTGGAACTGTGTGGCTTTCAGAGAGTGAGAGACAAAAATACCAAAGAGACCATGGAGACATCAAAGAGACATCAGAGACAGGAGAAAGAGCCCAGAGAGAGAGACACAAGAGAGAGAGACCAGAGAGCAATTATTTCATGAAAGTGACACAACTTTGTACATATTTATTAGGGCTGGGACTAGATTAAAAAAAAAAATCTAATTAATTAGAGGCTTTGTAATTAATTAATCGCATTTTAATCGCATATAAATATTTGACCTGAGAACAGTGAGAAGTAATGCATATTACGCATGCGCGGGTGGGAGCCAGCTGCAAGTTGCATCGCTCCCCCTCTCCTTCCCACTTTTCTTACTTTTTAGCGTACTCATTTTTATTTTTCTGTAACTGCTGTTATAATACAGCTGGATGAAGCTAGTGCCCACTTATGAAGTAAGACACGCCGTGTTTTTCCACCGTTTTCCTCATTATACCTGTGACCGGAGATGTGCCCACGCGCTCCCATTGTTTACACCCGGGACCAGCTGCTGGCGCTGCGGAGAGCGGAGGTCCCTCCAAACACCCAGAGGCTGCCGCGCGGGATAGAAGGTACAAGGGCAAAAGAGATCCAGACCCACGGTACCTGCCGTGATCACCGGTAATGTCCCTCTCCAATAAGACTGACGAGCTAGCGGCACTGACGCGCTACCATCCATGGCTACCAGCGGGAGTACCGCGATGCCAGCCTTCAAGTATTTACAGAAACATGGCTACACACAGAAACTCCTCCAGTGAGATACGTTCCGCGGTGAAAAAAAAAAAAAAAGATTAAATGCGTCAAATTTTTTACGCGCTAATTTTTGTGTAATTAATTAATCTTAATTAACGCGTTACAGTCCCAGCCCTAATATTTATACATTTAGAGCAGTGTCTCCCAAAGTGGGGTCCGCGGCCCCCTGGTGGGCCGCGAGGGTACTGCAGGGGGGCCGCGGGAGGTCATAAAACAAATAAAAAAAATAATATAATTATTTAATGTTAAATTTATAATGTTTTTTTTTGTAATATTAAAATATTTGTGTTCATTATTTGACTTGAATAATCCACTGTAATCATTTTTGTATTACAATGTTTGTAGCAGAGGCTATTTCCCCAAAATAAAATAACCAGAAGAGCCTATTCTTAATGTTGTCTTCTTGGTTATTATTTTGGGGGGCCACGCAGACCCGTCAGATTTTTAAGGGGGCCTCGGTGTTACTGAGTTTGGGAATGGCTGATTTAGAGTATGCTCCATTAGCTGAGACTGACCAGGAAGAAGAAGCAGGAGGAGGCGAGCCAGAAGTGCCGTCCTCCGTGTCCGTAGATGTTGAAGTCTTCTGCAGAGAGGTGGCTGTCCGGGTACAGGATCTCCAGAGTGCCCTGCACCAACACACACAACCACAGCAGAGGTGATCACAACAGGTTACAACCGAGACACATCATCTGTTGGTCTGTTACCTGTGTTATGGAATAGCCCAGAGCCAGGACTGTGGTGATCGCCAAAACCCTCTTTATGCTCGACTTACTCTCCAGATGACCTGAAGGAAAACACATCACACAGCTATAAAAGGCCAGAGAGGCAGACAAATTCTATTCTATTTGTTCCTGTATAGCTTTAAATCACAACAGTAGTTTTCTCGTAGGACTTGACAAAACTGTTGAATTCGCCAACACCCATCGGAGAATCAAACAGTTCAAGCACAAGAAATGTAATGATAGAAAATACACAGAGCCATTGTTGAATGTTGAGTGTCCTGGATCATCAACACTGTCCTTTGACCCTCCTACATCGGCAAGGAAAAACTCTTATTATAGACACAGGAAAGAGAGATCAGGGAGAGAGAGACCAGGGAGAGAGATCAATGAGAGAGACCAGTGAGAGAGAGAATAGGGAGAGAGAGAACAGGAAGAGAGAGACCAGGGAGAGAGCCCAGGGATAGAAAGATCAGAGAGAAAGAGATCAGGGAGAGAGAGACCAGGGAGAGAGATCGAGGAGAGAGATCAGGTAGAGACCAGGGAGAGAGAGAACAATGAGAGACACCAGGGAGAAAGAGACCAGGGAGAGAGAGATCAGGGAGAGAGATCAGGGAGAGAGATCAGGGAGAGAGACGAATTGTATTTTACCAAAAGCCAGTCCCAGGATGACCACACTGAGCTCAATGGCCAAGAGGAAGAAACGAGTGATCTCCCACAACACCTGCAAACATAGGGACTTAAGCTTAACATTACAACAGCAGCAGCAGCAGAAGCAGAAGCAGAAGCAGCAGTAGATAATATACATTTGGATATGTTTCTGACCTTATCGATGATGGTTGCTGCACTGGAGGCGCTGACCGTCATAGACACAATGGCTCGGGTGATGCCCACTGCTGCTACGACAAACACCTGAGAGAGAGAGAGAGAGAGAGGCTGATGTCACACAAATCATCTTCATCGTCAGTGTTTTACCATTGAGAGAGAGATCACAGAGAGAGATCAGTACGAGACCAGGAAGACAAGAGAGGCCAGGACACAAAAGCAAAATAATATACTCCCAGAGCTATCCAAAGAACAAGACAAGAGCCAGAACTGATACCCCAGATATTTAGTTTTGGTGATTGCACCTCCAGCCACGACTCTGTGAAGCTGATCAAGTTCGCGGACGACACCACCCTCATTGGACTCATCTCCAACAACGATGAGTCCGCCTACAGGAGGGAGGAGGACCGGCTGGTGTCCTGGTGCAGTGGTAACAACCTGGAGCTGAACGCCCAGAAGACAGTGGAGATGATTGTGGACTTCAGGAAGAGCACTGTCCCCCCGCCCCCACCATCCGTGATGGACTCCCCCATCACCTCTGTGGAGTCCTTCCGTTTCCTGGGCACCACCATCACCCAGGACCTCAAGTGGGAGCCGACCATCAGCTCCCTCATCAAGAAGGCCCAGCAGAGGATGTACTTCCTGCGGCAGCTCAGGAAAGCCAAGCTGCCTGCACAGATGTTGGTGCAGTTCTACACGGCCATCATCGAGTCCATCCTCACCTCCTCCGTCACCGTGTGGTTCGCTGGAGCCACAGTCAGCGCATTGTGCGCTCTGCAGAGGAAGTGATCGGTCGCAGCCTTCCATCGCTGCAGGACCTGTACGTCGCCCGAGCTCGAGGCCGGGCTGGTCGTTTCACAGCCGACCCCTCTCACCCTGCACATGGACTATTCCAACCACTCCCCTCAGGCAGGAGGCTGCGGTCCATCAAGACTAGAACCTCCCGCCACAAGAACAGTTTCTTCCCCTCTGCTGTGGGACTCTTGAACACTTCTTAACCTGTCCCCCCGCCCTTTATAAAGTCACTTTACTGCCCATCATACGTCACTTTACTTCACTGTACTGCTGTCACCTTACATTGTGTGCACCATGTGCACTTGTATATTGTAAATAGTAACTGTAACTCTATTTTAAATTTAAATTTATTTCTTAGAAGTGTTTTATATTCTTTATTTTTTTATAATCTCTCTCTGACTGTTGCACTGAGCCAAAGCAATTTCCAAGTCTGTGACTTCCTGTTACTTACGTGGCAATAAAAATGATTCTGATTCTGATCATTCCATTCTACAGAATCAAAAACGGTTGCTCAAAAATAAGTCAAAACAGTGGGTGTGTCACAGTGGCCCTCAGAATATATTGTGTGTATTTGTGTGTGTGAATGATAAGGATAAACTACTACATCATGGGTAGAAGCTTACAACATTTGCATGGTCTGTCCACTTTGAAAAGCATGTGTAGAGTATTGTGGTATATTCACCAGAAGGTAGAAGGTGATGAAGATGGGGCTGGAGGTTACTCTGATCTTGGCTCGAGCTGAAGGAAGTTTCCACATGAGAAACACAAAAAATGTGACGTTTGGAATCAACAGGAGCAGGTCCCAGTAACGAACCCTGAGGACACAGTCACAGGGAGATTAAGAGAGACTAGAGAGAACAGAGAGACTCGAGAGAAACCAGAGAGAGACCAGAGAGAGACCATAGAGAGACCAAAGACCAGAAAGACCAGCAAGATGGACCAGAGACCAGAGAGAGAACAGACGGACCTGGGAATCATATGGACAAACAAGTTACTCATCCACAGTCTGTGTTTAGTGTGTGTTTCTCACCTGGACTGTCCAATGTCCTCATAAAGCACTTGGAGACAGCGGTGAGGTTTGGAGATGTTGCTTTGAGAATCCGGAGACAGACTTGGAAACACGGAGGAGTTTTCATACCAGGGCGACACGCTGCCATTGTACTGAGCAAACCGGACCACCGCCGTCACAGTGGGCAACATGATTTCATCGCCTACAGGGCAATAGTAAGTACATCAACATCAAGATTCTAAAACAACGTCAAGATTTTAAAATGTGATATAAATCCAAAGTGCGTTTAGTAGAGCGAAAGCCACCATAGAGTTAGCATGAATGAAGATTTCAACATAAGAGAGCTTGAGACAATTTCCTTATATGGGCATTTGTAGTAACAGGGGCAGACGTGTTGCTCGACATGTCGCAAAGGCAAGCTGTTCAAAGCTTATATAGCTCATAACTGAATTTACAAAGACAATATCACAATTTAAAACACCAGGGTCATAGATCCACTCTCTGGTCTCTCTCTCTCTTTCCAATAGCAGTAAATCCACCAAGTGTCAGTGGTGGTGTTAGCTTCAGAAACATGAAAGATTACTGGAACATTTTCATAAATATCTATCAGTTATATATAGTACTTCACAATTCGTCTAAATGATCAGGTATTTGCAGAATTTCCTTTGCTTTTCTGTGTTTACAAAATATAGTCTCGGCCTTCAAATGTATAATAGATCCCATATCTCAGCGCTGGTGAGCCATACTCTAGCTAAAGAGTTCCATAATTCCTGCAAAAACAAGGAAAAGTGGCACTGAACTGCGTACACAATAAACCGTATGTTTTGAGACGTCACAAGCTCTGTTGTATCTCACAAAGTATTCGTATTAAATCACGTTTGTATAAACGTGTGTCTGAAGTGACTGGAGCAGCGTTAGCTCGGAATGCTAACAACATTAGCATCTGTCAGCTAGCACAGATAATCGCGTTATGTAATCAAAATATCCCGTTTATTTATGTAATTTCGCACAGGTTCACATATAGAACACACATTTCAAGCAGTAATATAGGTAGATGATCAATAATAGACTAGAGGAGAGACGTGCCTTTCTGTGTACATTAGCGTAGCAGGGTATAACAAATGAGAATATTGTTGTTTATGGCAGAATTTAGGCTTTAAACATAACTTCTGACCTGTTTGCTGGAGGCAGCTCTGTGAGGCGGTGATGGGAGGATTCTACTGCAGGTTTAAACAGACTTCAAGATGCGTCGCAGGAGAGAAATGTGTGAAAAATGTAATAAATATGAGTCATGTTTTCGTTTCGCAGATTTCCCCGTGATCAGCTGATGGAAGGCATTTGGTCTCGCGAGATCATAAAACTCCCGGACACAGACACGCACACGCACAAACTATCGTGCACGCGCCTATTAATTATCATTAAAGTTCATGATAATTATAATCATATATCTAAGTCCAGGATCTACAGCCTGTCCCTCGCCTCCTTGAGTTTTCTCAATTTTATTCCATCGTTTTTTGATCGGTTCCTTACCGATGCAGGAGGGTCTAAAGAACAGTGACGATCCAGGACTTTTACTAACAATTCTGAACAGTGGTTAATCCTTAGCTTTAAACCAATGGTAAATATGTGTTTGTTATTATTACATTTCCAGTGTTCGAACTCTTTGATTATCTGATCTGTTTGTTGGTGAATCCACAACTTAGTGAGGTCCTCTGAAACAACTGTTGTGTTGATATAGGCCGTTACACAATTATATTGAAATGAATTTTTGAGGATGTAAGCAGCTCACAGAAAAGACACATAAATGAGCTTTATTGCTGCTGTGTAAGCTGTTACAAGGTCTAAACACATAGATAATCATGTTTTATGGGACACATAACCAACACACATATTTCTGTCAATAATTAGTGAAAGCTGAGCTCGGAAAAATGCAGCTTAATCTGAAATTCATTCTGATAGATGACCTGCTGCAGTCCCATCCTGTCCACAGCCCCCTTCACTCCCTCTCTATCACACTGCCAACTTCCTGCCAACCCATGTCAATGAAACCAGCAGTTTAAAAGCCAAAACCCCCAGAAACAAATTCCTCTTCAAGCTCTCGCAACCACCCCCCTGCCGCCTCCTCCTCTGGCCCTTCAGGCATAACGCCCCCCTCTCTAACTTTTCTCTAATGCACCACCAGTGTCTAGACCCCAGCGAATCATAATGGGGCGTTCACACCGGATCATGCATTGCGGCGAGTTACAAAGTCAATAATGTACGTCGATGCAAATATTTAAATATTCAATTCAAAAAGAATCATAGAAAGAATCATAGAAAGAATCAGAATCAGAAGTGTATCTAATAGTGAATCTATGGCACAGAAACTGCACAAAATCCTCAGATTGTGTTTGTATAAACCACTTTAAATATAAGGAGTATATTTTATCCTGTATTTTCTCACGTCACAACTGTGTGAGAAAGCTAGACCACAGACTTACCCCCCAAAATGGTGTGTGTGACGCAAACGGTTACTGAGCTAGAGGAGTTTACTTTTACATGTCAATAGGAGCCAGAGCGAGTTGGATCCAAACTCCACCCATGAGCACTTCCCTGTTGGGCTTAATTGAGCTGGTGGGTTAGCATTGTCCATCTGTATACAACACAGGTCTCCAACATTTTTTTATTGAAGAGTCAGAGTCTTTAGGGAACGAGTCCGAGTCGCAAGTCTCGAAAAATAGCGACTTAAGTCGGACTCGAGTTCGAGTCCCCATCTCTGTGTAATTTTGAATGCAATGACTCAAAAATCAATCATTTCTGAACATGCGTCACATTCCTGAATCCTGTGGGAAGCTATCAAAAAAGGGGTTGGTGGGCTACTGGTAGCTCCCGAGCTGCAGGTTGGAGACCACTGGTATACACTCTATGTTAGCATTGTCCATGTGTAAACACTCTATGTTAGCATTGTCCATGTGTAAACAGTCTATGTTAGCATTGTCCATGTGTAAACAGTCTATGTTAGCATTGTCCATGTGTAAACAGTCTATGTTAGCATTGTCCATGTGTAAACAGTCTATGTTAGCATTGTCCATGTGTAAACAGTCTATGTTAGCATTGTCCATGTGTAAACAGTCTATGTTAGCATTGTCCATGTGTAAACAGTCTATGTTAGCATTGTCCATGTGTAAACAGTCTATGTTAGCATTGTTCATCTGTAGACAGTCTATGTTAGCATTGTTCATCTGTAGACAGTCATGTTAGCATTGTCCATGTGTATACAGTCATGTTAGCATTGTCCATGTGTAAACAGTCTATGTTAGCATTGTCCATGTGTAAACAGTCTATGTTAGCATTGTCCATCTATATACGTCTTCTCTAGGAGCAGATGGTGACTGATCCCTTGTCTCCTGATAACATTCTGTAGGCCAGATGCAGTGGTTCTTCTGTGCATATGTTGAAGCTGTGTAAGTGGCACCTCCCTGTGGTCTGAGTGAGCTGGTGCAGGCTGATATACTTGGCCTCTCGGTCCAGGATCAGCTCCAGTCTTCGGGCCGCTCCCGGACTTTTCTGCAGTGCGGTGGCCTTGCTGCGGTCAAAGGCGGTCAACTGGTTTTGATTCCACATGAGGCACCAGGACTGGGGACAGGTCTCAAGGGCTGAGGGCAGACCGGAGCGTGGCAGAGCGGACGCAACACACATGCCCACAATCCAGGGGGCGCCGTCCAGCTGCAGCTCCCACCTGTGCTGACCGCTGCTGAAGCTCTGAGTGCTCAGGACCTGGGACACAGGGACAGACCAATTCACTCCCACTCATGTCACACAGGGGACATGAGTCAGGTCTCTCTATCTGGTCTCTCTCTATCTGGTCTCTCTCTGGTCTCTCTCTGTTCTATGTTCTCTCTGGTCTCCCTATCGTCTCTCTGCGCTATACTGTATATGGCCTCTGGTCTCTCTCTGGTCTCCCTCTGGTCTCCCTCTGGTCTCCCTCTGGTCTCCCTCTGGTCTTCCTCTGGTCTTCCTCTGGTCTCCCTCTGGTCTCCCTCTGGTCTCTGTTCTATGTTCTCTCTGGTCTCCCTATCGTCTCTCTGCGCTATACTGTATATGGCCTCTGGTCTCTCTCTGGTCTCTCTCTGGTCTCTCTCTGGTCTCTCTCTGGTCTCTCTCTGGTCTCTCTCTGGTCTCTCTCTGGTCTCTCTCTGGTCTCTCTCTGGTCTCCCTCTGGTCTCTCTTTGATCCCTGTCTAGTCTCTCTCTGGTCTCCCTCTAATGTCTCCCTGTGGTCTCTCTCTGGTACTGAGTCCATCTGTGTACCTGTGTGAATGCCCTGTGTACCTGTAAGAAGCTGGAGAACCTCTTCCCTGTCGTTGCGTACTCTTGTTTCTTGGCGCTGAACGTCACCGTCTTCAGGTCGTCCGACAGCAGCAGGTTTGGGTGCAGCGTCTCTGGGTCAAAGGTCACCTCAGATGGGTTAAAGGCGTTCCTCAACGCCCTCTGGACCTCTGTGAACCTCCCTCGAAACTCCTTCCCCAGCCTCTCCAACTCTGGACACAGCTTCGTCAGATTGAACTCGACAATTTCTGGTTTCTCTGGTCGATTTGCTGCGTCACATTTCTCCATTTCCGCCTCCAAACTTCTAGCTCTGCTCATAAAAAACGCTGAATTTTCTTCCTTTAACACATCCTCAGCCCCACGCACCGTTTTCCTGAGTCTCTCACTCATTTCAGAGGCCTGCTCCAGTCGCCGGCTAATCACTTTTTCTCCTGGACCTAATTGCTGTTCGATCAACGCCAAAACAGTGTCACTGTAGTTTTGAGCAAAGAGCGTCACGTCTCTGACCAGTTTCAAAGCGTTTTGTCGTAGCTTAGCATTAGCCGCCGTCACATTTCCATGGTATCTCTGCTCTCTGTCCAAAACGAGCTCTGCTTTTGCTAATCTGTCAGTGAATTCTGGAACCTTCAACGCTAACTTTGATTTGTATTCATCCATTTTTCTCGCATCTTCCATTGAAATTGGACGTTTACTTTGAAAAGCAACATTTTCTCCACTCCTTTCTGCCATTATTGCAAGTATATCTTGTTGGGGATTTCCCGTAGAGGCAGATAATCCTTCATTTGGGCTCAAAAGTGGAGTTTTGTTTTGAAATTCACCACTTTGCTGCGTGCTGTCCTTTAAAAGTGGAGTTTTATCTTGAGAGACTTCGTTGATGCCGTATTTCGGTTCTACTTTACTTTTCAGGTAATGGAACAAATCCGATTCTACTTGACTTTTACATTGAAAATCCTCTTGAAAACTCCCCATCCCTCCACAATTTGCAGCTATAGCATTGGGTGGATTTATTTTGGACGAGTCAATTTCACTTGAATCGCAAGTCTTATTTTGGAATCTACATAAATTGTTCCACATTTGGATTTTTTCTGATTTTAGGTGTGTTTGGTTGATCTTGCCTGTTGCTAAAGGGCTTTTATTTTGAAATCTGTAGGTTTCTTGGACATCAATGCTCTGTTGCTGCATTTGTAAAGTTGTCAGATGAGTCATTTTATTTTGAAAACTCCTGACCATTATATCCTGCACTTCTTGATCACTTTTGACCCTGACCGCAAACATATTTTGGTCAATTTGTTCAATTTTGTCTAATCTTCCTGGGATTTTGACAACATCTAGGCTTTTATTTTGAAACGTATCAGTCTTAATTTGATCTGGGTTGTGCTTTATCACAACATTTTGACTCCCAGGGTTCTCCTTTAGCCCTATGCTTTTCTCCAGTTCTGCAGTGCCGCACATTTGGACAACACTTGGACTTCCTTCTTGGATTTCCAAATCATTGATGGAACAATTCTCAACTACTGGACTTTGATTTTGAAATATTTGACTTTCTATTCCATTGGTAGCGGACTTGTATTGGCTAATATTCAAAGTTGGGCTCAATGGGTTTACCACATTTCCAAAAGAACTATTATCTTTTCTCGGACTTTCATTCTGAAATCCACCACACTCTCCCTCTTGGGGATAACCCAATTTGAACGCAGATAGCGTTTGGTCAATGCTGTCCACTCCTGGGCTTTCAACATTTTTCATGGAACAACCCTCTTTGTTTGGAGTTTTATTTTGAAATCTATATCCTATATTCCCATACATGTCTTCGTGTAGCTCGGCAATAGACATATTTTGCTTAACATTTTTGTCTAATTCTCCAACAAGACTCATTTTGACAATGCCTGGACTCGCTATTGGATTCCTGACCGGAGAATTCTCTTCTACTCTACTTTTTTTTATATAGCCATGGCTTTGTCCCCCATCTACGCCACCTGCATCAGTGCCTTTGACAGCGGGTGAAGTCTGGATGTTGGATCGGCCGGGTCCCATATGGTGGTGGCTGTTAGGGTTTGGGTCGTTGCAGTGGTCGTTGCAGTGGTCGTTGCAGTGGTCGTTGCAGAGGTTGTTGCAGTACCAGTAGCAGTAGCAGTAGTGCGGGTGGTACTCCGCTCTGCATTGAGGGCAGCAGTGCCGGTCCAGGCCCTGGTGCATGCTCTGGAGACACTGGGGACAGAAGGCGTGGCCACAGGGGAGCCACACGGGGGCAGGGCAAAGCTGCAGACAAGTGGGACAGTGGAGGGGCGGGGCCTGGGCAGATGACATCTCTGCAGAGTAGCTGAGGAGGAGAAAAGTAAGTGTCAATAACAAGCACAACGTCGTGTAGCTGTCCAGAAACAGTCTCTGACTGTTGTACAGTGTTCATGAGACAGACAGGTGTCAGACTGTTGTACAGTGTTCATGAGACAGACAGGTGTCAGACTGTTGTACAGTGTTCATGAGACAGACAGGTGTCAGACTGTTGTACAGTGTTCATGAGACAGACAGGTGTCAGACTGTTGTACAGTGTTCATGAGACAGACAGGTGTCAGACTGCTGTACAGTGTTCATGAGACAGACAGGTGTCAGACTGTTGTACAGTGTTCATGAGACAGACAGGTGTCAGACTGTTGTACAGTGTTCATGAGACAGACAGGTGTCAGACTGTTGTACAGTGTTATCATGTGTTGAGATGAAAATGCTATAAACATGGACAAAGCTAAACTTTGTTGTGAGCCCATGATTCGTGTATGAGTGTGTGTGTGTGTGTGTGTGTGTGTGTGTGTGTACCTGAGTGCGCGTGCGTGTATACGCGTGTGATAATAACCATGTGATAACACTATATTTCACAGAGACTTATGAAATTACATCGGTCTAAGTTTGGTTTAAATACTAATTAAATAAGTATGGGTCTGCATGTAAATGAGTTACACTACTGAGTTACGTCAAAAAAGAAACATTTGACTCGACACGAGACCGGTCCTTCTCAGTTGCTGGACCCAGACTCTGGAACAAGCTGCCCCTGATATGCGTGTCCTTACCATAGACTGTATATATTAGTCCTTACTGATTTTGGCCTTTTTAAATCGAGGCTCAAAGCATATTTATTCAGACTGGCTTTTAACACTTTTATCACTTTTTAAATGTTTTTTTTAAAAATGTTTTTATTGTTTTAGTGCATAAATGTTTTAAATTGATTTGATGTAATTTTATTGTGAAGCACTTTGGTCGCCTTGAGTGTTGTAAAGGGCTCTATAAATAAAATTGATTGATTGATTGATTGAAGAAGTTGAATCTATTTTCTTAATGCTATTTGGGAAAAAATACGATATTGGATCTTTGAAAAGAAAACTGTAAATGTAACAATTATATTCAATGCAAGCTAAACATTTTCCAAGTTCACATCACGTGTTGTCGTCGTGTTTACAGCCGCAGGTCCCTATGGAGCCTCCTGTGGTGATACACTTTGCACTGTTGCTGTTGGAAGTTAAGTTTCGTTTCTCAGTTCTTCACACAATTCTCGAATTAAATCTTACAGTCTGTGATTATATCTGATAAATTCACATTGTTTGCGCCTTATCGTCTTTCAGTGTCTAAAAATAAAGACACTGCTCTTTGCTTTAACAACATTATCGCCCGTTTGGAACAACAGAAAGACCATGTTTTTATGCGCAACTATGACACTGTACGTTTTAGACAAAGTTTCTATTTATGAGTCGAACATGAATAAATATCAAAAAGAGGTTGTTTTGAATCAAAGGAGAAACTTACCTCACAGTTACAGCACCAGGACCTATATTCATGATCTTCCTTATTGTCCTGGTCACAGGGACGGGCCCAGAGACCGCCCCCAGGGGTTTCCAGATTTAGTGGGCACGCGTAATTTTCCATTTAAATTACTAATACTAATAATTGAGTGCATTTTTATGATCTTTATAATAATAACAACATGTTATGGTAAAATACATATTTTTATTGAACAGGAAGTCCCACTGAGATTTCAGAACTTCTCTTCAGGTGAGTCCACAGAGTGGACAGAGTGTGACTTCACCACAATAATGTTAGCCTTAAAGCAGAATAAGCCAACTTTAACATAAGTAGGCTAGAGACAAATGACGGCATCTGATTGGTCAATACAAAGACAATATCACAATATAGCTAAATACCAGGATCACAGAAAGCTCTAAACAGTCATATTTGAGTTGGAGTTTACTTTTTAATGTAAACTCGGGCAGAGCGAGTTGGAGAAAAAGAGCACTTTCACTGAGCTACCGGGTAATAATCTGTGTCCATCTATATAGATTTCAAAATAAATGCGTTAAAATCACTGATGCTACTGAGATTCTTATTTTACTTTGAAATCTGTTATTTTGTTTCCATCTTTGATCTCGGTTAACTTTTTATGATTTTTTCCCACACGCAAATTAGTCTGGCATTTCGATCTTTGATGCAATGTTAACTGAAGTTAGATATATGTAATTTAAAATAGGTTGAGTACTTTTAGACCTAGAATATTTCATGCACCTTAGGGGAAATGTATGCTAAACTATATTATAATAGATCCATGATGCTAAACCCTGATTGATACCTTGGCAGAACTGCGTTGGGGAAAAAGTATTTTCACAAAGTTTCTCTCGCTGTCGTAGCGAAGTTTGGGATTAATAATTGGCACGTGTAGTGATGTAAGCTATATATTTGTAAAACAATGAGAAAACTTTGGAAAAGTAAAGTAAGTGTGGTTTAAACTTGATCCGTGATGCTTTTCGAAGTTTGAACGTTGTTCCCCGTTACACACCGTTACTACGCTAACTGTGGAGGAAACATGTCTCTCCCTGGGGCTCCGTGGGACTGCCTCTCTGACATAACTCTGGAAGTCTCCCGGGATGTGTTTGAGGTCCAGGCCGGTCTCATGGTGCTGTCCTCAGGGTGTGGAGTGGTCCTGGGGGCGCTGACTGCGGCGGTGCTGCTGCTGCGATTCTGTCGCAAACACAGCGATCCTGCACCGGTGAGAGACACTGTACCATACTGTCATTAAACTGTTTCAATATTATTATTTAGTGACTGCATACGTTTGTGCATGGTGTAATAGTGACTGCATATGTTTATTCAGGCCGTACACTAGCTGCATACTTAATACAATTTTGGTGTTTCTAAAAAACAGTGTAGTAGTAGTAGTACTACTATAAATAATCTTTATTTATATACTGCCTTTTCACTGCACATCGGAGTCTCAAAGCGGTTTACAATTTTTATTTTTGGGAGCGGGGTCGCCAGTACAGGAGGCACATGCCAGACCTATTGTACATATTTTTAGTGGTAGGGGAATAATTCGGAGCACCCGGAGGAAACCTACGCAGACACGGGGAGAACATGCAAACTCCACTCAGAGTTTGCATGTTCTCTGAGTTCTCTGAGGTCCAACCGGGATTCGAACCCAGGACCTTCTTGCTGAGAGGCGAGAGTGCTATCCACTCAGCCACCGTGCCGCTATAGTATATATACTATATTAATACAGTTTAATATTACACTTGTGTCCTGTGGCTCCTTTATGAAAAGTCCACTGTGTTTTTGTGATTGTTCTGTTTAGGCCCAAAGGGTGCGTGTGCTGGAGCCAGAACCAGAACTGAGAGGAGGAGAGAAGTGCCAGGGGCCAGGAGCCATGTCTTCAGAGAGGGTTTGCAGCTCCTCACACCTCCTTTATTGTATTTTGTTTTCATATACTTACGGTAAATGTAATGTCTTATAAAGTCTACTTTTCTGCAGCAGCAGCAGAAGGCCCCAGTGAGCAGTGACATCACAGCTTTCGCCTCCAGAGCTAAAGTGGTTTATCCCATCAACCAGAGACACCGCGTGAGTTTCAGATCTACACACCATCCTCCTCACATGTTCACATCCTCTGTAACGTGTGTCCTCTTCAGCCTTTAGCAGACGGAGCTTCAAACCCGTCCATTCACGAGGTTGCGGACAGTCCCCCTTCTTCCTCCTCCTCCTGTTCATCTGATGAAGAAGATGAAGATGATGAAATCAGGCAGGAGGGCGGCCATTTTGTGTCTTCACCCCACAGTTTTACTCCTGTGTCCTGTGCTCTGCAAACACTCACACTGAGCAGGTAGTGGAGAAACTGATACTACTACTGCTACTACTGAGACTGCTGCTGCTGCTGCTACTAATGCGACTACCACTACTGCTCAGGTCATTCACAGTTTGGTGAAATGCTTTGTCAGATGACTTTGTACTGACTAGAGAGACCAGAGAGAGACCAGAGGATGGTGTGTAGATCTGAAACTCACGCGGTGTCTCTGAGAGAGACATGAGAGAGACATGAGAGTGAACAGAGGAAGAAACAAGAGAGACCAGAGACAGAGCCAAGTACCTTCTTCCCTGATCCACTTGTGAGCAGAGGTCTTACTTGTGGGTCAGGGGTCATTGTGTCTATATCCCTGTCAGGTCTCAGAGCCGGCTGAGTCTCGGCCTCTTGTCTCTGGAGCAGCTCCATCACATGTGGCTTCAGCTGCAGGAGGAGAAAGCTGAGGTGAGGCCCACACACATCACTTTCCTTTTCTCTCTCCTCTTCCCTCTCTCCTTACTCCTCTCCTCTCTTCTCTCTATCCTTTCCTCCCATCACTCCTCTCTGCTCTCCTCTCTCCTGTCTCCTCTCTCTCCACCCTTTTCTCACACTGAACCTCTTTTGTTGCAGGTTTTCTCTCAGATCCGGAAGTCTGTGTTTGATCAGAGTTTCTCCCAGAAACAGCGGCAGTTGAACGTCTGCTCTGACGTTCTGCAGCAAGAGGTAACACACATGTCCATCTGTATTTATGTCCTGTTTATCTTTGCTCAGAGGTAACAAAGCTAACCCCCTCATGTGTTGGCAGAAGCATATAGATCATCCCTCCACTGTAACAGAGGAACCAGGATCAAAACGAGGACCAGAACCAGGACCGGGACCGGTGTCTGTGGAGGAGTTGGAGCAGCGATACAAAGAGATTTTCCAAATGCAGCTGCAGGAGGTAAGAGCTTCATACTCCACATGACGTGCTCCCCATAACCGATGAACAGAATTAGTCTGAAAGTAAAATGTTGTCAACAAATCATCTTATTAGAAAACCTAAGAAGAAAGAGTCCTCCCTCAGCCGCTCTCTTTGTAACTTTTCTGTCTGAAAAGGCTGATCTAAAGATGTGACAGAAGCCTAAAATACATGATGAGTGATAGAAGCAAACTGTTTTAGGGCCGGTAACTAGAGACATTGGTTTATTGCAGAGTTCTGTTGGTGTTGTCTGAAAGTTACATTCCCCAGTTTTACGTAGAAATACATTCTTCAACATTTACTGGTGTCTGTTCCAGGTCCTGTCCTTCTTTCATCAGCTGAAGTCTCTTGCCTCAGGATTTCCTCCAGATGTCGCTGAACAGATGCTTCTCTCAGTCTGCACCAAATTGCTGAGACTGGAGAAATGTCAGCAGATTAGCCAGGAGACCAGCCTCATGGTAGTTTCACCTCCTTACAACTCCTCACAACTCCTCACAGCTCCTCACTGCTCACTGTCTGTGTGTGTGTCTTCAGAGCATCCTGCAGAGGGCGCTGTGGTGGCAGGAGCTCTGGTCATGTCTTCATACTCAGCCTGAGCTGCTGGAGCAGGAGCTGAGATCTATGCAGTCCCTGATCTCCTCACGTCTACAGCAGAAGGAAAAGGAGGGAGCTGTGAGGTCATCTGAGACCAAGGAGGTGCTGAAAGAGGTGCAGAGCCATGTGGAGGCTACGCTGCAGGAGTACCACCAGGGTAAGCCACTCACTCGCATAGATGTTTTAACTGCCATAGATTATATTACAGCGGTCCCTGGTTTATCGCAGGGTTAGGTTCTCTCTGGTCTCTGTCTGGTCTTGCTCGGGTCTCCCTCTGGTCTCTTTGGTCTTTATATGTTCTCTTTCTGGTCTCTCTCACTGGTTGTGGTCTGGTCTCTCTCTAGTCTCTGGTCTCACTCTCTGGTCTCTCTCCCTTGTCTCCCTCTCTCTAGTCTGTTATAGCTGCAGAGTACACGCGCTCCTCTCATGTGAACTCGTGTGTTTTTTTCTCAGAGCTGGAGACTCGGACTCATCTACTTCTCACAGAGAAGATGGAGAGACTGAGGACAGGGAAGGTATCAAAGACAAGAGACCAAAGACTCCGAGACCAGGACTTGGAGACTAGAGATCCAGAGATCATCCCATAATGCTCTGTATTCTTACAGAACGGTGGAGTGAACTGTGAGGAGCAGGTTCTCCAGGCTGTGGCCGAGCTGTGGATGGTGAGACTCTACAGAGACCAGAGAGAAACCAGAGGGAGACCAGACCAGAAGCTGAGAACAGGACATGTCTCTCAGATCCCTTTAAATCCTGGTGTTTGTTTTTCTAGAATGTGCGTTGCTCCTGCTCCTCCCGGTTCTCCTCCCTCTGCAGAGACCTCCTCCTCCGCTCTTCCTCTGGTTCCTGTTGCTCACTTTGGTCCGAGCTGCAGTGTGACCTGACTGCACTGCTCCCACAGGCAGAAGAGGCCACCAAAGAGCAACTGCAGACTGTCACAAAGGAGCTGAGGACAAAGCAGGAGGTGACCCACAGAGACAGAGAGAACCCAGAGAACCCAGAGAGTCCAGAGAGTCCAGAGAGTCCAGAGAGTCCAGAGAGTCCAGAGAGTCCAGAGAGTCCAGAGAGTCCAGAGAGTCCAGAGAGTCCAGAGAGTCCAGAGAGATGTTCAGTTTTGATCTGGTGTGTGTCCTCAGAGGTGGACCGAGAACAGGACTTGGCTGGAGACTCGACTCAAACATCTGTGTGAAGAACAAACAGAGATCATGAAGAACGTGGATCTGAAACTGAATCTGAAACACGGTCTTAACAGGTCTGTAACAGGTCTGTAACAGGTCTGTGACAGGTCTGTGACAGGTCTGTGACAGGTCTGTAACAGGACTGGACCAGGACTGGACCAGGACTGGACCAGGACTGAACCAGGACTGAACCAGGACTGAACCAGGACTGAACCAGGACTGAACCAGGACTGAACTGCTGCATCATTGTGTGAGTGTGTGCATGTGCGAGTTCAATTCAATCACAACAGCAGTCATCTCGGAGGACTTTACAAAGTTATCAATTCGTCAACAACAGATCAGAGAATCAAAAAGTCAAAACATAGGAAATGCAATTATAAGAAACATGTAGGAGCCATTTTTCCACGAGGGGCAGATGACCAATGTCCATCAATGTTGATAAATGTCCTTAAATGTCCTGGATCATCACCACTGTTCATCGATCCTCCTGCAAAACCCAGTGGGAAAAAAGTGAGAACCCTCAGGGAGGCTCACATTGAAAGAGGGATTGGCTCCCACAGATGAACGGGCTATAGATCCAGGACTGTGTGTGCGTGTGCGTGTGCGCCTGTGCGCCTTATGTCTGGACTGTGGTGTAAGAGTGTACGAACAAACTTGTGTGTCTGCAGCCGGCTACTCGAGCTGCAGTCTCTCCTCCTCCAGGGGGCGCTACAGAGGCTGTTTGTGCTCAGACATGTCAGTCTGGTTCTGCTGAAGGAGATGAGACTGAGCGCGCTCAGTCTAGACCAGGGAGACACAGAGGCCGACCTTTGCCCAGATCTTCAGGTGAGTTTAGATCTGCTCCTGATGTAGCAGCTTGTAGCTCTGTTGTCTGGTCTCCCTTTCTCTGATCTATCTCTCTGGTCTATCTCTCTGGTCTCTTTCTCGCTTGTCTCTTTCTCTCTTGTCTCTTTCTCTCTGGTCTCTTTCTCTCTGGTCTCTTTCTCTCTGGTCTCTGGTACCAATGCACTGTTTTTATGTGGACAACACTTGTAATACACTCTCCCCGTTGTCCAGCAGGGGGCAGAGCTAAGACTGAAGCAGCAGTTTGAGAGAGAGCTGGAGTCTGGGATCAGCCAGATGCAGCACCACCTTCAGTCCATCCTGGGAACCGCTCTGAGCCTCAACCAGAAAGAGGGCTCTGCAGAGGAGAGAGAGGGCCCCGGAGAGGCCAGAGACGGCCCCCCAGGGGAGGGAGAGGAGCAGAGCCACAACCACACGAAGGTTACACACTGCACTACCTCTATGACATGAGAATTAATAGAAGAGATTTGTTTGTAGAATTTTGCTTTTTGATCTATAGTCATTTACCTCATAGATCATACTTGATCCTGGTCTGGAGAAGGTTCATGTAAGGTCTGGATCAGGTTCTTTGTGGATGTTTGCAGATGCATCTGTTGGAGGCAGCTGCGGAGAGCGTTTATCTCACCAAAGCCTCTCTCTCAGCTTTGGTGCAGCACTACTACAACGAGCTAGAGGGCGCTGTGCTAAGACTGCAAAAGGAGGAGAGCTGTGATGGTGAGAAACCATCACATATATATCAGACCAGAGAGAGACCAAAGAGACCAGGAAGAGAGCAAAGAAAGACAGAGAGGCTAGAGAAAGACCAGAGAGAAACCAGAGAGGCCAGAGAGAGAGACCAAAAAGGACAGAGGGAGTGGCACGAGAGGCCAGAAAGTCCAAGACCCAGACATTCTAAATGTCTTGGGTCATCACCATAGACTGTAAATATAAACAGACGGGGTCACTCCTATCTCTGTCGTTCAAACTAATGTGCCACCACTTTCGCCGTCTATGGGCAGTTTCAAAATGGCCTTGGGGGCTGGAAAATGTGAAAAAACCCATCTGTGCATGCGTCAGCCGGCACGAGTCCCATTCATTTAACAAGTGCCTTCAAAATTTCACAACGGCTAAACTAGACTGGTCCAAAAAAAATCACTCCCCTCAGCATTGATACACATGTGGAACGGAGCTTTGGGCCAAGAGCCAACTTTTGGACCATCTTGTAAAGACGTTTTCGAGAGGTCAGCTAATGCTATACGTTAGCATTGAAGAATTCTTATTCCGGGTCCACCCCTATCGGCCCGGGGTGGTATTGCAAGCATGTCAGCGCACATAATTTCGGATATTTTTGAGCCGGGACCCACCCCCACTGGTCATCACATGTTTGAGAGTGTGTTTCCACTTTAGGTGAGCAGGAGCAAAGCAGGACTCTCAGACAGAACGTTCTGAAGGAGGTGAAGAAGTGGAGCAGGAGACCAACGTCGGAGCCGAGCCACCGCAGGTCTGTCAGAGTGACTCAAACTGTGGGCTGGGTTCAGGCTCATGTCATGGACGATGCTAACAAAGACTGTATACAGATTGAAAATGCTAACCCACTAGCCCAATAGGGAAGGGCCAAGCCCCGGTGATCCAAGATGGCGTCCTATTCAAATGAATGGCTTATGCCGTTCATTCATTCTGAGGTCGAGCTGTTTTAATTTACATTGAGTTCAATGGGACTTTTTTCTGGGTAGCCCTTGTGAATTTAGTCTGCAGTACCACGGGCGCCCCCTGTGCCCATAGGTGGGATAGCTATAAGCTAGTAATACCCCATCCAGTTATTATTATAGATCCATGGGAAGGGCTCAAAGAGAAGTTTTGCTTTGGTTCCAATTGACTTACATTGAAAAGTAAACTCCTCTAGCCCAGTTGTGGTTTTTTGTTGTTTGTTATTTCACTTGTTTGTTGAACTTGATTCCAGAGTCCAGCGTCACAAACAGAAGCTGCTGCAGTCGTTCTCACAAAACCAGAGTTTGGAGAATCTCAAACTTCAGGAAATCACCAGAGAAATAAACCTGGACCAGACCAGAGACCGGATCATGGTAAGACTGGAATAAAGGCCGGGGACCAAACCAGATACCAGATCATGGTAAGACTGGACAATTGAACCGAGACCCAACCTGAGACCTGACCCTTGAACAGACCAGAGACCAGTCCAAAGACCAGAAATGATGTGTGTATTTCTCCACCAGGGGGCAGAGGAGGACTTCCTGCAGGAGCTCACAGCTGCAGCTCGAGTCTCACTTCAGATCGACACAGAGGAAGACCAGACCAGTGAGACCCTTGTGATCATTCACACAATACAACCACATTTATTTAGATGCAACAGAGATATGAAACTAAACCGGAGAAACCGAAGTCCAGGGAACCCTCACTATAACGCGGGTCACCTTTGATATAGCTTGCTTCTCATGCAGCTCATCAATACTTTAACAACATTATGTAATCGCAAGTATAACATGAAAGTTACCTTTATTTAAAGTCAAAAGAAAACTTTTGTGGCTGTCTCTGGTCTCTCTCTTTGGTCTCTTTCTTTCTGGTCTTTCTCTGGTCTCGTGCTCAAGTCTTTCACCAATCAGCTCTCAGCCCTAGGACTCACAGGGCTCTTTCTTACACAAAAGATGAAGACCGAATGCTCTGGTCAGATTTGTTCACAGTTTACTTCAGGGCTAGTTCTGTTGGACAAACTAATTTGTTATTGATAATATAAAACCCAGGTCCCTCGGCTTTAACAGACTTGTTTCTCTCCAGCATCCAATGACAGGAGCCTGGACCTGCTGCAGCTGCTGAAGATGAACCCGGCTTTAGATCCGAGTCTGAATCCATCGCTGACCCCTCTGTGTTCCAACATCGTCTACAGAGACAAGAACACATGAACTCGTAGCGCGCAGACCACTGCCAATGAGCCGCTGTTTAAATACAGAAAATCTTGCCTCCAGACCATACTGCAACTGGTCAAGAAGAGTCAAGTTAAGTTACTCTCAGACACAAAGACAAACGCAGGTGATCACTTCACCTCACAGGAGGAGGGAATGACACAGCAGTAAGGACTTTGTTCATCATATAAGGGCTCAAGGCAGGACCAGGGGATCAGAGAGACCAGTGAGGGAATCTAGAGACCAGAGAACGACACAGAGACAAGAGAGAGACCAGGGACCAGTGTGTGCGCAATCAAATAATTATGATTATTTATTTATTGTTCTGTCGTCCTCTATTTCTGTTTCATATTAAACACATTTGGTTTGATCAGTGTTCTCATTCTTCAGCTTGAACAACTTAAGCGGTTCATTCACTGCTTTTTATCATGAATTTGACTCATACAAATGAGGATACAACACAACCTCAAAGCACCTGGTGTTCCCAGAGGTCTCCCATCACAACACTAACCAGGCCCTGCCCTGCTTAGCTTCATAGGCAAAAACGAAGGAACAGAAACATTTGAAGAAAATAGTTTATTTTCTTTCAAATCACCACAAAAATTTTATAAAAATAAATATAGATGATCAGTGTAGGAATCAGGCTCTGACTATAAACAATACAAACATTACAAAAGGATTTGGATCCATGAAACATTTAAACCTAAACTTATGATTATCCTTATAAAATCTATTTTGAAATAGAGAAGGAAAAGTCACAGCATATTTCCCCAAAACTAAAGACTTGTTTAAAAGGTAGAAAACAGTTTTGTACACGACATCACAGTCCGAGGAGCATTAATTGGATAAAAGAGCATTGAGACAGAAGGGGAAGGCCACCCGCTCAGAGAAGTAAGGGGCGTGGTGATGAGTACTACTGCAGTCCAGGGTCTACAGACACAGTCCAGGGTCTACAGACACAGTCCAGGGTCTACAGACACAGTCCTGGTCTACAGCCTCAGTCCTGGGTCTACAGCCTCAGTCCTGGGTCTACAGCCTCAGTCCTGGTCTACAGCCTCAGTCCTTGGTCTACAGACACAGTCCTGGTCTACAGCCTCAGTCCTTGGTCTACAGCCTCAGTCCTGGTCTACAGCCTCAGTCCTTGGTCTACAGACACAGTCCTGGTCTACAGCCTCAGTCCTTGGTCTACAGACACAGTCCTGGTCTACAGCCTCAGTCCTTGGTCTACAGACACAGTCCTGCAGCACATAGGAAGCATTTTAATCAAGTGGACTGAACTGTCGAATACCTGCGATTACACACATTATACATTATATTTCCTATATGTTTTATATTTCTGTTACAATCATTGAGTTCAACACTTTATAATGTTCGTCTTGTATATGGCGTAGGTTTGGTTTCAGCTTTCGTGGGGACCCAAATAAAAATGTAAAAAAATATTCACACCCTGACCAGGAATCGACCCCGGGCCGCAAAGCTACAGGTCTGCAATCCAAACAACTAGACCATAGACTACAACACATTTCTAGACACTACATGTCTTCGCTGATCGCTTCTAAGAAAGACGTGCCAGTCGGAATTATGTTAAAATGCATTAAAATGTTAAAGTGCATGTTTGAACTCTGCACACAAGAGGAATGAATAAACTGGACCGGTGGATTTGTTTTTGGACATCATCTTGTATGTCCCTAACATTTGGCCTTCATTCACGGGGATACTCCAGCTTCCCTTAGCAGCACGTCTGTCCCTGTTACAGCAGAAATCTAACGCTGGCGGGACAAATGCCCATATAAAGGAAATTGGCTCCAGCTTGCTCATGTTCAAATTGGTTTCAAATTCAAATTGATGTCACACTCGATCAGTCCACTCCTAATGTACGAACCATGGTCTAAGCTCACAGATCAGAGGTCCTTTTGAGGTCAAACATCTAGACCCTCCTCCCATCCCTCCTTTGGTCCCTGGTTTTGTCTCTAGAGCAGTACATCTAGGTCGAATGCAGGGAGAGGCTGTTTCCAGTAGGTGGCGCTGCTGAAGTCCGGGCACTGCAAAACGTCAACGCCACCGCAGATAGGAGGAAAGAAGTGCTCCACTTGCTCACAGAGACGAGGGTACCTGCAACACAGGACCGACAGGGTCTAAACAAGGATCTGAACCAGGGTCTACAGACTCTGCAGCAAGGTCTAGACTCACGATGACTTGTTGGAGCGGGTCTTCTCCTGGACCAGTTCTCCTCTGGGGTTCACTGTGAAGATCCTGGTGTCTGGAACTCCCACTGCGCTATATGCAAAGGCATCCTGCACACGAGAGGAGGAGGTGGAGAGGGGAGCGAGGGGAGAAGGGAAAGAGGAGAGGAGAGCAAAGAGATGATAGGGGTTGAAAAGGTGAGATAGAGGGGGGGGAGAGGAGAGAGGAAAGGAGAGTCAGGAAGAGGAGAGAGAAGAAAGGGGAAAAAGAGGGGTGAGGAGAGGGGAGAAATATCTGAGTAAGAGGTTGGACACCTCAGCTCTACAGATGCAGGTTCAGGTTTACTGTAAAAGCATCTTCTGGATTTGACCCAGACCCTGGAGCCTCTCTCAGCAGTGTTCAACATACACACGCACACACACACACACGCACACACACACGAGTAAAGACTCACGTTTGTCCTGTTCCCGAAAGCGGCATAGAACGGATCTCTGTGTGGGTTGAACAGGTCCCTGATGTCTCCCAGACATGCCACTTTGAACTCCTCTGGCTTCTTCTCAATCACCTCCCTGAAACACAACATGTGAGAGTGTGTTTGTGTGCGTGTGTGCGTGTGTATGTGTGTACCTGTGAAGGGCCGACATCAGGCTGCTCGGGGCCAGCAGCACGGGGCCCTTGGGCAAGGGGGCCCCGCAGTCGTTCACTCGCCTCAGGTATTTTTTGGTGGAGGCCGACATCCCAATGGCCCGAGCCGAGCAGTACAGCAGCCGGTACCCGTTTCTGAGCAGGAAGTATGTGAACAACAACATGTGACATCACTCCAAATTTCACAAGTTACTGTAATAGAGCAACTACACGAGGGGAGAGGGTAGAGGAGAGGAGAGAGAAGAGGAGAGAAGAAGAGAGAGAAGAGTATGAGAGAAGAGGAGAGAGAGGAAAGAGAAGAGAAGAGGAGAGAGAGGAGAGAGAGGAAAGAGAGGAGAAGAGAAGAGGAGAGAAGAAGAGAGAGAAGAGGAGAGAGAGGAAAGAGAGGAGAAGAGAAGAGGAGAGAGAGAAGAGAAGAAGAGAGATTGGAGGAGATAAGAAAGAGAGGAGTCCTGTATAGCACCAGCTGCACATTTGTTAACACTTCTGGACAGTGGTCACCCTGCTCCCTATGAACCAACGGCTCCTGTGTGTGTTTGTTATTATACCATTCTCTGTGGTCTCTGATCTGTTGCTGGAGAATCGGAAACATTGTAAAGCCTTCTGAGATGACTGCTGTTGTGATTTAGACTGATTCACAAATACATAAAATTGTATTGAGAGGAAAGGGGGAGGAAATACACACTGGTGAATGCGGTGGTAGAGTGTGGCGATCCCCGAGTGGGTCCAGTCGGCTCCGATGGAGGTGAGGAGGTGGCCCAGAGCATCAGACCTGAGGGGGGGGAACAAGGATAAGGTCAGAGAAGAGTGTTTCTCTTGTACGAGTGTGTGTTTGTGACGTGATCAGTGTGCGCGAATGTGTGTCTCTGTGTGTGTTACTTGGTGATGGTGCCGTCAATGTCAGAGATGACTACGCGGTCGTTCCAGCTCCAGAGGAACACAGAGGCCTCACAGCGGCACGTGCCCTGGTACTGAGTGGTCACAGAGAAGACCATCGAGTTCTCCCCCTCTAACAGGTGAAGCTGCTCCTGTAGGAGAGAGGAGGGAGGAGTGGGGAGAGAGGAGAGGAGTGAGGAGAAGGATGAGAGGAATGTGAGGAGGATGAGGAGAGTGGAGAGAACAAAGAGCAAGGTAAGAGAGGAGAAGCGAGAGAAGAGGGGGAAGTGTAGCATACGTACTATCTGTCTGGAGGTGAGCCTCAGGGACTTGCGGCTGAAGCTGTGGCTGGTGGACAGAGGAGCAGAGGGGGAGGAGGGGAGAGAGGGCTGAGGTGCAGAGGGTGAGGAGGGGGGAGGGAGAGAAGCGGAACGTCCCAGACCGGCCGCTTCGTCACTGTCCACATCATCCAGAGTTGCGCTGAGACAAACACACAGACTCAGACAACAGCAGGGAACTGATACCCTCTCAGTCTGGTCTCTCGCTCCCCTCCCCGGTCTCTCGTTCCCCTCCCCGGTCTCTCGCTCCCCTCCCCGGTCTCTCGCTCCCCTCCCCGGTCTCTCGCTCCCCGGTCTCTCGCTCTCTGGCTCCCCGGTCTCTCGCTCTCTGGTCTCTCGCTCTCTGGTCTCTCGCTCTCTGGTCTCTCGCTCTCCGGTCTCTCGCTCTCCGGTCTCTCGCTCTCCGGTCTCTCGCTCTCCGGTCTCTCGCTCTCCGGTCTCTCGCTCTCTGGTCTCTCGCTCTCTGGTCTCTCGCTCTCCGGTCTCTCGCTCTCTGGTCTCTCGCTCTCTGGTCTCTCGCTCTCTGGTCTCTCGCTCTCCGGTCTCTCGCTCTCCGGTCTCTCGCTCTCTGGTCTCTCGCTCTCTGGTCTCTCGCTCTCTGGTCTCTCGCTCTCTGGTCTCTCGCTCTCTGGTCTCTCGCTCTCTGGTCTCTCGCTCTCCGGTCTCTCGCTCTCTGGTCTCTCGCTCTCTGGTCTCTCGCTCTCCGGTCTCTCGCTCTCCGGTCTCTCGCTCTCTGGTCTCTCGCTCTCTGGTCTCTCGCTCTCTGGTCTCTCGCTCTCTCGCTCTCTGGTCTCTCGCTCTCTCGCTCTCTGGTCTCTCGCTCTCTGGTCTCTCGCTCTCTGGTCTCTCGCTCTCGCTCTCTGGTCTCTCGCTCTCTGGTCTCTCGCTCTCTGGTCTCTCGCTCTCTGGTCTCTCGCTCTCTGGTCTCTCGTACTTACTGCACTGTGAGGGGGAGGGAGCTCAGCGGCTCGTCTGCGTCGTCTTTAGAACTCTTCTGTGGAACAAAATAAAAGCAGAGATGACAGATTCTCGATGATGATCTTGTCAACAGTTTACTGCTGTGGGCCTCACTTGGCTGTCTCTAATGTCCCTCCTCCTGAACGGGAACCACCAGCGTCCAGACTTCTTGGACATTTTGTCTTTGACCAGTTGTTCCACAGTGCTCTGGAAACACATGTTTGATCCAGTACCAGCTCTACATTTACAGTAAGACATTACTGGTCTCCCCCTCTCTGGTCTCCCCCTCTCTGGTCTCCCCCTCTCTGGTCTCCCCCTCTCTGGTCTCCTCCTCTCTGGTCTCCCCCTCTCTGGTCTCCCCCTCTCTGGTCTCCCTCTCTCTGGTCTCCCTCTCTCTGGTCTCCCTCTCTCTGGTCTCCCTCTCTCTGGTCTCCCTCTCTCTGGTCTCCCTCTCTCTGGTCTCCCTCTCTCTGGTCTCCCTCTCTCTGGTCTCCCTCTCTCTGGTCTCCCTCTCTCTGGTCTCCCTCTCTCTGGTCTCCCTCTCTCTGGTCTCCCTCTCTCTGGTCTCCCTCTCTCTGGTCTGGGTAAAGCCCTGCACTTGAGCCCTAGGCCCGAAAGGCCAGACAGCCCGAGGACCGGGCTTCGGGCCGATGACCGTATTATTACCTCGAACACGGGTCGGGCTCGGGCACATTTATTTTTCCATTTTCAGAGTGGAAGATTACATTTACACCGATTACACCGATTACAGATTACAGATTACATTACGCACACACTGAATATAGCGTTCTATCACACTGTAGTATTTTTTGTTTTTGTTCATAGCGTAACCTTCAAGACAAGTGTGTTGTAGTTTATTGTGGCATCATACAGCTGCGGTCGTTCACGCCGTACACACAGAACTCATGGCAACACATCACTATCATGTATAACTCCGGCCTCTAGCCAGGCCTGTGTTCATATCAGTGCGCGTCTCTATATACTACGCTAAAACATTGTTATGGGAGGTTAAAAAATAAAAAATCAAAGTCGGGCTTGATACGGGTTTGGGCCTGAAAATTCAGAAACCATGTCGGGCTGGGCTGGGGCGCCACCCCCTCAGGCCAGGGCCAGGCTCGGGCCCAGATAATAGGCCCGTGCTGGGCTCGATCTCTGGGCCTCTCTCTCTCTCTCTCTCTGGGCCTCTCTCTCTCTGGGAATCTCTCTCTCTGGGAATCTCTCTCTCTCTGGGTATCTCTCTCTCTCTGGGCATCTCTCTCTCTCTGGGCATCTCTCTCTCTGGGAATCTCTCTCTCTGGGTATCTCTCTCTCTCTGGGCATCTCTCTCTCTCTGGGCATCTCTCTCTCTCTGGGCATCTCTCTCTCTCTGGGCATCTCTCTCTCTCTGGGCATCTCTCTCTCTCTGGGCATCTCTCTCTCTCTGGTCATCTCTCTCTCTGGCCTTTCTCACGGTGCTTTCTCACTGGGTCTCTCTCTCTCTCTCTCTGGTTCCCTATCTCTCTGGGCTTTCTCACTGGTCGGTCTCTCTGGTCTTTCTCGTCTCTCTCTCTGGTGTGAGTTGTACCTTGGGCAGGTTCTTCTGAAATGCTGACAGAGACAAGATCATGGGTGCGGCCACCGCCCAGTTGTAGTAGCTGAAACAGAAACATAGGAAACAAACAAAGTCTGACGATTATCACAAATGTATCTACATATAATCAGAATAGGGAGAATATACAAACAATAAGTCCTGTGTGTGTCTGTGTTTGTGTGTCTCTATGCATGTGTGTGTTTGTGGGTCTGTGAGTGTATGTGTCTCTGTGTGGTGTATAGGTGTCTATGTGTGTTGTGGGTCTCCACACGTGGACTCGTACTTAGAGTTGATGCAGACCACCAGGTTTGGGTCATCGATGAGGCTGGGGTTTTCACTGAGGTCCTGGAACGTCACGACCCGCTCAAGAAATTTCTCTGCAACAAACAGAAGCTTTTTCCTTCATGACAGAAAACAAAATGGAGACATGGCAGGCTTTAAGCAGGGGACTATTGAACATTCCTGCCAGCACTGAGCTCACTCCGCAACCCTCCTTCTGGTCTTACCAGAATTAGCAGTAGTAACAGTCAGAGCAACCGTAGTAGCAGCAGTGACGGAACTATAGTGAAGGTTAAACCCAATTTTCTCATTCTCCAGCTGTGCTAAGGCTTTCAGCTCATGCAGCAACCTGCCTCCTCGACATCACTTTTCATCTCATTGTTGTCAATAAATATCCCTCTATAGGGGCGTTAACACCAGACCATGTGTTGCGTCGTCAATGGCGACGTAAATAGGAGATGAACATTGTGCAACTTTTTTGCCGGACGTGTGTAGAAGACAGAAGACAAAGCAAAACAAGAGCTTAACCAGGGATAAACAAGGGACTGACAATGGGGGACTCAGTGCTTGTGAACATATGCCTCCAGCCTGAGTTTGTGACTGTAAACAAGTGCCGCCAACATGTTAACCGATACGAAAGTAACAGTTAATAATATAGTTCATTCCATGGCACAGTTCCCTGACCAGATACTGCTGTAAAATTGGGTCTCTGGAAGGTCTCGGGCACAGAGGTGCTGCAGAGCTCCATTCGTGGAGAACTTTACACAAAAAGCCACTATCTTAAACTCGCTAGCATCAAAGCTCTAGTCTTCCCAGATTGAAGTAGTAGTAGTAGTGGTAGTAGTAGCAGTAGCAGCAGCATCAGTCGAAGCAGCAGCAGCAGTAGCAGTAGCAGCAGCAGTACCTTTGCTGATGCTGCTGTCCCCTGGTCCACACAGAGACAAACTGACTTCTGGGCTGAAGGACATGGAGTCTGAGAGATAATCACTGCCTTCAGACTGAGGAGAGAAGGAGCCTGACTGCGAGAGCGCCCCTGCAGGCTGGGAGGACTCCTTATCCCTGTGACACACATGTTCATGTCAATGGGCTTGACCACACCGGGTCTTGTCTGAATTGTCTGCAACACGGCTCACGTTTTGGCTAAATACAGATCCACCTCCTCTGGGTCCAGAGACGACAGATTGTCCAGATAAATGTCGGAGGATCCCATGTTGTGATTGCGAGACTCTGAAAAAGAAACACACACATACAGACACACACGCATGCACGGACAGACAGAAAGACAGACAGACAGACAGAAACACACGCACACAAACAGAGACAGTAGTAAAATACAAACAACAGGGTCATAGAGAGCACTAAAACAAGGATTTTTAAAGCACAAAATGGTGAGTACTGAACTAGAGAGGTTTACTTTTACATGTAAGTCAATAGGAGCCCAGAGCGAGCAGGAGAAAAACATCCTTATTGGGGTTCATTGAGCGAGCAGGTTAGCATTGTACACCTGTATCCAGTATCATACTGCTTTTTCACCTCTTGTATATAATTCTCACCTTTCTTCTGACTTTCTGACTTGAGCGTAGCTTCTTCTCCGTCACTGTTCAGCTCCTCCTCTCCGTTCACTGCACACGTCTCTGAGGACACCTCCTCTTTCAGCCTCTGCATCAGCTCCTCTGCTCTAAAGCCTTCCTCCTCCTCTTTCAGACCTCCATTTTCGAGTTTGCCATTTTGGATGTGATCACTAAACATGGAGTCCTTTTTCTCGCGGTGGAATCGGTCGAATCCAGAGCCAAGGGAGCACATGTTAGGCCGGGTTTGTTCTGTTGCTTCTGGAGGGTGCAGGGAGCAGTTGTTGAAGTCCAGGGATCGGGTCCTGGCTTTCGGTCGGACCACTTTGGGGGCCGGAGTTTGGAGCCCCAGGTCAAAGGATTCTTGGCGCTTGATAGTGTGGAAATGAGAAGAGGAGGAGTGGACCGGGGGGCTCTGCGACTGGCACGGCTGTGGAGGGAATACGGAGCGTGTATGAGGAGTGGACTGACTGAGCGTGACATCACCACAGTGTTAGCCTAAATGCGGATACGACTGATTTGAACAAAAGCTTGCTGGCGCCAATCTATATCTAATCTAATCCTATATGGGCATTTTTTCAGATGCATAAACAGGGTTGCCAAGAAAAGCTGGAGTTTACAAAAACATTATCACAATATAAAACACCAGGGTCACAGAGTGCGCACAACCATAGATTTAAGCCCAAAATGGTGAGAGTGACACAATCAGTTCCTGAGCTAGAGGAGTTTTACATGTAAGTCAATAGGAGCCAAAGCGAGTACAGGAGTACAGTCTATGTTAGCATTGTCCTACACATAGTCTGTGTTCTAAATACAGTGCCTTGCGAAAGTATTCGGCCCCCTTGAACCTTTCAACATTTTGCCACATTTCAGGCTTCAAACATAAAGATATAAAAATTATTTTTTTTGTCAAGAATCAACAACGAGTGGGACACAATCGTGGAACAAAATTTATTGGATAATTTAAACTTTATTAACAAATAAAAAACTGAAAAGTGGGGCGTGCAATATTATTCGGCCCCCTTGCGCTAATACTTTGTAGCGCCACCTTTTGCTGCAATTACAGCTGCAAGTCGCTTGGGGTATGTCTCTATCAGTTTTGCACATCGAGAGACTGGAATTCTTTCCCATTCTTCCTTGCAAAACAGCTCGAGCTCAATGAAGTTGGATGGAGAGCGTTTGTGAACAGCAGTCTTCAGCTCTTTCCACAGATTCTCGATTGGATTCAGGTCTGGACTTTGACTTGGCCATTCTAACACCTGGATACGTCTATTTGTGAACCATTCCATTGTAGATTTGGCTTTATGTTTTGGATCATTGTCCTGTTGGAAGATAAATCTCCGTCCCAGTCTCAGGTCTTTTGCAGACTCCAACAGGTTTTCTTCCAGAATGGTCCTGTATTTGGTTTCATCCATCTTCCCATCAATTTCAGCCATCTTCCCTGTCCCTGCTGAAGAAAAGCAGGCCCAAACCATGATGCTGCCACCACCATGTTTGACAGTGGGGATGGTGTGTTCAGGGTGATGAGCTGTGTTGCTTTTACGCCAAACATATCGCTTTGCATTGTGGCCAAAAAGATTTTGATTTTGGTTTCATCTGACCAGAGCACCTTCTTCCACATGTTTGGTGTGTCTCCCAGGTGGTGCAAACTTTAAACGAGACTTTTTATGGATATCTTTGAGAAATGGCTTTCTTCTTGCCACTCTTCCATAAAGGCCAGATTTGTGCAGTGCACGACTAATTGTTGTCCTATGGACAGACTCTCCCACCTCAGCTGTAGTTATCTGCAGTTCATCCAGAGTGATCATGGGCCTCTTGGTTGCATCTCTGATCAGTCTTCTCCTTGTTTGAGATGAAAGTTTGGAGGGACGGCCGGGTCTTGGTAGATTTGCAGTGGTCTGATACTCCTTCCATTTCAATATAATTGCTTGCACAGTGCTCCTTGAGATGTTTAAAGCTTGGGAAATCTTTTTGTATCCAAATCCGGCTTTAAACTTCTCCACAACAGTATCTCGGACCTGCCTGGTGTGTTCCTTTGTCTTCATGGTTCTCTCTGCGCTTTAAACAGAACCCTGAGACTATCAAAGAGCAGGTGCATTTATACGGAGACTTGATTACACACAGGTGCATTCTATTTATCATCATCAGTCATTTAGGACAACATTGGATCATTCAAAGATCCTCACTGAACTTCTGGAGTGAGTTTGCTGCACGGAAAGTAAAGGGGCCAAATAATATTGCACGCCCCACTTTTCAGTTTTTTTATTTGTTAAAAAAGTTTAAATTATCCAATAAATGTCGTTCCACTTCACGATTGTGTCCCACTTGTTGTTGATTCATGACAAAAAATTAAAATGTTATATCTTTATGTTTGAAGCCTGAAATGTGGCGAAATGTTGAAAGGTTCAAGGGGGCCGAATACTTTCGCAAGGCACTGTAATTAGAGCGTTTGTGATGTTGATTATTCGTGCAGCTTTAAACAGTAAGATGAGTGTTGTGATTGGCTGACCGTGGGGAACCCTCCCCAGTTCCACAGGATCTCAGGTCCTGAAGTCCGAGGGCGAACACACAGCTCCGAGTCGCTCTTGGGAGATGAGGGCCGACACACAAGTGCTCTGAGGAAAGTAACAAAACATGTTGTGCATGTCCATTTGTTCCAGTATATTTGTGTGCGTGCGTGTCTTACGTCTCGCTCGGGGACTGTTCGGAGTCTGAGTGGGCGTGGCTTTCTTCCAGTTGCTCTGTCTCTTCACACAGCGAATAGTAGATGGACTTACTGCAATACGTACGCACGCATGCACACGCACACACCACACACACACACAAACACACACACACACCACACACGTTAAAGCTCAGAACTGAGAACTGCCCAAATACAGGGTGTATGTGTATGTATGCATATATACACACATATGCACACACACACAAACACTATATATTTTTGTATGTGTGTGTGTGGTAAAGGTAAAGACCTGGTCTGCAGTTGCGTCTCCTGCAGGGGCCTCTCCTCCTTCTCCTGGTTCTCCTCACACTCCTGGTTCTCCTCAGAAGAGCTCTCATCTCTGAGGGCACTCACTCGCTTCTTACGCCGCTTCTTCCTCCTGACGGCGCTGGTTGTGATGCCCTCGGGAGACTCAGGAGACTCCTCAGACCCACGAGGGATGGGAGAGGTGCAGAGGTGAGCAGAGACCTGAGCACAAGGGGAGGGTTCAGGGCAACTCAAGTGGGGGAGGAGACAGGGGAGGAGAAAGCGGGGAGCAGACAGAGAGGACGAGGCAGGGGGAGGAAACAGAGGAAAGGAGACAGGGAGAGGAGACGGAGAGGATGAGACAGGGGGAAGGAGGCAGGGGAGGAGAAAGGGGGGAGGAGACAGAGCAGAGAGGATGAGGCAAGGGGGAGGCAGGTATACATTAGTCTTGATCTAAATGATTACCTCACAGGGCTGGACTGGGACCAAAAAATGGCCCGGACATTTTTGCTTCTTGATAGCCCGGGTATGTTTATTTTCATGTTTTTTTACAGTTATTTATATGGTATGCAGAAGCACATACTGTAGACTCTACAGTGTAGAGGATCAGGATTCAACAATAGTCTACATTACAAGAGAGTACTAAACATGTCACTGCTCAGAGTGAGGGAGATGGACACAGACTGAAACTATCGTTTGTTACAGAGATGAGAATGGGACATTTAATAAAAAGTCAAAGCATAGTGTCAGCCAATGGCTGTCATTAAATAGTTTTGATTTGTTCACAGCATTTAACTTTTGGGCACAAGCAACATGAGCTGTTAACGCAATGGAAAAGTTAGGTATCCAAGCTTTAATTTAGCGAGTTTAGCCGCGCTTCGTGAGGAGATATAGCTTCCCTATGTCTCCCCTGTGTCTTCCACACGGGGGAGACGCAGTGGAGACACGGACTGTTTCTTGCAAATATGTATTTATTGGGTGCACAGATTACGCACAGACACGCACACAGCAAGCAGAGAATGGTCATGTGCGCGTGTATGGTCTTGGGTACATGGCCACGTTACGGCTGGGCGCTCACCGTGTGGTCAAAGCGGCGCACAGCCACTGGACGCGTAACCCGCTCATTACTAAGTGGCCGCAGCTGCCCCAGAACGCGGCGGCCGCAACAGCAGGTGCCCTGCGGCCACGCGCGCCCCTCAAACATTTCTCAATGGATTTATACATTAAATATATTTTGCAAAAATGTTTTTTGTATGAATCAGACGACTGGCCCAATGGCCAGTCCAGGCCTGCTACCTCAGAATAATAGTGAGATCTGGTTTCACAAAATCTCCCTTCTCACCTCCAGCTCCTCGTTCTCCTCCCCAAAGAACGCCTCTCCGTTGTCTCCCAGCTTCATGTGCAGATCCACCGGCTCTCCGTTCAGCTCAATGTCAACCTACAAATATAGGAAGTGGTAGAGACACTAATGTTCAAGGGTGTTGAAGGTGGAGTTGTCTCTCTCACTCTGGTCTCTCTCACTCTGGTCTCTCTCACTCTGGTCTCTCTCACTCTGGTCTCTCTCACTCTGGTCTCTCTCACTCTGGTCTCTCTCACTCTGGTCTCTCTCACTCTGGTCTCTCTCACTCTGGTCTCTCTCACCACTATCTCGGAGGAGCGCAGGACTCCCAGTTTTCCGAAGCGCACGTGGAATGGTGAGCTCTGGAAGGTTCCGTCCGGCTGCTGCACAACGATCACATCAATGGCTCCAGAGAGAGTTGCCGGGTTCAGGCCCCGGTACATCTGCCTCACCGTGCCGAAGGCTGATGCTACGAGGTACATGGTGTGAGTCTGGAGAGGGGAGAGAGGAGAGGAGAAGAGAGGGGTGGGAAGATGGAGAGAGGAAAGGAAAGAGAGAGGATTTAGAATGCATAACGTTTTCAGACATTTCCATCTCAAAATGCTAGAAATTCTCATTTTTTTAACAAAAAACTTAAAAACAGACTCAATGATTGACTCTATGTATTTTTTTCCACCGGGTTCTCATCCACAGAGCAGTTCGGAGTGTTTTTCTCTCTCTGGTCTCTCGCTCTCTCTGGTCTCTCGCTCTCTCTGGTCTCTCGCTCTCTCTGGTCTCTCGCTCTCTCTGGTCTCTCGCTCTCTCTGGTCTCTCTGGTCTCTCTGGTCTCTCGTTTTCTGGTGTCTCTCTCTCACCCACAGAGAAGCATCAAGCCATATGTTTGTCCCTGGTCCTGGCTCCGCTCTGCCCTCAGCCATACAACCTCCTCCACGTTCAGACTATAAGAAAACTTCAACTGTTTGAGTCCAAACGCTTGGATGCGACCAGAAGTGTTGCAGATGCACTTTCGGTTCCTCTATCGCGCAGAGACACGTGCGACTTTGAAAAGCACTGTTCACAACAGAGCTCTGGTCACACTGGAGACTTTCCTGTATATGTATAGTTTATTTCAGAGTTACTCTGGTCCCTCACAGTAACGCAGTTCACCTTTTCGAGGCCTTACAGTTTACATTTTGTGTGTGTAATCGTGCTTTATAGCTTCCATGGAGTACTTTATGGAGTATCCATGCGCTGCGTAGATACTCCCACGACACATAACCACTAGTACAGAGTTGCCAAACTCATTTTAGTCAGTGGCTGAGCAAAACAAAAATAGAAGTTGGTCAGGGCCAAAAGAATAAATTAGAATTGTTTTTTCTTGCATTTTTTTTATATGAAGGTATTTTGACATTGCTTTTATTTGTCAGGAAATATGTTAATTATTTGGATTTAACCAAAACTGGACCAAACATAAAGTTAAACATATTATTTTCTATACTTCTAATGTGGTGTTTTTTATTTTAGAAGTTACAGTTAAATGCTGGTTTTTATCTTCCATGATAAAACACGCCATGGTCGTCCATTACCATCAATGCTGCAAGTCAATATTGATTCAAAATCATGTCAGGGGCACTAAAATAGCCTTGCGGGCCGGATTAGGCCTACAGGCCTGAGTTTTACATGCCTGCTCTAGTATAACAAGTCTCTCTCTCTGGGGTCTCTCTCTCTCTGGGGTCTCTCTCTCTCTGGGGTCTCTCTCTCTCTGGGGTCTCTCTCTCTCTCTGGGGTCTCTCTCTCTCTGGGGTCTCTCTCTCTCTCTGGGGTCTCTCTCTCTCTCTGGGGTCTCTCTCTCTCTCTGGGGTCTCTCTCTCTCTCTGGGGTCTCTCTCTCTCTGGGGTCTCTCTCTCTCTCTGGGGTCTCTCTCTCTCTGGGGTCTCTCTCTCTCTCTGGGGTCTCTCTCTCTCTCTGGGGTCTCTCTCTCTCTCTGGGGTCTCTCTCTCTCTCTGGGGTCTCTCTCTCTCTGTGGTCTCAATTCATTTCAATTCAATTCTACTTGTATCACCCTAAATCACAACAGAAGAGATCTCGGAGGACTTTAAACAATTGTTGAATTCTTAAACACAGATCAGAGAATCCAACAGTTCAAACACAAGAAATGAAATAGAAAACACATTGGTATCGTCCATAAAGAGCAGATGACGTTGATATGTTGATAAATGTCAATTTTTGTTGTTGAATGTTGAGTGCCCTGGATCATCACAGACCCTCCAGTCTCGGTAAGGAAATACTCTTAAACCCAGTGGTCTCTCCCTCTCCCCGGCTTTCTCCGATCTCTCTGCAGCCTCAGTCCTGGATCTACAGCCTGTCCGTCCGTGGGAGTGGAACCTTCTCTCAGTATGGGCCTTTCCGAGGTGTCTCACTTTTCCCCCCACTGGGTTTCTGAGTGGCTTCTCGATGTGCATGAGTGTCTAAGGATAGTTATGATCTGGGACATTTCTGGACAGTGGTCATGCCGCTCCCTATGAGCCAATGGATCTTGTGCGTTTGATATTATTTAATCATCTGTGAACGGTCTGATCCTTGATCTGTTGTTGGTGAATCCACAAGTTTGTAAAGTCTCCCAAGACAACTTTGAAAAGTGGCTCAAACGCGGTCTAACATTACAACAACTTCTGTGGAGCGTTCCGTGACCATCTCTCACCGTTAAACGTGCCCACGCTGTGTTTTCTTAACATTACGAGCGACATATGTGAACTTGTATCCACACGTACAAACCTTTGCAAGGTGCGTACGTGTCGTACCGGGGCGTGGAACAAACTTACCGGGACAGGACTGAGCTCGCATGTACAGTGTCCAGTGCTATTGTTGAGTTTTATAGAGTTTGTGGAGGTTTAAGGCTCGGAAAGTCGTGTTTCATCTACAGGTAAGAAAAAAAACATAGATGCTGCGGGAAACTTCCGGGTCTGGAGCGGGGATGGCGGTCAACCGCCTCTGTCTTCCAATCAGGAGCGAGCACAAGGATGTAAGTCCCGCCTTCCGAGTCATACCGTAAACAAATAAGGATGGGACTAGCCTGGCCTCAACCATCCATAGACTCCGGTCAATTATTTCCCTACGTAATTAAATTAGTACGATTGTGTGGTAAGACCAGGGTAGGATGGGACAGATCTGGGCCAAATCTGGACGGGGGGAGGAGAGACAGAGAGAGAGGAGAGAGGGGGGGGGGGGGGGGCAGAAAGAATAGAAAGGAGCTGAATGACCACATATAAAATACAGCATTTTTTTGAATAAAATGTTTATTTAGCTACACATTCAATTAAAAAATAAAAACATATTCACTTTTTATATTACTTTATTAACTTAGTGAAAAGCTTCTGAATCAACTCTTGGATTTCAGTAGTTATCGAGTACTTACCTAACTACTTATTACTAGTTATTTGTATGACGCACTTCACAGACCACCTCAACTGAGCAGTTCTATTCTGAGCTCCTCCCCCATCAGAAAACTCCACTCTGGAGGAAACTCATGTGGACCGCTTGTATCTGCAATCTTCTCCTTATATTTTCAAATTCAAACACAGGTCACACATCCTAAATACTAAACACATTTCTGCACATGTGTTAGAGAGTCAAGAGTGTCACTATATGATGCTGAGAGATAATTACTGTAAAGAAAACCAAGATTTCTAGGAGTTGGGTTATACAGAATTTCTGAGCCTATGTACTTTGTCTCTCCTCTTCTCCCTCTTCCTCTTGTGTCTCTGCTCAGGGCTTAAAGCGAGCACCTTCCCCGCCTCCCTTTGCACGTGTATTGTGTTCTGTGTATGTGGCAGTGTCTGTGGAAATGAATTTCCCTAAAGGTTCATCTTTCTAAGTCCTAGCGTTAAGCCACAATCATCATTTTGGAATCTTTAATCTCTGACTTGTTGACAGATCGAAGGCCGGTTCTGTAGGATTTAACTGTGGATTTCGACTCCGTCTTTGCAGCTCCACCTCCTTCACTTTGCCCCTTCACACCAGCCCCTTTACAGCTCAGCATGTGTCGCCGGTGAGTGGAATCGTGTCTGAAAGCCTTCCCACACTTATAACAGCAGTATGGCTTCTCTCCTGTGTGGATCTTCTTGTGTACTTGGAGAGAGCCGCTTGATGTGAATCTCTGCTCACAGACGTCACAGCCGTACGGTTTCTCTCCGGTGTGGATCCGCTGGTGCTCTTTGAGATGACCCTCTTGTCTGAACTTCTGACAACAGACGTCACAGCTGAAGGGTTTCTCTCCAGTGTGGATTGTCTTGTGTGAGACTAAGTGACTTAACCTCGAAAATGACTTCTCACAGATGTCACATGTGTGTGGTTTCTCTCCAGTGTGGATCCTTCTGTGTTTATTCAGATTTCCTCTTCTGGAAAAACTGAGCTCACACTGGTCACACTTGTACGGCTTCTCTCCTGTGTGGCTCCGATGGTGAACTGTTCGATCTTTTGCCGTTCTAAAGGTTTTACTGCAGTGGTCACATGCGTACGGCCTTTCCCCAGTGTGGATTCTCTGGTGACTTTTGTAAGCAGGAAATGAACCAAACTCCTTCCCACAGTCTCCACAGACAAAGGGCTTTTCTCCTGTGTGGACTCGGTAGTGCACAGTGAGGCCATTTAAATGTGGGAACGTCTTTTCACACTGGTCACACTGATGAGTTTTCTCTGCATGGTCGAGCCGATGTATTGAGAGCTCCCTTTTGGTCCTAAATGTGTCTCCACACTTGTTACACTCAAAGGGTTTCTCCCCGGTGTGGAACCTCAGATGATCTTGGAGAGAACTCTCTTCTCTCAAACTCTTTCCACAAAACTCACAGCTGAACGGCTTTTCTCCAGTGTGGATTCTGCTGTGGACCCTGAGATTTTCTGCTCTTGTAAAAGTCTTTCCGCACAGATCACACTTGAATGGCTTTTCCCCCGTGTGACTTCTGTAGTGTTTCTCGAGTTCAGAAGGATTGCGACAGGTCTTTCCACATTGATCACAGGTGACCCCCATTCTGCAAAAACACAAAAGAGGGATAAGTCAGATAACGTTTTGTACCCTACTACCCCTCAAGAGGAACACTTGTCACATGTCATAAAAAAACACTTATTTGGCGCCTCCTGCAGGTAAAAGCGCATCAGACCTCTGAATCTGGGCAGGATTGTGATGGGAGACCTCTGGAAACAACAGGCGGCTGCAGACCTGTAAAGTACCAAACTGTTGTTGTGTCCTGAGGCAAGACACTTGATCCATATTTCCTAGAAATGTTGGTGGTGGTGGGAGAGGCCGATGGCACAAACCGGTTGCCACAGGACAGTTGTGGATAGAGGGTTAGGGTTAGGGTAGCAGTTTATCAACACAGTGTAAGGTGTAAATAAATAATGCTGTAAAGAGTCTTAAAGAGCCATGCATAACCCATGCATTATTATTAATATTACTTATTACTCGACTCGTAGTGGGACAATGAGGGTGAAGTTAGCTGAACAAACTAAACTTTGCATAATAGCTTAAGAGTTATGGGTAGATTTAAGGAAAAGGAACAATTGATTATTGTTCTGTTGTTTTAAAGGGTTGCTACAGGTCACAATGAAATTCTAAAAGGTAAATCCCCTCAGGTCCAGACCCTGGTGTTGGTGGAGGCTGAAGGGTCATTGACATGCAGGAAAGTATCACTGTGGAAGTGATGCTTTCAGTGGTGTTGTGCTTCTCTTGCTGAGAAGCACAACACCTTCCGTATCCATGAATGTGCTTTAAAAACACACACACTGGCAGCTCATGAAAATCCCGGTTTGTGGTGAGGAAACCATAATATATACAATCTACGGAAAAACAACTGCACAGCAGTCATGCTGACCACTAGCATTAGCACCAGCCTCCGATTGGGACTGAAACTTGCAGCTGTGGGCCCTGAGACCCTGGGTCCTCTCACCAAACCCGTGTTTCTCTTGTTTCGTGGCATCATTACTGTTACAGATGTGAACACATGAGTTTTAAATCCTTCTACTCACATCTGTCTCCACACGATCTGCACTTGTCTGTTGGATATGACGTAACTGTGGTTGCCAGGTTTTCTGAGATCCGAGATCAATTGGAAAAATGAATGGCCAAATTTACTCAGGGAGGGGAGGGGAGGGAACTGGGCATGTCCCACCAGGAGAAGACCAGGAGAAGACCGAGCTTGAGGGACAGTGTCGTATTATTTAAATTATTTGATGCATTTTAAAAAGTGCTCCAAAAGCGCCTCACTTTTTGGTTGTGTTTTTTCATATAGTTTTTTTCCCCGCTAGTTCTATGAAAACCTGGCAACCACAGATACGTCATATTCAGCAGACGCGATCACATCGTTCCGACGCTGCTGTAAGTTGAAGTCTTTAAATCTCATTTATTTACAACTAACATGACTGTTGTCATTAAATAAGAGACGCAAGTTTGTTGTGCGTCTCGCGGGTTCCAGCTGAAAGTTTGCGTCAGTTCCGGTCGGAGGCTAATGCTAATCGCTAGCATTTATTGTTTTGGCTTCACAAACAAAGAAGATGTTTTACGTCAACCGTAGACTTTTGTTAAACATTCATGTACGTCTCAATAAAGTGTTTAGGGACGTGTCGTGACGTTTTCAGTCCATATCCCAAACCACGAAGAAATATTTGCACAATATGTCTAAATTGGTCACTTTCTGTCCATATCCTTATGCTGTTAACAAGTACACTAGTATCACATGTTGTTAGCATGTACACTAGTATCACATGCTGTTAGCATGTACACTAGTATCACATGCTGTTAGCATGTGATACTAGTATCACATGCTGTTAGCATGTGATACTAGTATCACATGCTGTTAGCATGTACACTAGTATCACATGCTGTTAGCATGTACACTAGTATCACATGTTGTTAGCATGTACACTAGTATCACATGCTGTTAGCATGTACACTAGTATCACATGCTGTTAGCATGTGATACTAGTATCACATGCTGTTAGCATGTGATACTAGTATCACATGTTGTTAGCATGTGATACTAGTATCACATGTTGTTAGCATGTGATACTAGTATAACATGCTGTTAACATTTGCAGTAGATAGATGGATAGATACTTTATAGATTCCCGTAGGAGAAATTCAAGTGTCCAGTAGCAGCAAAAATAAAATTGATCATTTAAAAAAATGATCATGCTGAAGTATCACATGCTGTTAACATGTACAGTAGATTCATCACTGCGAACATTTGAAACCTCAGAGCTAATCACTTATCATGACGCTCCAGTTTGCTTACAGACAGAACAGGAGTGTGGAGGATGCCATCTCCTTTGCTCTGAACTCTGTCTACAGTCACCTGGACACTAGTAAATCTGTCGCCAGAATGCTGTTCATTGATTATAGCTCTGCTTTTAATTGTCTTGTCCCAAGCATATTGGTTGAAAAACTAATGTCCCTTGGTCTGAATGTTGCCATGTGTAAATGGATTTTTAGCTTTTTAACTGACAGATCTCAGAGAGTAAAAATCAATGACTGTTTTTCTGATGTTGTTTCTGTGAGCACTGGTTCTCCTCAGGGATGTATTTTGAGTCCTTTGCTTTTTACTTTGTACACTCATGATTGTGTGTCCTCCTCTGACTCAAACTTGATCATCAAATATGCTGATGACACCACCATCATCGGTCTCATCAGTGACAATGATGAATCCTCTTATAGAGCAGAGATCGAACATGTTTTTCAGTGGAGTAAAGTAAACAATCTCCAGCTGAACACTGCAAAAACATGTGAACTTGTCTTTGACTTCAGTCGTAGCAGTTCTCACACTCCTGTTGTTATTGACAACTCCCAGGTGCAGATCGTAGAGGAGTGCAAGTTCCTGGGTCTAACGACCTGAAATGGGTTAAAAACACTGACCGGGTTGTTAAGAAAGCTCGTCAGCGTCTCTTCTTTTTGCGGAAACTTAGAGAATTTACCACTAACTCTAAGATTCTGCTTAACTTTTATCGCTGCACCATTGAGAGTTTACTTGTTGGTTCTGTGTCTGTGTGGTTTGGAAACATCACAGATAAAGAAAAGAGAGCTTTAAACAAGGTGCTCCGCTCTGCAAATAGGGCCGTGGGCTGTGAGCTTCCTGTTCTGGAGGTTCTTTACAAATCCAGACTTTTAAACAAAGCTCTTAGGATTGTCAATGACTCTTCTGGCCACCCTGGGAAAGCCATGTTCCAGCTTCTTCCCTCTGGCAGAAGATATCGGTCGCTGAGATGCAAGACATCTCGCTATGCTAACAGCTTCTTTCCACAGGCTGTTAGGTGCCTAAACAGAGCACTTTAATTCCTGCTTTTACCCCTTGTATCGTTGTGTTGATCGGTGCCACAGTGTCAGCTGTTTTTTTTATTTATTTTTTTTATATTCAGTGTATGTGTATTTTATATTACATTGTATTGTGCTTTTTATTCTGTCGGTGCACACAGAGTACCTTTTTTTGCAAATGTATTCCAATGTAGTTTTTATACTGCACACGGCCAATAAATGAATCTGAATCTGAATCTTATCAATCAACATTTATTTGTAGAGCGCCTTTCCTGCACAAAGGCAACGCAAAGCACCTCACAACCCATATTACATAATGCATAAATCATCAAACATTAGATTATGTTAAAGAAAAAAAACATTAAGAGCACAAGATACATTAAAAACATAAGAAATGACACCACAGTAGTAAAAAAAAAAAAACTATAAAACATTAAAATCACACATGGGATTAAAATCATAAATAGTTATAGTGCATTAAAAAGATTAAAGATAGAAACAAAGATAAAATCATTCAGTTGTTCACACAGCTAAACAGAACTGTTTTCAGCCCAGTTTTAAAAACTGCCAGAGTAGACGCCTGTCTCACATTCTCGGGAAGACAGTTCCAGACTAGCTGCATGAATCTGAAAGTCGGAACTAGACATGGGGAGGCCCATGTCTAGTTCCGACTCTTGGCACCAGCAGGAGGCCAGTCCCTGTGCTCCTCAGAGCCCGAGTTGGTTCATATGGCACCAACATGTCGCGGATGTTCCCCGGTGCGAGGCCATGGAGAGACTTGTACACAAGCAGAGCTGCTTTATTCTCTGAGCCACAGGAAGCCAGAGACCTGAGGACTGGACTAATATGGTCGTACTTCCTGGTTCTAGTCAGGACTCGAGCTGCTGCATTTTGAATGTACTGCAGCTGTTTTACAGCCTGTTCGGACAGACCTGTGAACAAGCCATTGCAGTAGTCTAACCTACTGGAGACAAATGCATGGATAAGAATCTCCAAGTCTGCTTTAGACACTATGTTTTTGATCCTGGCAATGTTTTTTAGGTGGTAAAAAGCTGCTGATGTTACTGATTTGATGTGGCTATTAAAATTTAAGTCTGAGTCCAGTATTACCCCTAGATTTCTGACCTGAGTTGAGGGTTTTAGGGAGAGAGACTGTAGATGACAGATAATGCTCTCTGCACAATATTCTTATTACCCAAATATTCTTGCACTGGAGTGTATTACAGAATTATCTGCAGACGTATACATACAAGTATAAACATTGCTTCTTTCACCAGAGCATGCAGTACTTTATACTTTCTTCTTTACAAAGCTAAAGATTGAGATGGTTTTATTAATGTTGTGCTATATTTAACTTACTTGTCTTGTGTTGTGTGCTCCTCATTCCTACTGTACTTTAACTTGTGATGCAACACTGATATTTCCCCACTCTGGGATACAGGATCTCTTCTTAAAGTCATTGGTAAGATTGATACGGGTACAGTTAATCAGTGTCTATAAATGTCCCGAATTATCCCCTGCCCTCATCTTAGACTGTATACAGATAGACAATGCTAACCCGCTAGCTAAATGAAAGAAGATAAGATAAGATAGACACTGTAGAAATGTACATGTCACATTTGGCATAGAGTCACTCAGTGTGCAAACATGTTAAAAGTAAATATAATTTATGTACAATAAAAAGCAATTAAAGAGAGTGGCAATGGCAGTGCAGGTTTTTCAGTCCTAGTGCATTAGTGACTTATTGTACAGTCTGACAGTGGTGGGAATGAAGGTCCTGCGGTAGCGCTCTTTCTTGCACTGAGGATGCAGGCCGTCTTCCACTGAAGGAGCTCCTCAGTTCCTCTACAGTCCTGTGCAGTGAAAGGTGTTGTCCATGATAGAGGTGACTTTGACTAGCACCCTCCTGTCCCTCACCTGCTCCACAGAGTCCAGGGAGCAGCCTTTATTAGTCCCACAGTAAGGAAATTGAATGATGAATGAAACCTGTGGGTCAAAAAAGATTTGACTGACGTGTTCAAAATTTGGTACAGAAAATCAGACAAAGATTCTCCAAGTTTAACATCTGTATTTAATTTATCTTGACAATCAGATACAGAAAATTCAAACAAAAGAGAGCTCCTAAATCTATGCTATGCTGTCCCTCTCTCGCCCTGTGCTCACTGACTCCAAGCCTTCAGCCCAAGCATATAAAAAGAGCAGATGTCCAGGAAGAAGGGGGCGTGTCGTATCAGGCAGCTTCCGGTCCCGTGATCCGCCTTCCCCCATCTGGTCTTCTCGTCTCCAGTCCGCACCTAAAAAAGAATTCATGCTTTTCTAACCTACGTCTCCGGGCAGCTGTCTCTGGTCTGGGATCCAATCTCTGCTTGTCTAAACAAATTCCCTAATTAGTCTCAACAGCCCGCTTTCCTACAGAACTAACCTGCATGTGCAGTACAAACACATCACACTAATTAATCTAATATCTAAGTACATGAAATCACCTAAAATATGAAGTAAATATATGTTAAAGGGGACATATCATGAAAAATCCACTTTTTGTGCCTTAAATGCCTTATGTTGTGAAGTTGGAGCCTCTAGAAGTGCAAAAAAGTTGAAATCAGTCTCTTCATGGGTTGCAGAGAACACTTCATATTCTGTTTAGGTAAGATATTTCAACCCGTTCTGATTTTGCCATTCTCTATTACGTGTTTAGAATTATTACGTCACAGTATTTGCAGCGAGACTGCTATATAAGGGCATGGGCGTCTAACAAAACACTTCGGCCCAGCCCTCTACTGTGCATCACTTCGAATTTGTAGTCCAAGCTCAAGGATGCCAGCGAACAGGGCTGGACTGACCATCGGGCGTACCGGGCAATGCCCAAAGGGCCGATGCCCATATTTGGGCCGGTCTGTCTGCCTCATACAAAACACATGTTTATGAGAAGTGTAAATCCATTGAGAATTGTTCGAGCGGGGCGCCTGCTGTATGCACTCGAACGGGATTCCGCCACCTCAGCGGCCGCAGTGTTCCGGGGCATCTGCGGCCGCTTTGTAATGAGCAGCTTCCGCGTCCAGCGGCTGCGAGAGGCTGTGAGCGCGCAGCCTCAACGTG